GCGAGAGGAAGGCGAGGACGAAAGAAGAGGACGAAGAAGAAGCCATGAAAGACGAGAAAGCCTTGCCGAGGGAAGGGAGGGAGCGGTCAGTGGCCCCTCGTGTGCACCGGCTACCGCCACGTCCCATGGCATCGCCTCCTCGCGTCGACGCGAGTTCCACGCGGCGAATAATAATGGGAATTACGGAGAGGCGCACGGGTGAGGACTTGAGGCCCCGCTGCTGCTGCTGCTTTTTGTCGTTGCCAGGAGCTCGCATGGAGAGATAAGAGCTCGCGACTATACGGTAACGAGGTCGAGACAATAGCGGTCCCGAAGCACACACAGCGCGCGCGCGCGCGCGGGTTCCCTCGGTGTGTCTCCCCCCGGCACATTCTGAACGTTCCGCCTTTCCTTCGAGAGGTCGACGCGAAGGTGGGGGCGGCCCCGTGGGTCCGATGAAGAATTCGCTGTATATATGACTGGGAGAGACGGTGGGTCAGAAATTCGAAGATCTTCCGGCTTGTGCATATCTCGAAAAGGAATCTCGTCTTTTTCTTTCACGTATAATTCGTTCTCCTCCCCATCCCTTTTTATCCATCTAGATATTTGCGATATATTTAATCGAAAAACTTGATAGCAAATTGGCAATGTTTTGTCTCTATATATTATTTGATTCTTTCTCTTTTTAACTGGCAATTGAAATCCATTGTTCTGAAATACATTTCCGCTTACTTTCTGCTGGCTATTGCATTTTGATATCCTGGTAAGAGAGCCTGATGCTCCGATACGTTCCAATCGGCAAAAAAGATTATACGCAGACAGGAAGAAAAATAAAGAAAATGAAGGCTGGGCTTCAGCGAGAGAGAATAGATGGGTATCAAACGTGGCGAGGATTCCGCGGCGCGAAGGAAGAACAGGAAAATGACGGTAATGAAGATGACGCGGTCACGGAAAAATAAAAGCAAAAGGTAATCGGCACATCCGGTCGCTCGGAACGGCGGCGGCGGCGGCGGCTTGGGGTCCGAGAGGATAACGGCCTAAGGCCACTCGCGACCGGTAAAGGCCGCAAACGACGATCTCCGCAGTTTACCGAGTTTTTGCTATCGCGACTCGCAGAAATCATTGCGTCGTGTACCATCAGGGCGACGTTACGCTCAATTGATGTGCCGCCGATAAAAATATTGGCACATGGCATTCCAACGCGCTTTAAAACCTTTCAAACTGGCGAATAATCTGGCCGATTTTGAGTCCATTTTTCCCTTGTAAAAATAACGAGGCGTTCACGTAGCTCTTTTCGGGATCTAAACAATCGAAAGATGCAGACCCACGCTCAAAATCTATAAGCTTTGTTCCTCCAGAAAGAGGAACAAATATAGATAATAAAAACATTTTCGGTTCGTTTCAAGTTGATTTCACTTCAACGGAGACTTTTAGTTCGAGGATTTACTCACAAAAGGTATGTAGATAATATTAAAAATTGGAAAATTTATGCGTGGAAAATTATTGTGATGTGAAACGATAACGTCCTTTGTTCGGCATTTCCGGCGGGGAAGCAGACTCGACAGTGAAACAGGCTGAAATATTCGCATTTCGTGAATGAACAGTCCCATGGCCTCCAAATTCCTTCTGAAATATATCGAGTTTTTGAATGGCTAATCCAGGAAGTCAGTTCCTCCCCCGGATTCGCACTCGATAGTCCTATACCTAACCGAAGAAAGGCACTCGCTCAATAAAATAAGTAGAAGACTATAGAAAATGGTGGGAGCGCATAGACAGGTAAGGGGGAGCTATTCTATATGAGGGCGAGGGAGAGGGCAGACGGACTTGTGTCGAGGGCCAGGTAGAAGGCTCTCGTTCTCCATTGTGCCTCGGTAGGAGCTGACGCCAGTGATAGATACCTTTCCTAGCGCATGCACGCACGCACGCACGTTTCGTTATACGTGTACGCGTTCACCAATACAGGTAGTGGCTCTCTGCGCCTTCCACGCGCAGGTTAAAACGCACAAGCCCTTTTTATATCGGCCAAACGTGCGGCACAAACCGGCTCTCGTTTTCTTCCATCACGAAGTCTAACCAGATAACGATAACGCGATGGCGTGGCAACCAATAGTAATCTCATTTCACTGCTACTGCTTTTTCTCATTTTCTCAAACCATCACGCTATTATTACGCTATGTCGAAGACGCTTTTATATGTATCATCATATGTTTACGACAAAGAGGAAATCAGGGCACGTATTATGAAACTGTTCGAAATATAGATTCCAATCGGAATTATTTCGTTTTTCCCTATAGAAAAAAACACAATAGAAATTTAGGAAATAAATGAATAATTTCATAATACGTACCCCTGTCCTATAAATTTTCATTCACGCACATTTACAGCCACACGGAGAGAATTTTATTTTAAAATTTACCCCGAAAATCATGTTAATCATAGGACAACATAGTATTTCGACGAATTTTGTATGTTTTTCACTATTTTTTTAAATATATACTATAAAAAATTTATTGTAGTGCACAGTAAAATTTGTCGAAATACTATATGTTGTCCTACGATTAACATGGATTTTCAAGGTAAATTTTAAAAGGTAATTCTCTCCGTGCATCTGCCAAAGATCGAATAACGACGGATCTTTCGCAGTTTTCTGTATAACTGCGGAATCGAAATGAACGCTGGCCGGGCAAGAGAGAGTCTCAATTTCACGGAAATTTATCGTTCGATTTTTACGGAAAAAGAATACAGAATGCGCGATTTGGCAGGAAAAGAACGAGACCCCTCGATATCGCGACTCTTATCTCCCTTTATCTGCCGGTCGGGTGGTATCAATGCTCGACGTTGTCCAAAGGAAATTTAATCAATGGAGGTCTGTCCTCATTACGGAGTTGCGCGTGCCAGAAGCGAAATGAGAAGCGAGGTTGTCGAATATTTCTCTGTTTCTTTCCTTCTCTTGTATCTTAAATTCTTTTGAAAAATGTAAGCGGGACCTTCGAATTGAGACTCGGACGAAAAGATGCTCTGCGAATCGAATCTTCAACTGCGTCGAATCGTTCAAGCGATTTGAAAGAAAGGTTCGAACTGTATAATTAAAGAATAAATATCTATTTTTGACTGAATGTGTCCGAATGTTCGAGCTTCCGTTTCAGATAATCGATAATCTATATTGAGATAAATTCGAGAGTAGTACGATAAAGATTTCGAAAACGAAGTTGATTAATGATTACACTCGTCACAAATGGGAAGATCAGCTATCGTTTATTGCCCTCCCGCAACATAATCGGAATGACTAATTATTACTTCGCTATTTTGCCTTAATTCAAGTTCGAATTGTTGCAGACAATGGTATGTTTAATAATACTCGCTAATACTCGCTTAGAATAAGGTACTTAAATTTTGTATTTCACGCGTCTGACTTTTGCTCGCACACTTTCTTCTTGTATACTGACGCAAAGATGAAACGTGGAAAACGTGGAATAGAAAGGGTTAATTCGGAATTGTCCCTATGTGCGCGGCACGTGCTCATGGCTATTGAGCCTCCCCCTCCCCCTCCCTCCCCCCTGCTCAGCCGCCCCCCTCCGTAAACGAGACGAGAGGTCAACGGTTTAACTTCGTTCGCACAATTGGTCTGGATTAACGTCGTAATAAATCTCAATTAGGGTCGCTCCTACGCCGCACACTCGACCGCCCCTGGGGGAGATCTCGCAGATTTTTCCCCCCCCCTGGCCGTGTGTCCTCCGGGGGTTTCGCCGCGGGACGGCGTTTATTGAGAAGTAATCACCGTGCGAGGCGCGTGCGACGCGTTTGCATACAGTTATTTATGCGTTTACGTAAGCTAAATTATCTTTCTGTGTACATAAGTCTCGATCCCCTTCCAGCAAATGCCATTTCTCTCTTCGGCAGATAAATAAATAGCTAGATAAACTAAGCCAGTTTCACGGTCCATTTCTGCCAGTGTAGATTAACTTTAATCCCGGTTTAACTTACTTTTTTTTTTAAGAATTAGAAAGATAAAGAGTAAATTTAAATTATTCACATCGGCCATTCAGTTTAATAACATTAGTCACCGCGTGTATATATAATAATACCTTACTCTTTTATTTAACTGTATCATTTAAAATTTAATTATTTTTCCTTAATAAATTTATTCAAATTATTATTTCTCGATAAGTAAACAACAAACAGTTTAGAAATCCCCGCGTAGAGATATCAGCGATTTAATAAAATTACTCGAGTCATGCGGAAGTTTTGCTCTTTGATCTTTTCTAAGATCGGAGCCTCTTATATATGGTTTCTTGATCAATAAATCCCAGACAGGACGCTTCGGGTAAACTACTAGAGAGGACAAAGTTCTCTATCTATCTCTCTTCCCCTCTTCTTTTTTTTCTCTCTATTAACCATCGATTCTATTTGCAAATGTCACAGTACCATCGCGCGTACGCCACTTGAGAATCTCTCGAGGTCTATCGTAACAGAAAGCGATGAATAAAGCTCAATGATCAAACTAATGAATTCATTGACCTCAGTCGTGGATTTTCCTTCTCCCTATCCTCGCTTTTCCAATATTCTTTTCCCATTTCAGTGGAAACATTCGAAGCCGACAATAATTAATTTCACGCAGAATCATTTCGCGCCTAAATTCTCCCGACAGTTTTTCAGTTGCGTGCGGAATAAGGAGATATGTGTGTGTGTGTGTGTGTGTGTGTGTGTGTATGTGTGTGACTTCGATCACGATTACTCCGATTAATTTAACCGGCGGAATTGCTTGCTGTAACATTTCTAACCGCTACAAGTTGCGTCGCGATCTAATTTTTCTTGCCGCCTATTGAGCGGCCAAAACGCCAAAACAGATTGATAATTTTATATCCGCGTAAACAAAATAACGCAAATTAGTGCTGTTTGACATGAGTTAATCGCCGATTAAGTTAACGAGGGAGTTCTTTACCACATCGCGGTGAGATTCGTCATTATCGCAGGCACGCAGTGACAAAATAAATATTGTGTAACCGAAGCTCGCGACTTACCGGTGGCGCAGATGCCGCCGATGATCCAGACGAGGCAGACGCCGGCGAGAAGGCCGCGCGTCCTCGCGGAGGTCGCCGCCGGCCGCTGCTCCATCCTCTCGCCTCGCCGTTGCGCGACGTTGACCTCGCTCCTTAACTTCCCCTCCTCCTCCCCCCCTCCTCCGCCGCCGCCGCCGTCGCCTCCACCTCGTCTTCGTTCGTCGCCTTCTTCTCCGCCGTCGTGGCCTGCTCCTTCCTCGCTCACAGCCGCCGCGCGTGTAAGAGGCTCCGCTCCGGAAGAGCGCCGGGCCTACGCCAATCGCGGCGATCCGCGCCGCGTCCCCGTCACACGCACACTCGCGACTCGCATTCCGCGATGCTCTCGCCGATGCTGTTCACCGCTCCCTCTCCGCGCCGCCGTCCGCTCTCCGCACGATATATCGCGCGTTCGCTTCGGAGGCGCGAGGCGTGCAAACGTGCGATCAAGGCGGCCGGGTGGTATACGCCTCTCGGTGTCCTCCTCACACGGACTCCGCGAAATCCGGGACGCGGGGAAACGGCACTCGCGTGTACCCCCGGCGGAGAGAAAGGAGAAGCAAAATGCGGACAGAGGTGCAGAAGGTGCAGGCAGCCGTGGCGAGCGCGTCCGTCGACGGCGACGATAAATCGCGCCTCCGCGTGTGTATCCTGCCTCGATCGCTGATCGTCCGACCGAGCCGACTTCTTCGCGTTTCTCTTTAGAACAGAAAAAAAAACGGGCCCTCTTCCACCTTTTCCTCTCTTCCCACACTCACGTCTCTTCAATGCACCGCGCGCGAGAGAGCCCGAGAACGTACCCGTGAGAGAGTCCTCGGAGAAACCGCAGGGAAATAATTGACGATGGGAGGGGACCCCGTGTCGATCGAGATCGATCGTCCTCTTCCCGTCCGCTTCCAATTGTCCGCCGTTGATCAACCGACGACGATCACGGGAACGGCCTGGATCACCGCGACGTGATCGATCGCGTCCGTCAGTTTTCCACTCTCGCTTCTCACCCGATCGACGACGCGGACGCGCTTGAACTCGCGCCGCGGAGATTGCGCGTAAAACACACACACATACACACACAAAATGCCTTCGCAGTGTCAAAAAAAAAAAAACTAAACTTGCGCGACGGCGAGAATTCCTCTTCGCCACCCGCGCGATCTTCCTTCTCCTCCCACGGGAGGGTAACAAACGGCGAATGCGGACGCTGATCGCGGCACGCGTTCACCTGGTAACACCTGGCAACACCTGGCCGAAGGTGTTCACAACACCGTTAAAATCCGCTCGCGCTGAAGAACTTCGCGGGGGGAATAAATTCGGGATAATCGGGGACACCCGCGGGGGAACGCGACTTCGATCGGCCCGTGTCCCTCCTCCGTCGCGTCGACAGTTCGCACCAACTCGGCCGTCACCGAGGCCGCCGTGCAGGTTCCGTTGGCAAGTCGACGTGCGCGTCGCTTGGCGAACACACCGCGTACGTTTTCGACGGGCGAGGAAATGTCAACTTGAAATCGCGTGCACGCGCATGCCCGCCGCGGACGCTACTGACCGGCCAATCCAATCGTCGCCGTGCCTTCGGCCGCGCTCTCGTCGGCGCGCGCGTTCGCCAACGCACTCGGTATACATCGGGTGGCATCGGCGCGCGGATGGCGTCGCGCCGCGCGGCGCGACGGCGACCAATCGCACGCCGCCGCGGCTAGGGGATTTCGAGATTCTCGCCGATCGTGAGAGAGAAGAGAGAGAAGTGAGAGAACGCGGCGGTGTGCCACTTGTTGAATGCCGAGACTCGCGCAGTGGTTTGAAGAAAAATCTCTGCCATGGGACGACACCCTAAGTGAGGTTCGAATCTTCGCTAAGTGGGGTTCGTGGGGTTTGAGCCTGTTCCTCTGAGTTAAATATATGAATTTAGCGGAGATTTAAACCCCACTTAGCGAAGACTTGAACCCCACTTAGCGGAGGCCGGAGACTCAAACCCCACTTAGCGAAGATTCGAACCTCACTTAGCGGAGATTCGAACCGGATATTTTTAGGGTGCCGTCACTGCCATCCCATGGCAGAGATTTTTCATGTAGCTCATCGGTGATATTTTTCCCATCCCAGTTGGCAATCCGAATATTCATTCTTCCCGCCAAATACGTCGGTCGCTCATGTGTTTCGGTGCGCACGAGATCATCAGCCCGATCAGCCGTCGGTGAATAAACAGAGACAGTCGTGTGAGGAGTACTGTGTGACATTGCGTCTATTTCTCGATTTCCAAACTTCTCAAACAAGTTTTTCGAGTTTTGCACTATGCTCGGAACCCCTTTACGCCCCGGCTCGCCGCTTTGCAATGTGCTCGCGCGCACGCTCGTCTGCAGTGCTTTCCTGTAAAGTGTAACCTGCGCGATCACAGTTCAGTCAGAGCTCGGAGCGCGCGATGACGACCCAGGAGAGCCAGGTCGAGTGCAACGTAAACATTTACTTCGTCGTGCCGAGTCAACTGAAGTCCGAGGATGATTGCGGCGAGCAGATGTGGCTGGCATTCAACGTTCGTATATATTTTTCGCACTTCGCTGCGTTTAAATTTCTTTCCGCCTCCGTTTTTTTCCAAACGCCGACCACTCGAGCGATCCACGAGCGATTCCGCGTGCTCCAATATTTTCTGTTCTCGATCGCGCCCTTTGTGTCTCTTTCTGAACAAATTTTGTTATAATAATAATTTCAATCAGACCTAATATGTATACAACAAAACAAATAGAAGAAAGCACAATGTGCGACCGAGGCTGGATGTTGTCCAATAATATTGTTAATTTTTATTTTTTAAATTTCAATTATAATAAACTTATAATAAATCATTACTTTTGGACTTTTATGAACGCAGTCATTAACAGTCTACACTGAAATAATATTAAATATTAAATTGATCTTTCAATTCAATGACGATGCTACAGGCATCTTATTAGTTCTTTACAGTGTTTTACTTGTAGCATCTTTCTTTTATTTGTAAATTTTATTCTGTCTTATTGTAGAAATGCAATGAGCTTAGCTTGCAGCCAGAATGGGTCAGCGAACAGTCTTGCAGTAAGATGAATCCGATAAAAAGCGATGTATTTGTAATAGAGGAATTCAAAGGCGATTTATTTGATAAGCTGAAGAACTTCAAATGCTCGTAAGTTTGCAAATAGCTAACTTTTTTGTTGTAGATAAGTTTATAGTTTTTGGTTAGGTTTAAGATATAAATCACTGATTAGTATTTATAATACATTGTAGCAAAAAATGTATATCTTGTCGTGATATTAATTAGAAATAGCTATAAAATTGCTGATTTATATTTCAGCAGAATAGTATCGCCGAAGTGTCTGCTATTTTGTTTTATAAACAGTGAAGCGATACCGGAAGGAACGAGTCCAATATATACAGTATCTATGAGAAATATGTGCATTTGTGCATCAGGTTTTAATTCAGAAACTAAGGTACAGCTATCATGACAATTTTATGTATATAAAGTTTAACTGTTTGTGAAAGAGAGAGAGAGAGAGAGAGAGAGAGAGAGAGAGAGAGAGAGAGTAATAGTTTTGTCTGTTACTACAGGATTGGATACAACAACGAGTCGAATACATGGGAGGCTTCTTCATAAAGCAATTAAGAAATTGCGTCACACATTTGGTAGCTGATTCTGTGATGTCCGCAAAGTATGAGGTATGGTTGTATTTATAAAATGTAATGATAATGCAACATGCAATGGAAATTTAATTGATTAAAAACTTTCTGTTTTTTAGGCCGCTATAGAAATGAAGATACCAATTATGACGAAAGAATGGATAAAAGTTGTCTGGGAGGCAAATTTGAAGGAGATGATCAGAGCCGATGACAAGTCTTTCGATAAATACAAATGTCCAGTGTTTATGAATCTAATAGTTACTTCGACAAATCTTCCCAAACGTCAGAAAGACGAAATTAAACAATTGATACACGAGCACGGTGGAGTAAGTTAAACTTTGTGCAATGTATAGGGTAGTGGTCAGAAGTATTTAGCGATCGATTGTAATGCGTTATATTTACGTTATGCAGATATTCATGGGTCCTCTCGATGGAACGAAGGTTCGAGTGGTTCTAGCTTCCGAAAGCGGTCCGGTGAGCGATAAATTAAAATACGCCATGGAGAATAACATTCCCTGTCTGAGGACCGATTGGCTGTACGAAAGTATTAAGATAGGATACGCTCTACCCTTCCGTAACTTTATTATCAAATCTGTGAAAGCGTGTTCAACACCGGAGAAACCAAACAGTACGTATGAAAGTTGTTACAATCTTTTAATGGCATAAGCCGTTTTACTTTAAGGGGGGGACTCTACAAGACTAAAGTGATTTTTGAGAATTTTTTTTTAACTAAAATGAAAGTGAATAATTTCAAAAGTTTAACAGTATTTTATTGTATATTTAAGTAATGATAAAAAATTTTTATTATTAAATAACATGTTTTTCTAATAAATAATAGAAATAATGTTTTGATAACGTCGCGCCGTTGAAGTTGAAGTCGTGTAGAGTCCCCCCTTAATATAATAGATGATCAAATTGAATGAATAACAAAATAAATAGCACTCTTTATGTATTTTTTTAGCTCGAGAATTGCTCAACTATTCTGAGATTAGCTCTATAGCACATGATAAACGTGACAACAATTACGTAGATGAGACTTTAAGTTCGACGATATCAAATTTTTCCTGCGTACCTCGAGTTTCCTGTGTAACTGGTAAACTCTTCGATGGTGAGTATTAAATTAATATACATGGCAATTGCGATTTAAGTAGGAAACATGTCTGTATTTTTGTTTGTGCAGTCGCTAAGCTACACGTATTGGATCGGCTGTCCTTCAACGAGGCAAAATCAGCTGGGCCATTTCTGGACGGATGTAATGTAAATCTTTTTCACAGTTTCCGCTTATCGTGAATCACGCCTTCTTTTCGTTTCATTTCCATTTTGCGATTGTCGTTTCGTCTTTACAGATTTATCTCGCTGGATTTATAACGAGCGTCAGAGACAAACTGAACAGAATATTAAACGTTGGCGGTGCGACGCGTCTCGATGATATATCGGATGCTGTGACACACGTAATTGTCGGCGACGAGAGTAGAGCGTCTGCAGAACTGAAAGTGATAAAATCGAGTGGTTTATGGTATAGTAATATCGAACGAATAAAGTTTACGATTTATTTGTATCTCAGTTTGCGATAAAACTTATATTTATGTATAATTGTTTATAATTATAGAATGGATTCTATAATTCTTTTAAATCATTCTTTTAAAAAAAATTTATTCTTAAACGTAAATAAGAACTTTTACTTCACCAAAAGTTGATTATACATCATGTATAATCTAATATAGATTCTAATGTAAACGCTGTAAATACATTTTTTTATATTAACTCCTTTTATTTTCATATCTTCTTTTGATTCTAGTTTATCGTATAAATTTTATTTTGTGCAGTCCTTACATATTGAACGTGGAATGGCTGGAGGAGAGTATGAAACTGAAACGGCCTGCATCGGAAGAGCTCTTTTTATTTGAAGCAAAAGGTGAAGCTAAGAAAAACATTGAGACGCCTGCTTCACCGCTTAGTAAGAAGGTATACTTAATGTACTTAATAAAATGTTTTATAATGTTTGTAAAATGATATTCCTAATTTCTCAGAAAGTAATATGTAAAACTATTAAATTATTTTGTATAATTCTTATGTCTATCTTTTTGCGGAAAATCTCCGTGAGAAATAATTTTGAATTATGAACTATGATAATAAAATTATATCAAACAATAAATAAAAAATTTTTATAGCTGCTATACGTTTGCTTTGGCAAATTGATGTGTTACAAGGATTATGTACATGTAACGTACATTTTTATATTATTTCAGAATTTACAAATGTTGCAACAACCGAAAAGACCTCCTGTGCCACTTTTCAATATAGAAAAAGAACTTTCTACCGTGAACGAAAATGAACAATCTGATCTCGTGCAGCAATATTTGCAAGAAGGTAATTGCCTTTTAACATATAATTTGCATCATTATGATATGTATTTTATACACGTATTAATTTTAAACAATGCATAGTTTTATAGACAAAATTTAAAAAATGGATGATTGTTAAGTAATATATAGACGCCTCGTTATAATTGTGGATAACTGTGGATTACAGATCGTAGCAGTGTCATGCAAGAGTTCACGAAATCGCCTCGTACGCCAGTTTCGGAAGATAAAGACCAAGGGAATGTGAGTAACGTGAAAAGCGCGCGAAACAGTGAGATTTGTTTATCGAATGCCCCACCATCCAAAAACGAGGAAACCGATAATACTGTGCTGCTCAGTCAAAGCAGCACTGTCAACGAAAAGTTGTTCAAAGGTATAATTATAAATTCTATTCTTGTTCCCATCTTTCTGTGTTCTGAAAAAAAAACAATAATGTGCTCACTCGTCCGTGTATAGAAACAAATCTTGTACTTGTATTATCGAAATTTTAACGTCACTTGATAAGTATTAAGAAGCATATTTTGCGCCAAGGATACTGGCATAATAATCTTGAGAAAGAGATAGTTATTATAAATTTTTTTCTGTACAGGTTTCAAGAAGTAATATTTTTTATATAAAACTACTATCTAAAAAGACAAAATCTTAAAAGATCTCTTCGATATTCTTATCTTTCGATGAAACGGTCTTTTATGTTATTATATTATTTCATATATTATTATACTAGCTATAAGAGATTTTTAATATTTTTGTCTTTTGTGGAAATGTTAATAATCCATATATAGATTTTTCTGAATGTATTGATAAAATTATACATATATTATGCAACAGGTTTAGCGTTTGCCGTAGCTGGTTTTGACAACGAGGACAATCATGTGGAGGAGACAATTGTAATGTTGGGTGGACGTCTAGTTTCGAGAAGCTATATCGGTATCCCGGATTACGGCGTTGTGCCTGTGGACGGGGCACCCTTAAAATATACGGTTAACGAAATCGTGAACAATTTTTTTATCGTAGGTATCCTTCACACATATTAATTTCTCATTTTTAAAAAGTTTTAAAAACCTATTCCCTTTTTTAAACGACAAACAAATTCCAAGCATAATTTCTTGTGTATCTCGCTGATGATATCGTTCATATATTGTTATTTTTTTAATTTGTTAATAGGAAGATTGCATATATCAGGAGCAAATTGTAGACGTCATGTATTACCACAGGCCGTTATCTATTAGAAAAGCTTGTGATCCATTATCGGGATGCGTCATAACGATGAGCATGTACACTGGTGCCGAACGAATGTACTTGTCGGCGTTGGCTACGAAACTTGGCGCTATGTAACGTATACTTGCCATTTACGTATATCGTGCAAATTTGTACATTTACAACGTATATACATACTACACTTTGCACGAAAAAGGTTTGTCAAAAATATAAATTTTGACAAGTACTTTTCTTTCAATATTCTTCAGATGTCAAGATATGTTTGCGCGGAAAGCTAATCCAGAGAAGAATACACATAGTAGTACGCATCTGGTTTGCCCATCCCCGGAAGGAAACAAATACAACGCGGCTGTGAGATGGAAATTGCCGGCCGTAACTGCCGACTGGCTGAAAACCTGCGCGGATCAGTTAACGCTCGTAGACGAAACCCCGTTTCTCGTCGGAGAAACAATTGGTAAATTGATTTCTGTATTTAGCTAATCAATTATCTTCCACTTTTTTCTGTTTTCTTTTTCTATTAATTAGACTACGAATTTTAAAGTTTTCATTATACTTATTATTGGAAATAAAAATATCATAAATTTCAATATTCCATGATTGAAAAATCTGTTTATCTCTTTAAATTTTTACTTAGAAAAATGAAAAATGTAATTTCTATCTTTTTCTATGCTTATATATATATTAATCATACGTATGTGTTAATAGCACCAGATAAATCGAATATCACTGGCGAAATGAATCTCTCGAGCGTACGCGAAAAGGGAATAGACTTAGCAAAGGAGACCACGCCAAGCAACACACCAAAAAATCGTTTATCTCAGATCAAGGTACGCCTTATTACAAAATCAGATTATTTTATTTTATTTTTTATCTGTAACATATATTTTTAGAATAATAAATGATTATAATATATAACATTAATGTACAGTCGTGGACGTATCAGTTGCAACATTTTTTTTAAATTGGTTTTTAGTATCTATTTAATATATATAATATATATTTTAACTAATATTTTGCAAATGCGAACCACGGTGGTGTATACTGTCTTTAATCTAGAGACAGTACATACTAAAAATCAATTTTAAAAAAGTGTCGCAACCGATATATCCACGACTGTACATTGAGTTTAACATGCTTGTAAAAATTTGATTTTGTTAATTTAAAACCATTTATCTTGAACTGCAAGATTTATTTTGCAATTTTTAATAACGTTATAGGATTTAGCTTCCATCGAAACTCCGTTGATAAACAAGAGGCTCAGTCTAATGAATACGCCTCAGTCACCATTTCACGTGTCCACTCCGGAGACTCCATACGGACAGGTCTTTAAGCCCAATCCTTCGCCGAACACGCGAAAAGGGTGGGCGAAATGGGCGGATAATTTTCCGGATTTGCAAGTGGAAGAACCGCCGATAAAACGACGCGCACCTAGCACTGTGAGTACCGTCTTCTCATGTAAAAATCATTTCTGTTTATATTAAAATTAAAATTAATAATCGAGCATTATTTGCAGCCGGTTGCAGAATTGAAGAGACAGCTTCTGGAGAAACTGAAGGAAGCAAGAAGTCCTGAAAAAGTAAGACACATAAAATATATTCAGGAGCCGCGTATAATCTCGTTGTTGAGGCGAATATTTCGCATGAGGATATAATAAATTTATAGTATCATGATGTTGCGATATATAATTAGTCTTTCACAAAAATGTTTTATAACACTCGACATTTTCTAGATTTCGTCTCGATATTTTCGTGACTTTGCAATAGCTACTGCTTTCAATGATTTATAATCATGCGTTAAAGAGTATTAATATTAGAATAACGGATGTTATTCAATATTGTTTTATGTTTTTAATTATCAGAAACGTGAATCGAAGAAGCACGAGGAGAATTCTTTTATGGAAAGAATCGAAAAGGCTGACGATCAGTCTAATAAAACCGCTCCGTCAACTCCCACCTCCACCAATCAAAAGTTCGATTTTAGTGAAAAAGGTAGCCCACTGCCAAATAACGAAATAAACATGTATGTATCTCTCAATTAAAATATAATGAAATAAGATAAAATATATATAAAATAAGAGATGAAGATTTTAAAAGTGATAAAGTTGTACGGCATACTTTGTGAACATAATACTTATGATACATACTTCTAAAGAAAGAGATTTGTGTTTTTTACAATATATTATTCTATATGTTACTTATATTGATTTGAAGAGTAAATTTGAATTTTGTGGTGAACAGGCAAATAGCGCAACTGGATCAAGTGCTTCAACGAACGTCGAATACTCCTGAAAATAGATACTCACTGTCCGGGGAAAATGCAAAGAAGTATAAGGAAGCTTCCGATCATCTACAAAAATGTGAGTATCCATAAATTACAACATTGCCTAGCCGATTTCCAACTTTTGTACATTGTTCTATCACTGATTTAATAATCATTTTACAAACGTAGGTATAGTAAAGGACTCGCAACCTATCGACGCCATTGTATGGGAGGATCCGGATCATCCAAAGCGGGTATGTAATCATTTCTCCTTTTAAATAATTTTAATATCTTCGAAAATTCAACTTTATTTTGAACACACGCATTAGCTTTCTGTTCCATGCTTTACTAAGGACAAATATATTTTAATTCATAATTCTCTTTCTATGAAATAAATAAATATATAGAAGTGACAAAAGTAAAAAAGCATATATAAAACACGGAGTTTGATGTTTAAAATCAAGCTTATGCAATTTTTAAACACAGAATTTATTACATTATCGTTAACTGCTTTTGTTGAATTGTGATAAATTTTGACGTAAAGATTTTTGTCATGATATCGATTTAATTTTTAATTTTTTTCTTCTGTGGATCTTTTATAGACACTATTTTTCATGAGCACTCAATTGAGCATTCTTGTGTATCAGTCTGATGCAGTGTTTGTTTTTACAGTCACTCTTAGATAAGCTGTCAAGTAAGGATAAACATAGCGATGATATTCACGAAGAACACGAGGAAGACGTTGCGAAACATGAACCGGAACGTTGCGAACCACCGACAACACGAAAATTTATGCTGTCGGGTATAAAGGTATTACACTTTCGGATGTAACGATATTGTTATTCTCATCTGATTTTTCACTCTGACGTACTTTGACGTATTTGAATAGGAGAAAAATGCATGCGAACAAATGATAAAAGATCTGGGCGGAGACGTGTCAGCGGAAGCAAATTTCGACAACACTTCCACGCATTTACTGTGCATGAGGCTTTCCAGAAACGAAAAGATGCTCGGTAGTATAGCTGCTGGAAAATGGGTCCTACATTACTCGTATCTACAGGATTCCGAACGAGAAGGCGAATTTCTCGGCGTTAGTATTTGACAAGTATCTTAAGGATGCTATCAGAGAATTAAAACGCCGATGCTTAACAGCATATTTTTCTTCTGGTTTCGAAAGCTCGAGAGAAAAATAAAAAAGACTCGACTGTATCGTTATTTGCATTACGTTTCCACGATGTTAGCCGTGAAATAAAATTTTCGTAGGAGGAGGAATACGAATGGGGCAATCCGAAGAGCAAAGACAGGATTCCAGAGCCAAATGGCGAGATGGAGAATGCGATCGCGGCCGCGGCTTACAGGTGGCGATTGAAATTGCAGAAGGAGCTGAACGACGGTCCATTTTCCGGTATGGTAGCTCTGCTGATGATCGCCAAGGAGAAATACGATCAGTTCAAGAGATTGATCGAAGCCGGCGGCGGCTTGGTCGTACAAGCAAGGTTCATATTGAACAATTTCCATAAAGAGAAAGAGAATATAGTTCTATTCGTAATATTGATAATATTATGAATTTTTCGATTTGATTGCAGACCGCCCTACGATGCCAGTCCGTCCGGACGCAAAATCACACACTGTTTCGTTAATGTGAAACAGGTGAGCAATGTTTTATTTCTTAGAATTCGCAATTCATTTAATGGCTTTTTTTTTCTTAAAAAATTTTTTCAATTAATGATTAATTACTTGCATTATATATAAATACTATATATATATAATTAAAAAAATTTATTTTATAACGTGGAAACTGAAACAAAGAATAGTGAGAGATGTTTGTTGCACTGCAAATAATTTATAACTACTGTTTATAATGTTAAGGCATAATTTATTGAATTTTTAATTTATTGGTTTATAATTTTTTGAAATAAATAAGTAATATTTTATCTATATAATATTTATATAAATAAATATAAGTAACATTTATATAAATAATATAATTACATTAAACAGGTAAATCAGCCTATAGACTGGGCTATGTTAGCTAGCAAGGGGATCCTCTGCTTCTTGCCGCAGTATCTCAGCGATTATCTGACTGCAGTGGTGCCGCTCAATCCGCGGAATTGCGTACTCCCAGAATTCAAGAAATATCTGACGCTTCTGCCCAAGTAGCCAGGTCAAAATTATGCTTAACTTTACAGACAATCATGTGTCGAGCATACCAATTCGTTAAAATACGTGGCATACGATAGTGTACATAGCGAATTCATGAGAATCATTGTCGAAGAGCTCGAAATAAAAGTCTCTTTTACAGAAAACAATTAATTGACTGATCGATAAGTTTATTTATTCGTTTATTTTTATTACAATATTTTGCACAGTTTTTTTTAAAGAAGTCGTTTCGAAATCTTGTATTTTTTTTTAAATATTAAAGTATAGCCACATAGTACCTGGTAGATATTCAATTAAAAATTTTAAGAATACAATTGTATAATGTTAAGAAAATTAATTATTATAAAAATATTAAATTGTACAGAAGATGATTGTACATAAGAAGTTTGCTAATAATCACAGCGATTACATTTCCACTATAAGAGAGTCACTCATGTCCCGCTAACATATCTATCAGTCAGAATATTTTTAATACACATTCAAATACACATTTAACAATGATAAAAACATAAAAATTGCAATAGTCGTATACCTATCGTTGCGTATTGCTGACGCGTTATGCCTTCTTAAAGTTCAGCAGAAATCCTGCCGGTGGCGAGGTGAATACGTTTCGCGGATCGAGGGGGCTTTTCCATGCGGGATTCAATGAAACCTCGTAATCACGTAAAATCGCTATTAGCCCCACGGCGGTTTGCAAAGTTCCCAGCCGCAAACCTAAATTATGATTAAATATAATTAAAAATCGAAAAAGATTGAGAGAAAATTTGCCGCTTATAGACAGATTCAAACCTTTTCTTTTATATTTATACTAGAATGAAACAGACGATCAAAATTAATTACTTATAAATTTTTTAAGTGTGTGAATATTTTTTTTAAACAACACCAAAATCTTGAGATTTTTGATACTATGAGAGAATGAAATAAATACATTTCTTTAATCGTTTCTACTCTGCGGAAATTACAAAAAAAATATGAATAACGGATCAAAATTATTTACTTATAAATTTTTTTAAATATTAAATGTGTGTGTGAGTACTTCTTTAAACAATACCAAAATCTTGAGATTTATGGCGAGAGAATGAAATAAATGCATTTCTTTAAGGTGGTTTTATCGAGCAAGTCCCAGTCAAATATTTAATATATTTTATATGCAAATAATATATATATATATATAATATTATTTATATATTTATTACGTAATATATTTAACAAACGTAATTCAATAAAAACATTTCGCATAGACTGAACATATGCGATTGTGTGACGTTTATGTGACAACGTTACACTATCGAGTTGACGTTGAGCGATAAAACCACTTTAATTGTTTCTACTCTGCGGAAATAACAAATATATACATAAATCTTATCGCGTAATAAATATAAAAGAATGATAAATGTCGTTTCTTCTGATAAATTCTATTCTATTCCGTTCTATTTAAGATAGAACGGAACGTGGGTCGGATTCACCAACCTATACAATTCCGTGGACCCTCTCCGAAGGGCAGGAAAGTGCAGGGTACAATCTCGTCCTTCCTCTCGTCACTGAATCGCTCGGGATCGAAACGCGTAGGTTCCCGATAGTATCTTGGGTCAGATTGAATGCCACGTAATATGACGTATACCGGTGTGTCCTTCTCAATAGTTATCTTCGTGCCGGGGAACTGTAATTTACTTTTGTAATTATAATTACAATTTATCTATGATTTGATTTATGAGTGATTTTCAAATCGACTTCGAATTGATTAAAAATCTGTTACTAATGATCTTTTTTTTTTAAATATATTAGATATAATCTATGTAACATAATGTATAATATCTCACTGTGTAATCGGTACTAGGAACTCTATCGAGAAGTGGCGCGGGCGGATGAAATCTTAGCGTTTCGTTTATCACTTGATGCAGATACTTCATATTGTGGACCGCTTCGTACGTTACACCGTTCGCATCCTTGATTGTCTTGAGGATTTCCTCCCTCAAGCGTTTCTGCATTTCCGGCTGCTTGGCCAGCTCGAAAAGAGCGCAGGTCATAGTAGTGATGCTGGTCTCGCGACCAGCCGCAAAGAAAATCCCCGCTTGTGCGAAAAGCGCGTCACCCTCGAATCCTGGAAAAAAACAGTGCAAATAGATCTTAATTTTTTCTTATATGGATCGTCAGTATTGAAATGTCATTTTTGCGGAATGATAAAAAAGAAATTTTAAATGAATACGAGTAATTAAATATTCTTGCGTTAAAATTGTGTTACATAAATTACTAATAATTATTGTGTGTAGTAAATATTAATTGCGAATGAAGGTTCACTTATAATATAAGATTAAAAGAAATTCGAGATTTTTAGTATTATATTTTCATATAAAGATAGCAGTTTGATTAGATAAAATGAATGATTAGATAAAATGAATATACATATATATATGTGTAATGCTATTTTTTCAGATCATTTTTGAAACGCTAAATATTGAATGTATTCATTAATTAATTACTCACGAATATTAGTGTTATCAGGTTTCTCATTTTTTAATTGCAAAAGAGAATCTATTAAATCTCCCCGTTTCGTTTTTGTGATGCTTCTATTGTCCATAGATTCCCAAAAGATTTTGCGGAAGTAATCCGTGTATTTGCCAAGCATCGAGGCGCCTACATGCTTTCCGATATTCGGCAGGAAGAATAAGAAGAAAAACTGCACGGCTCTTTTGAGGGACACAACGAAAGCCTTACGCGCTACGGAAATGAGCGAGTAAAAAGAAACACGTTGCAGAAAATTGAATGTAGACTTAAAAGATCGAAGTGCGCCGCATAAAGCACTTTAAAATTCATACTTATATTACTTATATTTATAATTTTACACTTACAGTTCACATAAAATTCCGGTGGTTCTTTGTCGAAGCAATTTATCCGAATTCCAAACGCCACGGAAGATATCACGTCGGTGGTATACATGTAGAAAGTGTCCTTGACAGTTATCGGCACGTTAGATTTATCGCCAATCTGATCGAGTAAATGATCTCTCATTTTTTCCCCGGACTCTTGCATCAGCACGAAGAGACTCTTCAGTTTGCCGCTCGTGAACACCGGTGACATTTTTGATCTGAATAAAAAGCAATCTCTTACAACATTTTTTTATTGTAAGACCACTTTTATGCCCTGATATATTTTAGATTCTTTATTAAATTATTTCTCATTTTTTTCTTTATCTTTTTATTATCTATCTCTCCTTTTAATAGCATTCTTTGACAGTCTTTTTGCAAATTAATGAAAGAAATACATTCAAATCGTTTTGCAGAAAGAAATTGTCGAAGAGTGCTATTGAAAAGAGAGATATAATAAAAAGAAAAAAAAATAGTTTAATTTTTTTCATACGATCCATGTATATATATAATGCTTGCCTCAAATATTTCCATTCAGGATTTCGTATGGAGAAGAGACTCCATTTGCTGACATTATCGGAATTGCTTGCCCCTCTGAAGTGATGATTCGTGAACAGATGGAAGTCCTTGATCATTATCTGCTTTATCAGTTCCGGATTCCTTAGAAGCAGGAACGGCTTATGTAGGATGTAGATCCCCAGGACATCTGATTCCCCGGCTTCCTGGTGCAGTTCACTGAGAACCCCTCCCGCCGGTCGGCGCAACAGCATCGCATCCTTGAAGTGACCGAAGAACCAATGTGCAGGCAATGTAGGTACGCCACGTCTCTGCCAATAGGTATGTTTCCACTTCATCCATGAATATAACATCGCGAATAGCGACGAGAATATTATGAGCGCATCCAAAAGGGCGCATTCGGTTAATATGGCCATTTTTGCGCGCAAGTTGCACGAAATATCTCCTGCAATTCCATATAAAACTCGGATTAAATTAAGAAACTTTGTGCACTTTATACAAAAATCTTCTTTGCATAAAACCCTATCGGAATTGTACAATATTATGCAAAACTGTGCGCAAATTATGTAGAAAATTCAGTAAAAAGACTTGGTGCGTACTTCGTAAACACTGCGTGCAGTCCACTCCAGATGCAGCGTGAAACTGAGATAATAAGCGAAATTGACCATGATAGTCAAAGCAATTTGCCGAGTCATTTATCAGAGAAGTGGAGTTTATTTTTCTTGGATATACTAGGTGTCGTAAAGTTTAACAGAAATATCACAGTAGGAGAGAATTGGTAAAAAAAAACTAAAAATAAAAATGTATCTTTTTATTTCAAATAATAATTTTTTTAAATACGGTTGTTTGAAGTTTGGCCACGAACTTAAAGCTGTGACTGAAGAGTCGAATAATTTACATATCATGTAGTCATAATATACATATAATGCATATATGCATTAATGCATTAATGCAGTCGTCGCTATATATATATATATATATATATATATATGCAACTCGTATTTAGAAAATCAATTTAGCATAAAAAGTTTAATGCGCGCGTTTTAATTCCTACTGTAATGTCTCTCTATATGTGAATTATGTAATATCTTATATATTTAAACGAACGTAATATGTGCATATCTGGTGATACTAAAGTGACAAATTATTCAATACGTTAAAATTAAAGTCACACAGTGGACACATTTCTGTATCTTAGTAAACTTGTTTTTATTTTATATATTTGCATTTATCTTAATCTAGATAAAATTAAGATGTCTGAAATCTTAAGATTGATAATTGTTTACTTATCATTTATTATTGAAATAATAAGTAATTTTGAGACTTAAAGATGTCAATATCGTTATAAAAATGGATACTCTCAACAAATGACGATTAGATAGTAATAACAATTAGACATCAAAAGAACATTATCAGTTGACTAAACGAGAAAAGATATCAATTGTTTAACGTTATTTCTCACTACAAATATGTCTCGTAAATATGATAAATTCCTTATAAAATTGGCCACAGTCCAAAAAGATTACGTATTTATGCTATATATAGAGGTAAATTTCTATAAATATCAAGTTCAGTCGTTTGGGATCGCTCAAAAAAAGTACGCTATCTGCAGATGTACGTTTGACATACATATTTCGTTATGCAAACTTAAACGAAGTTCGTCTTTGTGTAAAATCAGATTGCGAAATTTGTATTTATTCATTTCGATTCTTATCAGTGACTATTAATAAGTTCGGCTCAATGAAAAATTATATTTGGTGTTATCGTATCTTCTTGAAGTACAGTTGAATTCCATTGCACGCAACCGTGAAGGTCGAACGCGAATCGAGAAAACTCACGTGTTCTTTAGTCTGCCAAACTTCGTATTCTCTCAGTAATAAAGCTAGAACAACTTTAGTGTGCAGTTGGCCCACTCTTACTCCTGCAAACAATTTATATATACAATTTATAAGACTATAATTTATCGCAGTGATCAAGCATTAGATCAAAAGAATGAACTTCTCAGTAATCTTATAATATCAAATCGTAAGTTAATCGAATTTCAAGAGTAAGAAATCTTCAGTGACTTGTTCACAAGATCCTGAATTTTAAAAAATGTATTTTTTTTTAAGAAATAATTAAACTGTAATTATATAATAATCGGTAATTAATTAATAATAATCTATATAGCCTATATATGTGTTTTTGTGCCTTTTTTGTAATCTTCTATTTCATAATCTTAATTCTAATTATAGTTATATAATTAACTACATAACTTAATTATATAATCGAATATGGGTTTACACGCATAAAAAGTTATTTATCGTAAGCCCACTTTCATCAATCTGACGGAAGTGGTAAGTCGTAATCTCCGATTAGAAAGTAAATTTTTTTTTGATATAAATTTTAATAAGATCTTGAGGTGTTCTTTTCTTAACATCTATTTCGCTGTATATCACTTAAATGCTTCTATTCTTAGGAGAAAACATATAGTCTTGAAACAGATTATTTATCCATTGCTATAGTTCTTACTATTACTTACCTACGCACATCCTAGGACCAATCCCGAACGTCATATAGGCATCGGGAATGTGATTGCCCTCGGCGAATCTGTCGGGGTTGTAGACTTCCGGTTCATCCCAGAATCTAGGATCCATCCCAAGTCCAGACAAGGAGATATATATTGGCGTGCCTTTCTCGATGATGATATCAGTGTTAGGAATCTGAAATTTTACATATTTTATCAATATGAAATTAAAACCGTTAATGGACAACATACACAACAATTTTGGAAACACAGTTTAATTTTATTAGGAACAAAACTGCTGTCACAATAGATAATTAATCATTAAATATATCAATATTTAATCATTCCAAACTTACACAAGTTTAAAAACGTTATTATATTATTCTTCAAAGAGACTTTTTAAAGAAATAAGAAATAAATGAATGCTACAAAACTTATCTTCGATCTTAAATAAATCTTATAAAAACTTATACTTTTTAGTTTCTTTTATAATGTTCAAATTCAAGAATAAAAATATTTTTAAATGAGAATCAGAGATCTCCCTAAGACATAATTATAATTGGATTTCAAATTGACCTTGTAATCCTCACGAGTGTATCTGTCGACAATAGGCACGGGTGGATGCAGCCTCAGACTTTCGAGTATAGTTTGCTCCAGATACTTCATATCCTGGAACGCCTCGTATGTCCAACCGTATTCCTCGATCGCTCTATTAATGTCTTTCCTGGCCAGCTCCTGATACTCCGGATGCTTCGCCAGTTCCATTAGAGTAAAGGATGTGCTCATGGAGCTTGATTCGAAGCCGGAGAAAAAAATGCCGGACTGATACAGTAGATTATCTCCCTCGAATTCTGTAGTACGCATTCAGTGTTTATTCTCAAATCATTATCTTTTTTTATCTGTATGATTTAATAGCGATCCCTTAAACGTAACGTAATTTGCAACAAGTGCTTCTGAAGGAAAAATAAATATTTTATAAGTAAATATTGACAATTAATTATGTGATAATGATTATAAATACTCTGCTATCCAGATAGTAAGCTGATATTATTTGCCATTGCTAAAAATATCATTTCAAATTGATATTTTTAGTGACATTTGGACGTCATATTGTTGGAACTACAATCCATTTTTCAATTTCAAGTCAACAATGTCGCTAGTTTATCCGAAATAAAATCATCAATTTTCTCGATCGATTAAAGTAATAAGTAATATTTACGCGATAGTAATATTTACAGTGTCAACATATGCAAAGTTACTTACTATAAATGGGATTCTGTTCGCCGTTTTTCATTTGGAGCAGTGAGTCAATGAAATCTCCTCGCTTCTCGCCGGTCTTCTCGCGATTCTCCATCGCATTCCAGAAGATTTTTCTCACGAAGGTGAAATTAAAAAGCATTCTTGTTCCGATTATTTCCACTAGTTCGGGCATGAAAAATACCGTTATTAGAGCAACCATCCTCTTGAATCCGTAAAAGAACTCTTTAACTGCGAAGTAGAATTAATTCTGAGTTATATTGTATATGGATCATCAATATTATACATTTTTTATTTATTTAAAATGTAAATGAATATTCTTGGTTTGTAGATTTCAAAAAATGGACCAATCAATATATAACTTATGCATTAAGTACAATTCATAATAAATCTTTTTTTTCAACGATTTTATATAACATTTCTTATATTTATTAAGGTCAAATTTACATTTTAAATTTTGTCAAAATTTCTTATATTAGATCTTTAGATTTAAAAAATTTAAGAAGCAAACGCGAGAATTGAAAAAAAAAACGAGTTGTCAGTTCTCGATTTCAAAAATAATACATTGTTTGTTATTTCCTCAATTAGCAATCAATATTTTATGCTACATTCCAAAACGTGCTTTCGAAGAAAATTTTATTAAAAAGTTACAGTTTACATTACGTACGTGTGACAGATTATTTTTAATACATTATTTTCAATGAAATTTTTCCTTGAAAGCAACGTTTTGGAATGTAGCATAAAATATTGATTGCTTAAGCAATCAGGAACCTTAAGCTTGGAGACACAAAATGTGCGATTTTTCGCACTAGATCGCATGTGATATAACTGCTAAAGCGTATTGTGTGCCTTTAAGGCATCATCATATTATTTCATTAGATGATGAGAACACAGGTGAGAAATCTTGTAAATAATACTAAACGCCTTTTAATCTATCTGTTTTTTATTTATGAGAATTGAAACTGCGTCTCGTCCATATTGCAAATGAATTTTTAATGTATAAAAATTTAAATCAATGTTGATTAAATATTAAATAGATGATTTTTGAAATCATTTTTGTAAATGAATTATTAATCTAACATATTAAGTAACGTTAAATAACTCAAAAATAAGTACCTGCGGCCGAGAATTCCTTGTTCGAATAGTAGAAGGAATCTACCTTAATGCCGAGCGCAATTGAAGCGATTAAATCGGTCGTGTATTTGTAATTGAAATCTTGGACGTCCAACAGTTTCATGTTGTTGTGATCCACCGGTTGATCTTTTATATAGTTCAACATGGGCTCTGCGGTCTCCATCATCAACGGCAACATCTGCTTCAATTTTGCCATCGTCAGGGTAGGCGTGATCTTAGTTCGTAGATATTTCCAGGCCGGGTTCTTCAAACCGAACAGATTCTTCATACCGAAACTGTCCTTCTGATTAGAGCCGGCAAAGTGACGGTCGGAGAAATTGTCAAAATCGCGAATCATGACATGCTTGATGATCTCTGGATCGCGTAACAGCAGACACGGCTTGTGAAAGATGTAGAAGCCAACGAAGGGCGCGTCTGGACGGGCCATCTTGTACAGGTCACCGATATGCCATCCTGGCGCGGAACGGAAGAGCACGGCATCTTTGAAGTTGCCGAAGATCAGATTGGGAGTGAGGAATTCGACGCCGCGTCTCTTCCAGTAGCTCACCTTGTCACTGAATAATAGACCAACATTCAAATTTTATAATTGTAATACATATTTAATGTACACTCGCTCACTAAAAGGTTGCGACACATTCTTTTTTATAGGTTTCAAAACACATTAATATTTTGCAAATGCGGACCACGATTGGTGTTATACTGCCTTTAAACTAAAGATAGTACATCGTGGTTTGCATTTATGTGGTTGCAAAATATTAGTTATCCATAAAGTATATATTACGTATATTAAATATAAATTAGAAACCTATAAAAAAAAGTGTCGCAACCTTTTAGTAAGCGAGTGTACATACAGGGACCAAGCAAGATAGACCTCCAGATAATACACTAAAATCTAGACATAAAGTCGTTTGAAAGACGTCTTTTAGACGCCTCTCGCAAAGATGCCTTTAAGATATCTTATATCTTGATTTTGGACTTTATATTGTTTGGGAAGTTTCAAGGTATCTTATTTAATGGGAAGTTTCAAGGTATCTTATTTAATCAATTCAATTTAGTCAACTTCAATTTGAATTTCGAAGTTTATTAGCGTAATAATAAAAATATAATTGATAGACAATGAAAAAGGCTAATCTGTTAAACAGATATATTCGTTCTGATACATATTATATAAAATATTATTCAATCATTTTTACTCATACTAACCTGGCATAGGTCCAAAAAAGAAGTGCTATCGCCGTAGCGACGATTATAAAAGTGAGCAACATGGTGTTTTTTTTTTCCTTCACGTTTACTTCAGGCGACTAACTCGAACAGGAACTCTTCCACCAGCTTTATAAGCGATCACTCACTTATTCCATATGCCTATCTGGGTAATGAAACATACATTATTATAATTGAGGAGGGAACAGTCCTGAAAAAGCAAAGTAATCAGAAAGAAATTAATAAAGCTACATATAGGTATGCAATCACGATTGATAATTATCATGAGAATCGTTAAATTTAACGTTTATTTACGTTTGTTAATACGTTTCTGATTTTCTAAATGGCACAATAAATCCTGTGAAAATTATCCTGAAGTAATATTATTCGCAATAAGTTATTTTCACAGGATTTAAAAAAAATGTTCTATGAGCATCGAATTAATCTGCCTTATCAATTTAATTATTATATTACGTACTGTTCAGTTTGGAGCTGCGTTGTAAAGACCGACGATGTCACGATTATGCAGCGCGCAGTTTGCCTGAACTGAGAAATGTAAAATTTACATATTATAATATTATCAAGCAGCAATTAAGATCTGCTTTGTACCATGTTGGCGTTTTCATATCTCAATATTATAATAATACACTGGTTAACAAATAAACGTATCGGTAAATTATATCAAAATTTTATATAATTATATAAAAATTTCACAGTAACTTTAGACAATCGTAACTCCGCGAAAAATGGTTGTATCAAAAAGTTTTTTTTTTTCATTCTCAAGGGTATAAAGCCTGTACTTAAAGACGTTTTTGATCGGTTTTGAATCTACTTTTCCTCCCACCCGTCATCTTTTGAAAAAAATGTGTTTTTTTTGGAAACGTTTAACATGTCTTTACATCTTTTGAAAAAGATGTCTTTCCAAAAAAATTGCATAATTTGACGCACTCTACGGGACGGAATGAATTTTTGTCACAAATGTCATCATAACCATCATCAAAATTTTGACTTTTTTACAAATATGAAAAAAAATAAAACTATACGATTATTTTTCGCGGAGTTACAACATGTCAACGTTATCGTTGCACCTTTGTTAAATTACTAATGCTGCTAGCATTAGCATTATCTGTCTAGTGCGCCATCACAGGAAAATTCCTGGTAGAATTTGGCGCATTGCTGTGTATGTGTATGTGTGTGTGTGTGTGTGTGTGTGCGTGCTGCGCATGCAAGGCGAAGTATATGGATATTGCACTTAAAAATTGCGTATTTTCATCACCAAATCCAAATTGAAATCCCATTAAACACACATACACACGCGCGCACAGAGAGATAGATAGATAGATAGAAAGGTAGGAAGAGAGAGAGAGAGAGAGAGAGATAGATAGAGAGAGAAGTCTGATAAGTTTGATCATTAAATATTGCGAAAATGTTGAACCGTAGAGTTCTCATACAATGCGCAAAATTCGTCCAACAACCTGCCTGTGGTGCGCGCTAGACAGATAATGCTAATGGCTAGCAGTAATTGAACAAAAATGCAATAATAACTCAGACATGTTGTTACTCCACGAAAAATAATCGTACGACGTTTTATGTTTTTTTTTCAAATTTGTAGGAAGAAGTTTACAATGGTTACCATATGACATTTGCGAAAAAAAGTCATTCCATCCCATAGAGTGCGTCAAATTATGCAATTTTTTTTTGGAGTTATGATTGTCTATAAAGTTATGCGAAATTTTGATATAAATTTACCTATACGTTTATTTTGTTGACCAGTGTATATTTTCACTTTGTTCACTCATAAAGAAGTTACTCACAAAATCGTCTCACAGCTTTTTTTGTTCTATCTTACTGCACCTATCTTTTTGCACAAATGCAACGCAACCGAACTTATAAAAAGACCCTGGCACAAACTTTTGTATAACGCTGCATAACGCATAAGACATAAGGCATAAGAGAATTAATCAATCAGGGTATGAAATGAAGGACTTTGATTGGTTGATTTTCTTATGCTTTATGTAGAATGTTCAATGTAGACTTAAAAGATCGAAGTGTGCCACATAGAGTATTTCTAAATTCATACTATTGCTTATATTTAATTTTACTTACAGTTTACACAAAATTCTAGCGATTGTGTGTCGAAGAAATTTATCCGAATTCCAAACGCCACGGAGAATATCGCTTTGGTGGTATATATATTTGTAGAACGTATTGACGGCACAATAGATTTATCGCCAATCTGATCGAGCAAATAATCTCTCATCTTTTCCACATTTCTTGCAAGAAGAGACTCTTCAACCTACCGCTCGTGAACACCGGTAACATTTTCGATCTGAACACGAATTAAGCAGTCTCTCGGTAATCGCAATATTTTTTTTATTATAAGAACTTTTATGTCCTGATATGTTTTTATTTTTAGATTTTTTATTAAATATTGTTTTTTATTTTTTTCCTTTATCCTTTTATTATATCTATCTCTCTTTTTAATAGCTCTCGTCAACAGTTTTTTTGCACATTAATAAAAAAATACATTCAAGTTATTTTGCAGAAAGACTGTTGACGAGGGCTATTAAAAAGAGAGATAGATATAATAAAAAGATAAAGGAAAAAAATAAAAAACAATATTTAATAAAGAATCTAAAAATAAAAACATATCAGGACATAAAAGTTCTTATAATAAAAAAAATATTGCGATTACCGAGAGACTGCTTAATTCGTGTTCAGATCGAAAATGTTACCGGTGTTCGAAGAGTGTTATTAAAAAAAAGAGATAAAATAAAACGATAAATGACAAAGAAAAAAAAAATTCAATTTTTTTCACAATTTATGTAACGTATATATGTACACTACTGGTCAAAAGTTTAAGTTCACCCTCAGTAAATTTTTGTCCATTTTTAAACTTTGATTACTCAGCGAATAATTGACGTAAACAATAGATCAAAGAAAAGGATTTTAAAAACTCTACTATAAGATGCCTTTGTTCAATTTTTACTCACTTTATAATACTCAAAGGCTTGATCAGCTTTGAATAAAGGCGTATTTAACACGTCTAAAATCTTGAAATTTGTGATCTTTCTAATAAAAAAAAACTGCTTAATAAAAAAAATTGACAAAAATAATCGTTGGTACCATTCCAAAATATGGACTTTATCTTTTTAAATTAAAAAAAAAAACTTTCTTACTCTGATTATTTAGCAAGATATTGCAATTTTTACTAACCTCTATTTTTTACGATTTTAGCACGACATATCGTAAAAAAATCGTAACAAAAATGAAGGTTACTTAAAATTGTAATATCTTGCTAAATAATCAGCGTAGGAAAAAGTTTGTTTTTTTATTTGAAAGGGGAAAGTCCGTACTTTGAGATGGTACCAACGATTATTTTCGCCAATTTTTTTGTTAGGCGGTGGAAGATCACAAATTTCGAGATTTTAGATGTGTCAAATACGTCTTTATTTAAAGCTGATCAAGCCTTTGAGTATTAAAGTGAGTAAAAATTGAACAAAGGCATCTTATACAGTAGAGAGAGTTTGCCCTGTAAAATCCTTTTTTGACATCTATTTTTTTACATCAATTATTTGCTGAGTAACCAAAGTTTAAAAATGGGCAAAAAATTCCTGAGGATAAACTTAAAATTTTGAGCGGTAGTGTATGTTTGCCTCAAATATCACCATTCAGAATTTCGTATGGAGAAGAGACTCTATCTACTGACATTGTCGAAATTGTTTGCTCCTCTAAAGTGATATGATTCGAGAACACGTTAAAGTTCTTGATTATTATCTGCTTTATCAATTCTGGATTCCTTAGAAGCAGGAATGACTTATGTAGGATGTAGATCCTCAGGACTTCTGCGTTTACGAGTTCCTAGTGCAGTTCACTGAGAACCACTCCCGTCGATCTATACGTGCAACAGCAATGCATCCTTGAAGTGACCGAAGAATCAATGTGCAGGCAATGCAGGTACGCCACGTCTCTGCCAATATAGGTATGCTTCCATTTTATCCACGAGTAAAACATCGCGAATAGCGACGAGAAATATTAATTAATATTAATATTACGATCGCGTCCAAAAAAGCGCATTCGGTTAATATTGCCATTTTTTTACGCGAACTGCACGAGATATCTTCTGCAGCTCCATATAAAACTCGGATTAAATTAAGAAACTTTGTGAACATTATACAAAAATCTTCTTTGCTGTTTGCATAAAACTTTTTGAATGGTATAAGATAATGCAAAATGTGTTCAAATTATGTAGAAGATTCAGTAAAAATTAGACTTGGTGCATATTTTGTAAACACATGTGTCTAGTCCACTGCAGGTGGAACTCAGTGGAACTAACAATGAGTTCAATAAACGAAAATTATCATTTGACTATATGTAGTATCAAAGCAACTTGCCAAGTCATTTATTAGTGAAGTGGTGTTTATTTTCCTCGGACATATTAAGTGTCATAAAAATTAACAGAAATATCACAGTAGAGAATAGTTGATAAAAAGACTACAAATTAAAGTGTATCTTTTTATTTCAAATAATAATTTTTTTTTAATATGGAATTTTAAAGTTTGGCCATGAATTTAAAGCTGTGACCGACGAGTCGTGAATAATTTACATATTAGTGCTCGATCTTTTTCCAACGGTATTTGATCATGCAATATGCAGTTATTACTATTATATATACGCAACTCGTAATTAGAAAATCATTGGGAATAAAAAGTGTAATTCCTGCTGTGATATTTTTGTGTATATTTTTACGCGAATTATGTAACATCTTAAATGACTTAAATGTTTCGTCAAAAGAACTTGATGTGTGCATATCTGGTGACTGGACACTAAAGTGATAAATTATTCAATACGTTAATTAAAGTCACACATGTGAACGCATATTTCTGCATCTCAGAAAACTTGTTCTTATTTTATATTTGAATTTATTTTAACCTAGATAAAATTAAGATGTCTGAAATCTTAGGATATAATTATTTATGATTCTGAAATAATAAATAATTTCGAGATTTAAAGATATGCAAAATCACTATAAAAATCGCTGCTCTCAACAAATGATGACAACTAGATAGTAATAACAATTGGACATTATCACAAGAACATTATTAGTTGAATAAACGAGAAGGGATAGTAATTGTTTAACGATAAAATCTGCTACAGTCCGAAAAGATTACGTGTTATTCCATATATAGAGATTTATTCCATATATAGAGATTTATATATAAATATCAAGTTCAGTCATTTGAGATTATTCAAAACGTACGCTGTCAGATATAATATGCTTGGCATACATATTTCGTTAAGCAAACTTAAACGAAGTTCGTTTTTGTGTAAAATTAAATTGCGAAATTCGTACTTCGATTTTTATAAGTGACTGTTAATGAATTCGGTTCAATGAAGAGAATTATATTTGGTATTATCGTATCTTCTTGAAGTACAATTTAATTCCATCGCACGCAGCCGTGAAGGTCGAACGCGGATCGAGAAAACTCGTGTGCTCTTTGGTCTGCCAAATTTCGTATTCTCTCAGTAATAAAGCTAGGACAACTTTAGCGTGCAGTTGGCCCACTTTCATTCCTGCAAACAATTTATGTAAGACAATAATTAATCGCAGTGATCAAGCATTAGATTAAAAGAATAATTCCTCAGTAATCTTATCAAATTGTAAGTTCGATCGAATCTCAAGTGTAAAAAATCTTAAGTGATTCATTCAAAAGGTTTCAAATAGAAAAAAAATATATTTTTTTAAGAAATAATTAAACTGTAATTATATAATAATCGACAATCAATAAAAAATCTTTATAGCCTATATATATTTTTGTGCCTTTTTTGTAATCTTCTATCTTATAATCTCAATTCTAACTATAGTTATATAATTTCCTAGATAACTTAAATTATATAATCGAGACTATGGGTTTATACGCATAAAAAGTTACTTATCGTAAGCCTTTATCGATCTGACGGAAATGGCAAGTCATAATCTCCGATTAGAAAGTAAAATTTTATTTTGATATCAATTATGATAAGATTTTGATGTGTTCTCTTTTTGATAACTATTTCGTTAATCACTTAAATGCTTTTATTCTTAGGAGAAAGCATATATATTCTTGAAATAGATTAGCTATTTATTGCTATTGTTTTTACTATCACTTACCTACGCACATCCTAGGACCAATCCCGAATGTCATGTAGGCATCGGGAATGGGATTGCCTTCGGCGAATCTGTCGGGGTTGTAGACTTCCGGTTCATCCCAGAATCTACGATCCACCCCAAGTCCGTACAAGGAGATATATATTGGCGTGCCTTTCTCGATGATGATATCAGTGTCAGGAATCTGAAATTTTACGTATATTTTTTAATATGAAATTAAAACCATTAATGGACAACACCCATACACAACAATTTTTGGAAACAGGGTAAATTTTATTAGAAACAAAACTGCTGTCACAATATAAATAGTTAACCATTAAATATGTTAACATTATTCTTTAGAGAGACTCTTTAAAGAAATAAGAAGTAAATTAATGTTACAAAACTTTTTTTTGGTCAGAAATAAATCTTATAGAAACTTATAATATTTGGTATCTTTTGTAATGTTCAAATTCAAGAATAAATATATTTTGAAATGAGGTCAGAGATCTCCCTAAGACATAATTATAATTGGATTTCAAATTGACCTTGTAATCCTCACGAGTGTATCTGTCGATAGTGGACACAGGTGGATGCAGCCTCAGACCTTCGAGTATAGCTTGCTCCAGATACTTCATATCCTGGAACGCCTCGTATGTCCAGCCGTGTTTCTCGATCGCTCTATTAATGTCCTTCCTGGCCAGCTCCTGACACTCCGGATGCTTCGCCAGTTCCATCAGAGTGAAGGATGTGCATGTGGAGCTTGATTCGAAGCCGGAGAAAAAAGTGCCGGACTGATACAGCAGGTTTTCTCCCTCGAATTCTGCAGTACGCATTCAGTGTTTATCGTTAAATCATTTATTTCTTTTTCTTATTTAATAGCCAATACTTAAATGTCACGTAAGTGTTTATCGTCAAATCATTTATTTCTTTTTCTTATTTAATAGCCAATACTTAAACGTAACGTAATTTGCGACAAGTGTTTTTGAAGGAAAAATAAATATTTTATAAGTAGATATTGACAATTAGTTATGTGATAACGATTGTAAATACTCTGCTATCTAGATAGCAAGCTGACATTATTTGCCGTTATTATGACGTCAAAATAATATTTTTAGCGACATTTGGACGTCATATTGATGGAATTACAATCTAGTTTTCAATTTAATTCAAGTCAACAATATCGCTAGTTTATCCGAAACAAAATCACGAATTTTCTCGGCCAATTAAAGCGCGATAGTAATATTTGCAATGTCGAGATACAAAATTATTTACTGAAAACGGGATCCTGTTCGCTGTTTTTCAGTTGAAGCAACGAATCAATGAAATCGCCTCGCTTCTCGCCGGTCTTCTCGCGATTCTCCATCGCATTCCAGAAGATTTTTCTCACGAAGGTGGAATTAAAAAGCATTCTCGTACCGATTACTTCCACCAGTTCAGGCATGAAAAACACCGTTATGAGAGCAATCATCCTTTTGAATCCGTAAAAAAACTCCTTAACTGCGAAATTAATTCTGAGTTATATTTGGAACGTCAATATTATATTTTTCGATTTATTTAAAATGTAAATGAATATTCTTAATAATCTGTAGATCTCAAAAAACGGACCAATCGATATATAATTTATGCATAATTTATGCAATTTATAATAAACCCTTTTTCTCAACGATTTGATATAACATTTTTTATAATTATTAAGGTAAAATTATTTTAAATTTTTACGAAGATTTCTTATATTAGACCTTTAGATTTAAAAAAATGTAAGAAGCAATTACGAGAATTGAAAAAAAAACTTGTCAGTTCTCGATTTTAATAATATAATACGATCATCGTTTGCTACTCAATCTGCAAGCAATATTTTATGCTACATTCCAAAACGTTGCTTTCGAAGAAAATTTTACTAAAAAGCTGTAGTTCAAATTATGTATGCTACAGATTTTTAGTAAAATTTTTTTTTGAAAGCAACGTTTTGGAAAGTATCCTTAAACTTGAGACACACGATGCGATTTTTCGTATGTGGTCTTAAGACATCATATCATTTCATTAGAAATTATTAGAATGTGAGAACATGGGTGAGAAATCTTGTAATGCTAAACGCCTTTTAATCTATCTGTATTTTATTTACGAGAACTGAAACTGCATCTCATCCATATTGCAAGTGAATAATTAATAAAATACAAAAATTTAAATCAATGTTGAATATTAAATAAATAAATAATTAATTTTTCAAATCATTATCGTAAATGAATTATGAATGTAACGTAAATATCAAGTAAACGTTAAATAAATCAAAAGAAGTACCTGCGGCCGAGAATTCCTCGTTCGGAAAATAAAAGGAATCTATCTTAGTACCGAGCGCAACTGAAGCGATAATATCGGTCGTGTATTTGTAATTGAGGTCTTGGGCGTCCAACAGCTTCACGTTGTCGTGATCCACCGGTTGATCTTTTATATAGTTCAACATGGGCTCTGCGGTCTCCATCATCAATGGCAACATCTGCTTCAATTTGCCCCTCGTCAGGGTAGGCGTGATCTTTGTTCGCAGATATTTCCAGGCCGGATTCTTCAGACCGAACAGATTCTTCATGCCGATACTATCCTTCTGATTAGAGCCGGCAAAGTGGCGGTCGGAGAAATTGTCAAAATCGCGGATCATGACGTGCTTGATGATCTCTGGATCGCGTAACAGCAGACACGGCTTGTGAAAGATGTAGAAGCCGACGAAGGGCGCGTCTGGACGGGCCATCTTGTGCAGGTCACCGATGTGCCATCCTGGCGCGGAACGGAAGAGCACGGCCTCTCTGAAGTTGCCGAAGATCAGATTGGGAGTGAGAGACTCGACGCCGCGTCTCTTCCAGTAGCTCACCTTGTAACTGTATGATAGACCAACATTAAAATTTTACAATTGTAATTCATTATTAATGTACATACAGGAACCTGGCAACCCAGACAACACGAAGTTTAAAATCGACATATAAAGACGTTTGAAAGATGTCCTTTATACGTCTTTCGCAAAGATATCTTTAAGATGTCTTATGTCCCGACTTTGGACTTCGTATTGTTTGAGAAATTTTAAGGTATCTTATTCAGTTAACTTCGATTTGAATTTTAAAGTTTATTAGCGTAATAATAAAAATATAATTGATAGACAATGAAAAGGGCTAATCGGTCAAGCAGATATATATTTGTGCTGTTATATATATATATATATATATATATATATATATATTATGTTAAATATTATCTAATCACTTTTACTCATACTAACTTGGCATACGTCCAAAAAAGTGCTACTGCCGTAGCGACCAATATAAGAACGAGCAACATGGTGGTTTCTTTTCTCTCACGTTTACTTTAAGCGACTAACTCGAATGAGAGCTCTTCATCAGCTTTATAAACCGATAAGCGATCACTCACCTACTCCATGTGCCTATCTGGGTAATGGAACATACATTGAAGAGGGAACCAATCCTGAGAAAGCATAGTAATCAAAAAGGAAATTAACGAAGCTACATATAGGTATGAAATCACGATTGATGATTATATCAAGACAGTCGTCGAATTTAATGTTTATTTAATCTCATTAATACGACGTCGGATTTTTAACGTTTGTTTTATCTCATTAATTCTGATTTCCTAGCTGTGACACAATTTGATATATTATTGCAAATAAATAAAAAATAAAATAATGTATGGATATTAATAGATATTTACTTAATAGATATAGTTACTTTATCGCTAGTTTCAACATATTTATTTTCAAAGTTTTTTTTTCAAACTAATTTTTTACCCTAATTTTCAAGTACTTATTTTCGTTATTTAAGAGTTTTATGTTTCCTCTGTTATGTAAAACTAAAAATATTTTAAACTTTAATATTCTAACATTAAGTTTTTGTGTATTAATTTTTATGCTTTCGTTATGTTTGTTTATATGCCACTTGTTACGAAAGATAACATTTCTTTTTATATTTATCAGTTATTGCGATAAATATTGCCACGTGCCTCCCTAGCACAAAGAGTTAAAAAAAACTCACAATTAGTCATATGTCATCAGTTTTGAAATCATTTTCGGATGCGAAAAGAATTTTTCTTTTTGCATCTGAAAATAAATTCAAAATTAATGACATACAACTGAATATACGAATAAATTCTTTTCAAATTCTGTATGTTATCTGGGTCGATATTCGTATAAAACACCCGCCCGAAGAGCAGCGAGGTTCAGATTCAAATGGCTGAGATAATATTTTTCGCAATAAGTTATTCTACATTATTTAATAGATGCTCATTAGCATTAAAAATTATTAAATTACTTGTTAATTTTATTATAATCTTACGTGATTTAAATTCAGTTAGAGAGCTGCAGTTTTCAAGACCGACCAAATATGTATTCCGCGCGCAGTTTATCTGAACTGGAAATTGTAAGACTCACACTACAATAATCAATACAAATTTTCGCTCGAATTACTAAACAATAGAGAACAACAAAAGGAACGGTCAACAAATCGAGCAAATAAGGATAAAATTATGAAGGAAATGCTTTATTATGAGAAATAAGAAAACGTGTCGACCTTATTCCTTTTCAACCGTATTAAAATTTTAACAAAAAAGACAAATAAAAATTAAATATAATTATATAATTTATATACATATTGTAAATAAATTTAAATACAAAATAAATAAAAGTTAAACAAATACAATTGGACAGAAACAGATAAGAATCTCCAAGTCACTTGTATTTTCAAACTTGATACGACAAGTGACACTGTCACATTCCGCTGACGTAATTTTCTGGTTTTATTTTTTCATTTCTTTAATTTTATCTGATTACGGACCATTTTTATTTCATTTATCACTTTAACTTTATTCCTCGCATCCAAACGACGAACGAGTTTTAATTTTTTTACGGCATTGTCTTTTTTAAATAAATTATGATTTATAATTATTGGAATTATGATGGGATTTGTGTCTGCCTAATGAGGTTTTGTTTGTTTCTGTTCATATTTAATTTTTTTCACAATTACGCAATTACAATTTACATAAAAAAATGAAATAAATAAAAATTAAACATACATTATTTAAATTTATTTAAATAATGTATGTTTAATTTTTATAAAAATAAATTTAAATAATGTGTTTAATTTTTATTTTACAAGAAGAAAACGGAATGTTTCGAAAATTAAACATACATTATTTAAATATACGTTATTTAAATTTATCTAAATAATGTATGTTTAATTTTTATTTATTTCATTTTTTTATGTTAATTGTAATTTTACGTTGCAAAGAACTAAATAATGTCGAAACATTCCGTTTTCTTACTCCTTGTAATAAAGCATTTATTTCATTTCATTCTTGTTTACTCGATTTACTGTCTGTTTCTTTTATTGTCCCCTGTTGTTAACATAATAATATTATTATTAAGCACTAAGATTTGACCACATTTGGCCTTTCTAAAAATTCATCTTGTTTGAATTTCGTTGTTTCACTTAGACTTTTTATTAATGTTTGCAAAATTTTTGTGCTTTGTAATACCTATTTTCTTATCACATCGTGAGATGTTACAGAAGACCCGTGTATTATTAGAAATTATTTCAGATCTTGATCTTCGATGATACAACTTTATAGTAGACCTGTGTATTATTAGAAATTATTTCAGAACTTAATCTTCGGTGATGTCAGCTGTAACATTTTAGAAACATTAAAAAATCCCTGTGTATCGCAGAATTATCTTTTCATAGGATAGAAACGATAAGGAATAATATACAACAGAGTGCAATGACAATTCATGCAATACGATAATGCAAAATGAATTTCTTTTTTCTGTAGCACGTAATTACACTTACGCGTCTGGAACAATACCTTTTATTCAAAATCATTAACTTTATTGTATTAGCAGTAACGCATATATATATACATATATTCGTAAAGGGTAGCGAAGGGAAGGAAGCATTTCTTTTCAAGTGTTCCATAATAAAATAAATAAAAAAATTTGTATTATTTTCTGTTAGTCAAAACTTTCTTAAACTTTCCCGAAATCAACGATGTTAATTATAATAATTATAAATTATAAAATATTACAATTATAATCGATTATTCATCAGAGCATTATTTCGAATGCTATAACGTTCGAAATCACATGTACATTGGAACTCGATAAGTCTGGGTGAGTAGAGGTTTTATTAAAGTTTAAAATAATTTTGTTAAAAAAAAGAAATGAACTTTTAAGGGCTGTTTCGTCGCTTTACGAGATTTATTTTAGCATTTATAATACACAAATTATACATACATATATACATACATATCGTACATACGTACATACAGAGGGTGCCGCATAAAATGAAGTGTTATTAAAAGAAAAAAAAACCGTTACATTTCTCACGTAACACATCCAAGATCGATTCTACAAATTCGTTCGACGTACGTAAGATGTTCTCCTAATCGACACCAAGTGTACTAGGTGAGCATTCAATGGAGAACACTTGATCTACCTCGCTCATGTAAATACAAGGAAACGTCGTTTCTTGTCAACTCTTTCTTATTACTACGTTTAATCAAACGGCGAGACGTTCGGACATTCGCATTCAAATTGCTCACCTTGCACGTAAACGGAATGGAAACCCTGTATTGTAACGCATGACTTTGTGTTAACGATTCTAGTATAAACGCCACGTTTTCCGAGTAATTTCACTATATCCTACGGTCAACCATAAATAGAGAATTGCACATCAAGATGCAATTCCATAACTTTTTTAAAAGACGTCTAAATGACGACACACCTACTCAGGCCTCTTTTAAACGTCGAAGAAGCGCCCTATTTTTTTTTTCATTTTTTTCAAGTGGAAGATTAACAAAAGAATCCTGGCAACATTCTTCAAATGTCCAAGGAAAATATTTTAAATGTCAAAAGAAAAAACAGCTTGACAGTTTTGTATAATTTTGATGATGCAATTTATGCAACAACAAATAACGTTTGTCTATGACAAATGGACGAATTCAGCGTGCTAATATCGCCATTTTATTTTATCTACGCAATGATCAAAACGTCAAGCTGTTTTTTTTACTTTTAAAAGATTTTTTAATTTTTTATACTCGCTGCAGAAGTTCATGCAGCAATGGTCTTGTCATTGTTTCAATATAACATAAAAAATTGTAATTGTCAAAATAAATATAATTAATTTTTTGTGCGGACAAAAAATAAAATGGCGATACTAGCACGCTACATTCGTCCATTTGTTATAATCATTTGTTGTTACATAAATCATATCAAAATTACAGTTATATTCGCAGCAAAGCTTGGAATGCTTTAATGTGCGTTACGCGCTATCATCATGTCAAACTTCATATACTAGGATTATATAACATTGAAAGAGAAAAACTGAAATATGAGTGTTTGTGATTGAATTGAATCTGAATCAGGAAAATCAGAAACTAATATATTCAAATATATAGAAAATATTTTTTTATCACGATGAAATATATCTTATTAAATATTTCACTATTAAAAAATTAATGTTTTTCTATTTGCTAATGATTAACTGAAAATGTTTGAACATTTAATTTTCGATGAACTATATAATATTTTCTATTTTATTAATTAATTATCGACAAAATATTTTAACTGATCATTTCTTAGTCCTTTCAGTTGCTCGAAAATACCCGAATCAATATTTTAAATGAATGTTCTTGTAATTATTAACAATCACATATCGCGTTGATATTTCGTACTTTGTTGCTTCCTACGCATCCTAAAAAAAACATATTCTGAACTAATCCTTTACATTAATATCTTTAACGTAACTATAAGATTTTTCTCTTAACACGCAAAACCAATCTAGTTTCTGAATTTCCCAATACAATTTCAACACTCGTCTTCCAATCGTGACACAAAACTATTTCGGTGGAGTGTCCTGTTGAGTTTGTTGCTGCTGCTGTGTCTGCTGTTGCTGCACCTGCTGCGTCAAGGTTTGCAATCTCACTTGACCGAGGACCGACGCGGGGGAGGTCAGATTCGAAGTGGCACTCACGCCAGTACCCGCGGTAACAATGGAACCGGATGCTGCGACACCCGGGCTTGTGCCTGAACCGGGGCTAGAGCCTGGACCAGGACTTCGCCTTACCGCGCCGGGCACCGGTTTTCCTTGGATAGGCGTGGACTGTCGTAGCTGAGGATTGCTGGCGGTCACCACTTGAATGGTTTGCTTCAGTGCTGCGGGCGCAACTGGTATTGCAACACGAGTCTGCAACGGTGATTTAGCTAGTACAACTTGGCTAGCCTGAGACACCGATTGCCCTGTGGAAACCTATAAATTACAAAATAGCATCATTCGTTATTAACTATGTCTATTTGGTCATCATTCTTCTTGGATGTTATTCTCTTTCGTAACATACAGTATAAATTTAGCTTCAAAAATATTCAATACAAAATTTCTTTAGATTTTAATAAATTCTATAATCATAGAAATTATAAATCTGATTACAGTCTGCAAATAATTCTACTATAGATGTCTAGAGGAATTTAACGAAAGTACCTTCGTAGAAATTATTTTACATAACATGACAGTTTGCAAAATTAAAAAAAAATGTTTCTTTATTTCTTTACGTACGTGACTGAATTGCTGCATCGCCGAGGGCACATGTTTCATCACTTGATGAATTTGCTGTACTGTCATAGTCGTAGGTAGCGATTTCGTAGGTTGCACGATCAGTTGTGTCTGCACGCCAGCCTTATTTGTGACCTGAGCTAGCTGCGCGACCTTCTGCCCCGGTAGTCCTTTCCTCTGCAGAAGCTGCGGGTGAAGCGCAAGCTGTCGTATCTGTTGGGACGCCCCGGTGCGGACACCCGCCGTCTTCACGAGCGTCGCTACCGAAGTATTACCAGAGGTACCCGGCTGCTGCACTTGCAGACCGGCCTGAGCGAAGATCTGCGCCGGTGTGAGCCCCGTTGGCGTGGGTACCTGTATAGCAGCCGATTACATTTTTGCGAGATAAGAATATATTATAAAATTGCGTCCTCTTTTTACAAATAGAATGAGTGCGTTGTAACTCGATCATTCATATTATTTTCTTTGACCTTGCCTCCTTGTTAAAACACTCACCTGCGCGATAGCCGCAGCGGCAACCTGCTTCGCTTGCTGCTGCAGGGCCTGACGCTTCAGTAGCGCAGCCATTTCAGTTTCGGACATCGTTCTAGTCATCGTTGGTTTGCCGGTCTGCGGTGTCGTGGCGCCCGCAGTGCCGACCGAACCGATACCCTGCTTCATGAGGGTAGCCGCTGCCACTCGCTGCTGCTGCGCCGCCGCCGCCGCCGCCGTGGCCGACACCGCAACGGACACTTTCTGACCGCTGGCGGCTTGAGCCTGCAGTACTTTGAGCTGCTGCTGCCGCAGTAATACCTGCTGCTGTCTGTAGTACTGCACCTGTGCCGCCGTCGGGGTCTTACTTCCCGACGCCGCCGTGGCCATCGTAACGCCCACCAGGCCTCCCTTCTGACCACCAGCGGTCGCACCAGCGGACGTTTGACTCGTAGACACCAAATTGGCTGTCGTGATTCGTTGAGCGACCTGCTGTATATTAGCGTTCGCCGATGTCGTCCTCACGTCCTGCATGGTTATCTGTCCACCAACAGATCGAGCCTTGACCACCGTAGCGGTCGTTGTAGTCGCTACGTTGCTCAAACTCACGCTAGTCGCCGCACCACCCTTCGCGCTAGTTGCCGTTGCCTGCGTCAGCTGGTGAATTTGGGACGCAACGGAGTTCGCAATCGCTTGCTGTCCAGCCTGTTGTTGTTGAGTCTGCTGTTGCTGTAGCTTCAGCTGCTGCTGCTGCTGGGCGGCTTGTTGCTGTTGCTGATGTTGGAGCAGTCGTGCCGCTACCTGCTGTTGCTGTTCCGGAGTCAAAACCTGTGACTGTAAATTTCAGTTTGTGTCTCCTCCTCGAATATATTAGTGCGACGAATAAAAACGGTTATAGTGATTCTATGACTCGAACGTAAATATTAAATTCAAGGGAAATTAAATTAAACATAGCTCTCTTTGATCAAATTTATTTTGCTCAAGACGAGAATAAATTTTAATTGTCTGTTATACTAACTGCCTTATTCAGCTTCTCCAGCTTGATCCTATCGGCGCGTCGCGTAGCAATTTCAACCGGCGTCAACGGATTGTCGACCTGTATTTTGTACTGTTCCACCAGGACAGTGGCGTTCGAGGGAACATTCCTCATCATTGGACTCACAATGGACGTTGGCTTCACGGTGGGCGTTCGCTTGTTGGATACGGACTTCATGATTTCGTATCTCTGACTACCCGTCGACGTGAAGGAACTGTTTTTGTCTTGATTGTGTAACTGCGATGTTCTCATCGATCTGTTGCTCTTGCTTTGTTGCTAAAAAAAAAAACAAAAAACAAAAACATAATATCAGATGTTTATTCTAAAATTTACTTGTTTTTTCTTGGTATCGTAACGGATAAATAAGAAACGTTTAGGACGAGATTATACAAATAATACAGATAATCTTTGCGAGAAAAATTATAAACTCGACATACTTTGCCGTCGTGTGTCAAAACAGCTACGTACCTCGGAAACCGGCAGGGTTTTGTAAACACTCGTCTTCTGCTTCTTCTGCTTCTTCGGCGCGGTGTCGTACAGGAGCTTACCCTCCTCCCTAGGCATTATCACAGACTCGTATCTGCCCCTGCAATGCTTGGGCGATCTGAACAAGCGCGCGCCGTTGTTGATGGTATCGGCAACCATGTCCCAATTGGGCGTGTGACCGGGCGAGAGGATCGTCGTGTTCAGCGGTAAGCTCTGATAGTTCTGGATGGAATGCAGCAGGCCCCATTCCTCGTAGACCAGCCAGTCCATGGCTTGGTCCGGTTCCGGTGAGGTTTTCGTCACGTGCGACGAGGTCTTTAGGACCGGCATCGGGGGACGCACGACCGCGCGATACTTGTACAGCTTCATGTCGCGGCGCATCTTCATCAGTGCCGGTGACGGCCGATCGAAGAGCGACCTTGGCGCATACACAGACTCCTCTTTATGGCGCATCATCTTCGCGGGTCGACAACCTGCGGACAAAAGCAACATTAAGCCGATCGAATGAAAGGAGACAGATAGACATGAATAGGGGAAAAATCTTAATTCACTCCAATTATCACAATCGAAATTTTAAAAATATATGCCAAGTTAATTTTTTTCATATTATTCCAATTACGATCTTCACTTTAATTATTATACGACAAGTTAAAGGACAGCAACTTTCACTTAGTTATTCTTAAAATATACATATTGTGGATTTATATATTTATTAAAGTATTTTTTAAAGAAAAAACTAATTTTTATTATTTACAAATTGACTTACCGTCATCAGTGATACCGATTTCGATTCTGCTCCTGTTCCGTTCCTTCTTCACGTAAATCGGCGGCAACTGAGCCTCTGTCATGGGGATATTCTCATACAGAAATCCAAGAGAATAATCAATATATACATCGTTATCTGTCGTGGGAGGTGTTGGCGGACACCACATCTAAAAGAAGACTCAATTAATCACATGTTCTTCAAAGAACAAATTCAATAATTCAATCATCTATTGCACTTCATTATCAATTGAGAACATTATATTTTTGTCTCTATAATATGATTTTTTATCTTAAATGTTTGTGCTGCATCTATTTGGCATTTCTACAATAAATAACTAATTTCTATCTGTGTCACAATCATATAAATCATATAAAAATTATTGTTCTTCAGTCTCTTACGGAGCAAATAATAAATTAAAGATTAATAAAATATATCAATTATCATAACGCAAATTATAATACAAAATGCAATTATAAAATTTAACTAACAAATAAACGGATCTTTTTTTCTCAATTTTTTGTGCAATAAAGAATAAAAACGTATTATTTCGCACTTACTGGCATTTGCTCCATCGTGTGTTCCGATAACCAAATCTGCAAGATGTTAAAGTTACACATGAGACTTTAGGTGGGTTCCATTTCATACATGATGCGCGTGATGTATCATTTCATCCTTGTTTAACATTCAGTGAACAAGGATAAGATGATACAACATGCGCATCATGCATGAAACGGAACGCACGCATTATGCGATTCATGAGAGAATTCTCGTTTTCATATGAAGTCCGTCTCTGTACTCGCTAAAGTTTGCGATTGTATGTACTATTGATCATCACGTTTTCAAGTAGTGATTTTTAATTTTCTTTCAATCAAGTCAATAAAACTGCTTTGAAAATTCTACCTTCGTTTAAATCATAAATAAGATAAAAAACTGAATTTCCAATAATTAATGTAACAATACATATCTGCACACGTGTAACAAAAAGTATAAGAATTTCGAGATTACAGAAGAACGGACCCGACACGAGTAAACTTTCGACAAATAATGAAAATAAAGAAAGAGAGAAAGGAGGGAAACTTTTCCCGATATTTTCGTTCATTTCTAGAAAGATTCGAGAAACATATGAAATTCAAGAAACGTTCAGTTATAATATCGAGACATGAAAAATCTCTCTTCCACGTTATCCAGTTAATAGATTACAAACTTAGAAACTCTAATTCAAAATAAATTCGAATACATTTACTTATATTCATACCACTTTCTGAGAGCTTTGACTCGAGCTTTAATTTCCGAGGATATTTTAATATAAATGTCAAATCTTAAAAAAGCCGTAATAAATTTCCTTCGATAATAACTTTTTCTAAGCAAACCTGAACTCAAGATTTGCAAAAAAAAACTCATCGTAAAAAATAAAGAATGGGACATCCGTAAACGTTCAAAGGTTCTCGTTCCTCTCATTCCAAAAATATCCTTGAGAAAGAGTTCTTCACGATATATTCCTTTACATCTATTGCTGCGTCATTGTCTTTTGCGTTACGTACGTATACGGAATGCGGAATACGTACATAACGCACAAATGAACAAATATTGACGCAGTAACATACAACGTGTCTCACTCATGTGCCTGCTCATATCTTGCTGCGGACTCCAAGTTTGGAATGGCAAAGGCAGTGTTTTGGTGCCATTTTAATGGAACAACTTTTTATTGGAGCTCTTTTTCTCTCTTTTCTTTTTACGCCTACTGTATGTAAAGTACAATGTATGTATATATATATATATATATACATATATATACATATACATATATATACATATATATCTTCTCGAAAAATGTGCGGTCATGATAGCCTTGCCACACCAAACCGATATCGAAAGGAAAAAAAAGTCATTCTTCGCGTTTAAATATAAACAAGCACATTGAGCTGAGAATGATTTGACACCAAAACGGAACTGAACCTTTGATCGACACAGACTTGGAAACGCATCAAGAAATAAGGGTACACATTTCGACATATAGCAAGGAATATCTCGTTTATTTTTTTTTCTTCTTCGAACTCTCGCTCGATCATACAAAATACAGGCACGCAACTTAATTATTACTGTGTGTGAATTTGTGTACGTGTATGTATGGTGGGAGGAGGCAAGTGAAAAGGGCGAAGGGACATCCTTACGCATACACAATAATATATATGTATAGTGTATATATTACATATACATATGATATGTATATGTAATATAATAATCAGGTCGTTCGCCTGGTTGAATTACGTAGCTCAAGGCGGCACGATTAAAACTTCTTCTCGTTTTGGTTCCCCGAGTACTAATCGAATTGCGCAATCGTCCATTACTTTAAATATATTATATCATACCAAAATCATCTTCAAACTCGAGTAAAAAAATTCAAATCGAATTATCATGAAATAGCGGAAATAGAATGGAATCAAACTATGCGCTTTCTGTACTCCTTTTTTTCCCTTTTTTTTTTAAATCACGTTTCTCGCTCGTGACGCCTATCGATGTACATGTAATGATTAGTTTATAGCGTGGCGCACTAGAGAATCGCTTGACCGAGGCCGGTCCGGTCCTCGTTTCTAATATAATACATTCGTTCATTTCGCTCGTCACGCCATATTTATATAAATCGCTAGGCATACGTGACTGAAAAAAAAAAATTAAAATCCGTCTCTTGCCTGTCTGCACTTTCCCGTTCTCTAAATTTTAAATTTAACGGAACACTCGCAGGAAAAAAAAACAAAATAAAAGAACAAGGTAGATCAAAGAACGCGGCGAGTGCAGCCAGGAGAAACGTATCCACTAATATCTTTACAACGAATAAAGATGAGATGAGAGGTGGAGGAGGGGAGGGGGGGGGAGGGGCGCGGTGGCGGCGGCGGCGAGACGGAGTACAATTTACAACGCTACAAATATTACACGTGTATTATCCGGTACAACCCGGAGGAAATACATTGTTTATCGTTATTATACTGTGATTATGTACAACAGGATGCGTACTCGTGTCCCACATTAACGCTTACCGTGTCTATTTGATTCCGTTTTATTTCTCCCTCGTGGAGAAATATCGAGGATGGCTTTTCCCAAATAAAAATTTCTCTCTCACCTCCGACCTTTCTCTCACCGTGGACTCTCTTCCTTAAATTTTCTTTCATTCAAAATTTCATTTAAAATTTCTAATGTAATTTTCTTGATACGGAATTTCTCTCATATGTAATGCTAAGAGCTAAAGCTTCTCTCTCACGTACGTTTCTTACAGAATTTTCTCTCTGTCTTCTATAACGACACGATTATTCGGCAGGGAGAATCAAACAGCCACTGAGCGATAAAATATAGGATAAGTACGGGCAGAAGACGCGTTATCAACGCGCGATTAATTAATTACAGACGTAATTTCTAAAAAACCAGGTTTAGATTAGTCTTCATCCCATGTGAAACTTCTTATTTCATATATTCCTCATTAGAATTCTTTCAATGTTTATTAACTTAACTATTAAATAACAATTTTTGATATTTAATTTTTATTTTACTTTATATTTTATCTTAGAAGAAATAAATTGATAAATAATAAATAAAAAAATGTAACAAATAACAAAATATTCAGTAAACTCAACTAAATTAAAATATGCAAGCTTTTACAGCTCCATCATAAATTCTCAGAAAAAAAGAAGGCGGAATTTGTCTTTCTCCTTAAATTAATTTTTACTCTTTTGCAAAAAAATTCTTTTTAACTTTCTATAAACATATTATTTTTTTCTCTCCTCACATAAAAAAGATCCATCTAAATATTCTAAATCTATACGCGCCGCGAGAAGTGAATTTTTAATTTTTTATCTCAAATCTTACGAGAATAAGTTTTATAATCTTTTATTTCTCTTCGATATTACTGTACAAAATTAATGCGCAAATGAAAGGTGCGCGTTATATATAAAAAAAATTGTTATTTGTTTTATGCATTATATTGAAAGAATATTAACGAAAGAAATATCAAGATAAGAATATCATGCGATAAAAGGCTAAGCGTAAACCCGGGCGTCACGCGCACGGTAGGCGGATTGAGTAGCAGACGCAGTAGTAAATTAGCAATATTCCACTGCCTGGTAAAATGGCAATTGCATTCCCGACAGAACAACTCGCGTCGTCGATAACCGCAATGATGCTTCAGCGTGGCTCAAGATATCGCGGAACCCTTCAGCTTTTCGGACCGAGTCGCTGCGACGGAGGAGGACGAAGAGGAGGAGGAGGAGGGCGAGGGGGAAATCTGCGAGGAGCGACATCTCTTATACGGTGGATCCTCGTCGCTAACGTCGTTAGAGCCGTCCTCGTCCTCCAGCGAGTTCGCTACAGTTCTGCCGCGCTTCGTTTCCCTACGCAGTCGCCTGGACTTGACGTCGGACGACGAGTCGTAACTCTCATGATCGGTCTCCTGCTCCCGCAACGCGTCCGCCGACAATCGAGTCACGGAAATGGAATCCCTGTCCTGAATCCTCGTCTCGCAATTGACATTGGATTTGGACTGACTCGACGGGATCTTGCTGCTGTTATTCCTCGTGTCCAGAGTGAGAATGGCCACGACCTTAGCCGTTCTCTGAGGCTTCTCGCAAGACGACAAGCCCGTGGCATTTTCACTCTCGCCGCTCGTCGACGGGATCCGCGCCTGCTTCGAGGCGCTCGCTCGGAGCGCGGAAGCGGGCGAGGACAACGGCGACGATGCCGACGATTTCGTCGACAGAGCGGAATTCAAGAGCAGCCCCGAGCGAGTCATCCTGGGTACTTGTTCATTGTTGTGACTGGGCGGTACGTTGGTAGGTCGGGGCGTGTCCGGACGGCGGTGTCTCGCCGGGGCCACGAACGTCGCCGGGCCGTCCCTCGACTCCGGCGGCGGCTTCATCGGCGGTATCGATCTACTGCGTCTGAACGGCATCGGTGGACTCAGCAGCAGGCCGTTGTCCTGGCACTGCTTCGAGTTCCGGGTCGTGTACTTTTCGACGCGACCGCCACCAGGCAGCGCCGCGTCGATACTTCTCGCGGGATAGTTCACGGCCGCGGATCTCGTGATCGGTCGCGGAAAGGGGGTGTCCGGTCGTCGCCTCGGCGTGAATTTCGATGAATTTTGCGTCGTCGTCTCGTCACCGCTGACCGGCGGAGGAGGCGGAGGAAGCGGCGGCGTCCACGAGTGGCTTGTCGATCGCGTGATCCTGCTCTGCTCCGCGATCGAATGCGGCGAACTGTCGATTCTCCGCGTTCCCTGGCCCGTTTTCGTTTGCAAACTACTCTTACTCTCCGCTACCGAATCGGCCCTGTCGTTCGCTACTAATCGCGCGTTACCTTCCTCTACATGATTGACGGTCGAGCAAGTTTTTGAGCTGCGAGTCGTTACGCCTCGCTGAACCGTGCTCTCCACCTTTCGTATTCTGCACTTGGATTCGCTGGAATTGAATTCGCTTTTCGCCGAGGGCGTTAAAAAATCGGGCGCGTTCGATGTCGCGTCGCTCGCATCTTTCTCCATTACTTGCGGCAAAGCGTCTGAACTCTCGCTCTTCGAATTGAATTTCTGACCTCCGGGCTTTTGTGTTGCCGAGGACATCGCCGGCTCGGCGTTTTCATTAGCCTCGTCGCAATTGTCTCTATCCTCGACCGCGTTGTCACGAGTAGCCTCATCGGTATTTACATTAGCCTTGGAATTTCTCTGCAGAGTAGGAAGGCGGGGTATCGCGACCGATACCGGTTTGGAGACCGCGTCGGCCGCCTCGGGGCTACTGTTTCGCAGCGTTTTCGACCGTAGAAGGGGAACCGAGCGACCCGAGGGCGACTCGACGCTCCTGTCCGGCGCTTCTCTCGGCGCGGCGGCGGCCAATTTCCCTCGCGCGTTGTTATTGTACAAAGAATTAGCTGACGCGCCGAATTCCGACTTCGACCGAGCCGCCGCCGTCGTCGTCGTCGTCGTCTCCTTCGAGCGCTTCAAGGACGCATCTGGCTGCACCGCGCTCGGAGGAGATCGAGAATCCCTCGCGCTGACATTCACGTCGAGATTCTCCGCGTCCTCGTTACGATTCACCTCGGACTCGAGTTTCCTGTAGGTCGCGGACAAGATTTTGTGCGAGCACCGCGTCACTTGAACGGAGCAGACCGTGATTAAGTTAGCACAAGTGATTTTCTCGTCGCTTCTCTGTTTCTCTTTCACACTCTGACCGTCCGCCGCACCGTTATTGGAGGCCGATTCCGACGTTCTCGTTTGATTCGACTGCGTTTTGGCGACGGGTGTCGTATCTACGCGTTCACCGACGGACCGCCCCGCGTTGGACTCGGCAACGCCTGATCGCCCCACATCGTTCGAATCGATCGAGGACGACGCGAGATCACGATCGTCCTTCCTCGGATCTCGCTTGTCCTTCGACAAACCGCGATCAATTTCCGTCGCCTCCGTCTCGACGACCTCGGACTTTATGTTCTGACTGACGGATACCTTAGCGTTCGCGTTAACCCGAATGCTCCTCTTACGACACATGTCGACCGACGACGGCGAGGAGAAGTGTTCCTCGGACTTCGCGCGATGAAACTTCTTGCGCTGCCGGCGAAAGTTCGGCTTCACACCGGGCAGAATTGGGCTAACGTCCAGGGTCCAGAGATTGATCTGTACATTCCCACGGGATCTGGTGCGCGGACTGTTCAGATCAAAGTGATTCCGGCTGTTGGAGCCAGAGCCCGCCAGACGCCCCTTTCGTCTCGAGAAACCTCCCCCACGCTTCGAATCGTCGCGATTATTCGCCCTACCGTCCTCGTTCCCTTCGCCGGCCTCTTCCTCCTCCTCCTCCTCCTCGTCGCCCTCTTCCTCCTCCTCCTCCTCGCCCTCATCCCCCTGACTCTGACTCTCCGTGTGACTCGATTCCTCATCGAGGCTATCCTCAACCACGTCCTCCTCCTCCTGCGACTCCGAATCCGAGTCCGATTCGGTGCTAGTAGTCTCATTTTCGCTTTCCGACGACAATTCGCGCGCGCGCCTCTTTCTACCACCGCCACGTCTACGCAAACTTCGTCTACTCGGTACCATTAGCCTCTTACTAACTAATCGCCGGGAACCGCCCTTGGCGGCAGTGCTATTAACCTGATTCTGCGCGTCCTCGCGGCCAAACGTCAGCTTCTCGTCGTCGTCGGCGAGCCGCATGCGTCGCTCCTCCTCCTCGCGCAAGGCCCGCAACCGATCCAGCTCCCACTCCTTCTTTTGCTCCTCGAGTTCCCGCTCGGCTGCAGCCAGTTGTGCCGCGGAGAACGCGCCTTCGGATTCCTCGACGAATTTCATTGCGTATCGCTCAATTGGAGTCAGCTAAATGAAAGATCAGAGAACCATCAGTCGAGAAGTTAACGTAAAGATTTATATGACAAGTGACATGAAAATAAAATGACACAATCGACAAAAGAAAAAAACCAAAGCAATCTATAATTGATCGAGCGATCGACAAGATAAAAAAAAATCGTTTGACCTACCTGGGCCATCAAGCTCTGAACTTCCTGTTCTGCCTTGCTGACCTGCGTCTCGTCTTTATCAGCTTCTTCCAGCGGAATGTTCTCATCGAACTCTGCGAGATCGGCGACAGCTTCCGCCTTCGCAATCTTCGCAGCCTGAACATCAAGATCTTCCTCAGCAGCGGCGAGAGCGCTCTCAAGAGCGCCCATCGCTGCCTTCTCCTCCTGCTGTCCTGAAAGGCCACCTTGAAACGACCCTGCTGCCGCCACGTCCTTGCTCCAGGCCTTCTCTCGATCCCGACTCTGTTCGAGTACTTCAGCCATTCGCGCTGACGCGTCGTTCTCCGTTTGATCGATGTTAAACAAGTCTTGAATGGTGGACTGCAAATAATCTTATTGTTATACAAAATGTATAAACTGAACACCTCTCGTTTTTAAATTAACCGAAATATATCGGTAAAGCCCACTGCATGCAGAATACTTCGCAAATCGAAACATAATTTTTCGGCCAAATACCATAAATTTTCTTAAGCTTGAAATGGTATCATTAAAAAATATTTAAACTAATGAGATAAAATAAGAGAAATTCTCTTGAAAAATAATTTCACATTTCTCGCGAAAGTGACAAAAGAAATTGTGTTTCTGATTAAACTCGCTCGGCTTAAATTCTTTTTGAGCACTTACACTTTTGAAGTACGCCGTAGTGAAGTTACCGCCTTCAATAGCGAGATCTCCTAGCAATCGTTTCTGATTCGCCTTCTTCAGAATGTTTTCTTCGACAGTCTTCTCACTAACTAATCTGAAATATAAATCGTTATGCTATGTATTACCTCGCCGTCATACACGTTAATTTGAGCTATTTTTGCAAATGTAACAGATCATTCTAATTATTTTTAATATTTAATAAACAATTAGATTATTTTTAAATCAACAAAATGTAAGTTTTCAAAGCTATCAAGTTATTTCTTCTGTCATATTTATATTTATCAATTCGCGCCGTGTACCTGTAGATATGTACGTCCCGCGTTTGTCCTATTCTGTGGCATCTATCTTGCGCCTGGGCATCCATTGTAGGATTCCAATCGCTATCATAAAATATTACTGTATCCGCTCCCGTAAGATTTACGCCGACACCACCAGATCGCGTCGATAGGATAAAACAAAAGATTCGCTTATCGCCGTTAAATCTCTCCATCAGAACCTGCACATCAAATCGCCACTCTCATTAATACTCATTCATATTATTTTTCATTTAATCTCGCAAAAAAAAAATACATTTTGCGTGGATGAAATTTTCTATATTTTTTGTTACAATCTTAAAGTTAATCATTACGTGGACATATTTCTAAAACTGGCAAAAAATTGATATGCTTTCAATAATCGTATTTAAAATTCCAAACAAGATCCACAATTTAAGAATTTAAATGTTTATGCAACAAATTGAAATATTATAATATATAGTCAATAAATCAAATTACCTGACGTTGATCCACCCTGGTAGTGCCGTCAAGCCGCAGATATATGTGCCCATGGAAATTCAAGAAGGCTTCCAATACGTCCAGCATTCTGGTCATCTGCGTGAATATGAGGACCCGATGATTTTCGGACTTCAGCCTCCTCAACAGACGATCCAGCGACTGCAGTTTGCCGCAATCGTACTGTATCAGTCTCGGATCGGGGAACTGCGTGAGCATGAGGCTCGAAATAGGATGGAACAGAGACAATTTCGGCGACAGCTGCCGCTGCAATTCGGTCCACAGGCGACGCTCATTCCACAGCTTGTGCGGCGGCGGATGGGACACGTGGAACCGAGGGACTGGCGCGCGTACAGCCGGCACGTAGACGACATATCTGCGTATATTGAAAAACAAAGTAGATTTTTATTCAATTCCAGAAAAGATGACGATCTGAATGACAAAGATAAAAAAAAAGATTACTCTACATATTAATTATATTTACAAATTATATTGGATATCAACCTTTCGAAGACCTCTTTCAGCTCTTCAACAATCTGCTCCGTGCTCTTGATGGCTTCCGCGAGCGCCTCCGTATGTGAAAAGAACTCTTTTCGAGTACGAACGTTCTCGTCAGCCGTCGCGCAATGTACCCAACCGTCGTGCCAACGACATGCTGTCGTAGGTTTGCCGATTCTCAAAGCCATGAACAGATCTTCACCGTAAAGCGGACACGCCGCGCATCTTCGTTCATTGATGTTTGCAATAAGATGCAACTTGTCCTGTCTCCTCTGCTTCCTTTCCTCTTCCAATTGCGGCTGAAAAATAATAAAGAATCTAAATCATTACGCTATATATTATCTCGTCATACATGTTAATTTAAGCTACTTTTGTAAATGTAACGAAAATTATTTTAATTATCATTTTAAATATTTAATACACTATTAGATTATTTATTTTTTCTGTCTATTAAATGAGAGCGCCTCATAGATAATAATTAATATTTAGTAAAATTAGACAATTAGATCAAATTAAAACTTTTTACAAAAATAAAAAAATAAAACTAGAAATAATCAAGTAAATCATTGATATCTATGTTTAATTACCATATGAAACTCAGACTTGGGCTGTTCTTTGCTCTGCACCTTCGCGATCTCCTTCTGAGTCTGTCTGGTGACAATATTGCGTATCGTCTGCGATTGTTGCTGGCTGGCTGTCTGCTGGCTGTTGTTTCCGCTCGCTGATGACGACTGCGAGGCGGTTACGTTCAGAGGAGGTACCCTCATGACGGGCCGACCGCTCGGCACTACCCCGCTAACGACCTTGTTTACCGCGGCGGCGCCGGTCGTAGACAGACCCACTAGCGATTTAGAGGACAACACCGTAAAATGTCGCGATCCACTCGGCGTCATGACTGGAAACGAAACTGTCAGTAAAAAATGTGTTACTTCTTTCATTTCTGATCCAGATCTGTCACTGCCAACAAACGTATAGAGTTTACGAGAACAATTTCGAGAAAATCGTAAACAAATCGCGGAGAACCAACCTGTGTTAGCGTTCTGTTGACTCGGCGCCAGAATGAAGTGTTTGCCGGTAGAGGTTTGCACGAAGTGCGCGATAGCGCCGGGCATCGCTATTCTCTGGATGGAATCGCCTTGCTTGACCGTGACGGTTTGCGTCGTCAATCGTTGGATGCCATCTCTAATGCTAGCGTTTCCCATCGCGATCCTTTGCGCGTTCGTCGCTACCGTGGTCGAGGTCGCGGTGGTACTTTGCAGATTGTGCCCCGCCAAAGTTGCCATAGGGATAGCTATTTTCAATTTAATAAAAATTTACATCGCTTCATATTTTTATATACACTTATAACGGGTGGCATCCGATTTATCATGTCCCGATCGATCGTCAGCCACTCAGCGCTTGAGCAGTGAAAAATCTCTAGGCATCGGCCGTTGTGAGTGGCTGTGGTCAATCGGGACGTGATCAAACGGGACGCTCCCCTTACACATTTCATTGTACGTGTTACGCGGTAAAATAATAATTTTCTGTCACTTGTAGAACAATTATCATTTCCTTAATTTTTTTCGAATACATTCAAACGTCAATGTATTTAAAAATAATATAAAAATATAACGCCAATATAAGTACAGCAACTATATCAAAACATATCATAATTGAAAGATTGATTTTTTTTTACAAATGTGCCCTTAGTTCTAGAATGCTTATAAACGGTAGGATTATAAACAAGCTGGCCCAAGGAATAATTAATTTAGCATCACTGCAAAAGCAATTGTCTAGCGAGAAACTCACAGCGACACTCACTGATCTGTGATGCATAATAATTTCGTATTAATTTTATTTTGAATGTAATATATCGAATAATAAAAACTAGATTGATCAGGGTGGGTACTCAAATTTTGTAAAAGAATTCCCTAAAAATTCCCGGATTTTCCAGGAATTTTATTCAAAATTCCAGGTAAGATCAAAGAATTTCTCGATACAACTTTAAAATAAATTAAAAACTAAGAGTTCTATTGTAATAACGTACAGAACTTGGTACGTAAAACAATTTAATTTTCTCATGTTTAATATTTCCATAAAAATTTTTCGAACGTAACGAAAGATTTTGTATGGAGATGTAACTACATATGTAAAGATTAAATTGTTTCATGCATCAAGTTTTGCGTTATTAGACTCTCGTTATGCCTGATTTTTTATTTCCGGATTATCGTTTTTTAAATTGAAGAGTCTTTATATAGTATATGTCAATTTTAAAATAAATTAACTTTCAATATCAGGGGCCTTTGATATGGGGCCATGATTATTTTCTAAAGGAATAAAATTAAATTTGAAAGTAAAATTCAAAAATTTTCCCTGGGTACCAATAAAATTCCATAAGAATTCATGATTTTCAAGGATAAAAATGAAATTCCCTGAGAATTCCAGGTTTTCCCGGTAGTACCCACCCTGTTAATATATTCGGATGTATTAAAAGATTATAAATACAAATTCTTTGAAAATGTATTACGGATTTAAAAATAATAAGTTTGTGTCAATCTGAAGTCGCTTACCCTTCACGCTACCCTGATGCTGCACCAGTTGCACAGATAAACCTTGCAATTGACCTTGACCAGCCGCAACTCTCAATGTAAGAGAACCTAAGAATAACAGTTGTTGCATTTCGTGTTCGATTGATGTATATATTAACTTAAAATATATTGATTAAATTGAGAAATTAAAAGAAACAAAATTACTTAAATAATTAATTAAAAATTTGATACAATTGAATGCATTAATGGCAGCTACATTCATAAAAGTATTTTGCGAATCAATATTTTTTTATAATTTTCCATATAGAGCAATTAAAAAGATAACTAATTACGTAAAAAGATACTTCTCAAATATTACAAACAAATTTGATTAAATATAAGTGCATGGCAATGCATTTGTAATTTCAACGTTATTGCATTTTTTATCAAACTTAAATATTGTCTACATATAAATTTTAACAAATACTTTCTTCTTGAATTATACAATAACTAATAAGAATTAATAAATTTTAGATATAAAATTTTAAGTGCAATAAGAACGCATCAAATATAATCCTGTTAAAATTCTTGCCTCATAACCCGGGATAAGGTTTTCTGTTTCTTCACATTTCCATTTATTCCATTGCGTTAATCCTTTCATGACCAATAAAAAAAGATCTCATTTTATTTATTTTCTTTTTCTATGAATCCATAGAATCGTACTAGCAATTATAAATTCCAAATAAGTAAAATTATATGATCTCATAATTTTTTTTAATAATTCATAATTTAATTTAAAAAAAAGTTGCATTTCTATTCTATTATTTTACTGTATATATCAGTTTATTTTATTTTCTTTTAAAAATACAATTACTATCGCTATTTTAAATCTTTTTAATATCTGCGTCTTTTGAGACTCGCAAAATATAATTTTGCTACTAATGGATAAATTGGCCATGAAAATGTTAACGACTAGTGCGATAAGATAGGATTAGCTTGGACCTACCTGATCCCGGACCACTCTGGCTGGTATTTAATGACTTTATCAAGGGGGACGTACCCACTCTTGGCGTGGGTAATACGCCAGCCGTCTTTAGCCTGTTCGGCGTCTGCTGTTGTTGCTGCTGCGGCTTCGGTTGGTCCGACAGTCTAACGTTGATCTTGAGCCGGCCTGATGGACACCTCGGTGCTGGTTCCGGTTGCCTATCTATCTCCTCTATTAACTTTCTGGGTGTTTGCAGACGATTCACTCTGTGCGCTGCAAACGCACTGATCGTCGTCTCCAGATTTAACAGCAGAAGATTCAGGCTAGACAATTGAATGTGCTGCAAAATCAAAATCACAATTCGAATAAATTGAAAGAGTTGGTCGAATTGGTCGCTTCAGTTTAATTACGCAGATAAATAAATCAAATAAGAAGATGATGAATAACGAAATCTATTGTTTTACCTTAAAGGGATCGTAATCGAGCGCGGTCCAGATCAATGAGGCGGTCACGAACTCGATCGCTTCCATTTGAAATGGCGAAACGGTTGGTCGCACCTCGAACAGGTTTGGATGATTACACACCTTTCGCAGTTGCATCAATACGTTAATCACACTCAACAGATTCCCGCTGGCGAGTGTTTCCTTCGTTCTTTAACGATACAAGAATAACCATCGTTAAATACAAGTAACAGTTGATATTCTAATTAAAAGAATTTATATAAAAATTATATGAAATTAAGGAACATTCTGACAAACAAAAATGAAAAAAGAATACCGTGTATTTTCAAACAAAAAGAAGCACTTTTTTAAATTTTCAATATAGCGTTAGAATACACTTACTTTGCCCTCGACATAAAGTCATCGTACAGAAATCTCTGACGCTTTGACAAACGGCACATGACCACATGCTCGTATTTCTTCGGCAATTGCTTTTCCACTTCAGTTTTCAATCGTCTTAAGAGAAATGGTCGCAACACCTACGGAAAATGTCATTTATTAAATATTAAATATATAAAAAATTAAGTATTTGTACATGTATGGTACATTTCTATGTTAAACAAAATTAAAAATTTTTTTGGTAATGTTATAAAATAAATTTAAAAAAAAGAGAAAAAAAAAGATGAGAAAATAAAACAAAAACTACGTACAGACCTTATGCAGACGACGAATTATATTCTCGTTGTATTCGCTGTTCCCTTCGATCATGCCCGTGACAGGATTGCTAAACCACTCTTTGAATTCGCGATGAGATTGAAAAACGTTAGGCATAAGAAAGTGCATAAGCGACCACAGTTCCATTAAATTGTTTTGAAGGGGTGTGCCAGTAAGAAGTAATCTCCTACAACAGATAAAAGTGATATTTTAATTTTGTGTTGATCAATATGTGAAACAATTTCCACCACTTTCAATTAATCAGTATAGACAGTCTAGACTCATTTTTTGTATGTTAAAAATATATTTATAAATTTATTTAAAATTTAAGAAATGCAAGAAATTTCGAAAAATTAATATACTAAATTTGATTTAATGTTTCTTTAATAACGTTATGTATAACGTCGTTTTAAAGTGTGAATGAAACTGCCATATTTAACGTAACTTGGGGAATATGCGACAAAATGTATAATATAGATTAGTTACCGTTGTGTCTGGAAGTTTAAAAGCAACTGCCATCTTTGCGACTTAAAATTCTTGATATTTTGCGCTTCATCCAAAATAAGGTATTTCCATTTTTTTCGTCTAAAACTTTGGTGATCCTGTATTACTAATTTATAGGACGTAATGCATATATGGAAGGCATTTGGTTTTGTCCAACCTAATGAACGTAGAAAAGAATATATAAATTTTATAACATTCAAATTTTGTAACATTCAAACGATCACGATTATTAAGAAAATAATAAATATCAATTGTTTCTCCAGACAGGATTCGTATGTCAGACAACGATCGATTTTTGACACGCGAGTTTTAAATGGAGAATTTCGCTATCTCGCTGTTTATAATAATACAGACAATGTCATTTAGAACTAATGCCTGTTGTCGGCAGCGAGTAAGATTACAAAAATTAGGCCATAAAAAGAGTATTTAATGATAAACAAAAATTTTTTAAATCAAATATATGTATGTATTTGAAGTTATTTATAATTTACAATTTGATTACATAGAAACCTGATTAGATAGTTAAACAGATGCAGTAAAATTAAAAAAAAATCTCAATATTTCAAGTTAGTAGTGTCATATATTACCCGTTCGTTTTTGTTTCCTTTCCTTCTGTGTACCGTAATATGTCAGTATTTTGAATCCGGGACACCACTTTTTGCATTCCATTTCCCAATTGAGCATCACAGAGGTCGGCACGATTATAAGATGCGGTCCCCAGTTTCCCTTCTCACAGGCCAGATGCGCCAACAGCGCGATAGTTTGTATAGTTTTACCTAGACCCATCTCATCAGCCAGGATTCCGTTTAACTTTCTATCGTACATAGTGACAAGCCAGTCCAGTCCTATGTGCTGATACTCGCGAAGATGGTGTTTCAGAAGGAAAGGTATTTTAGTGACAACCTAAAGACAGATATAAAGAGATTTACAACAAATTTAATTTTGATGTTCTTTGATAAATTTAGAAATAACTATCTTAGCAAACTGAAAAAATTGTTATTTAATTTTTCATAATTATAATTCTATTTAATTTTCCCAATTTTCACATAATTTGATTTATTGTATATATAAATATTCATTCACTTGCATCTAATTAACAATCTTAATGACATTTAGCTAGCGGAAAATTTTTCACGTTCAAAGATTTATTAAAATTTATTTATTTGAAAACTATTGATGCTTCAATATTTAAAAAATTAATGTAATGATAAAATATTCTGCATATAGATTATAGAACATGAATTTTGTAGTGATTATTTTCGAGAATAAAGAACATGTTTATTCAAGGGAAAATTATCACTGTTAATTTTCCTTTCGTAAATGATGATGAGCAAAATTGCTGCTTCACCATCTTGGATCGAAAGGATTATTTATTAAATATTTAAATTGTTTGATAAAAAAAATAAATAAAATTAAGAAACAAAAATGTATACATACAAATTTAAAAAAGCAACTTAATAAAAAAATATCTACATATTTTTCTGTACATATAATACACGAACGTGTATTTTTACACTCTGTATAAGGTTAATAAAACAAAACGCGTAGAACAAACGTCAGCAAACTTACACTAGTGGTGAGCAATGTATTTCCCTTAGGCTGGATGCTCTCGGCCAATGCGGCAACGTTATCCATTTCGTTACGAGCGTCCGAATCATCATCTGCGACCTGTAACAAAGAACAACCACGTCATGTGACAAATTGAAAAGATATGTATATTAATTGTTTCTCCAGACAGATTCGTATGTCAGACAACGATCGATTTTTGACACGCGAGTTTTAAATGGAGAATTTTGCTATCTCGCTGTTTAATAATACAGACATCGTCATTTAGAACTAACGCCTGTTGTCGGCAGCGAGTAAGATTACAAACATTAAGCCACAGAAAACAATATATAATGCTAAACAGAATTTAAAAAAATGAAAGATATATATTCGAAAAATGTATTCAAAGTTATGATTTATGATTCAAAAATATAGAAAATAGCAATGGAAAAAATTAAAAAACAAAAAATAACTCAATCAAATCTTAACATAGAAAAATTATTAGTTTGTAACAAAGAATGACTAAGAAAATTAAATAATAAAAATCAACTTTACAGTGAAATTTTCACATATCGTTATATACAATAAAGAAGACTCACTTTATTGTCCGATTGTTTTTCCGCAGAGAGGTCTTCAAGAAGTGATTGAAGTCCCACATCCGCCTCAGTATCGCTCTGCGTCCGAGTTTCTTCCTCATCGCTATCGTGATCACTCTCTTCGCTTTCATTCTCGCTGCTGGTTACTTCTTCGACCTCCTGTATCGCTTCCTTGTCGCTACTTTCCTTATCCGTACCTAAGGGAAAATTGACATTCGATTAAATCGACTTGCCTTTATTCTTTCGACAAAAAAATGTAATCTCCGAAATTTTCTCAGACAAATGCCTCAATTCACAGCACGGATAGTAATTGAGATAAATGAAAACCAAATATCTCACACTGTCAGTTGACGGTAGTAGGTATCATCACCGAAATTTATACAAATAAAAGCACTTTTGTATAATAAAAATTTCAACATAATAATCAAGATAATAATAATTACAGATTTAAATTTAATATAATTGTAAAAAAAACTATTTGTCTTAAAACCACTTATAAATCAAAGACATTCAAATATCATAATTAAAAAAAAAGCGTGCTTGAGCTGAATTTAATACCAAAAATATTTTTGAAATAAACATTTCAAGAAATTGTTTAAAAACTTACCATCAGCTTCTTCGTCTTCATCCATCAACATGTCCGACATATTTGCATATTTGGCTGCGAGTTCGTCGATGGACATTTCATTATCAGCCTAAATAAATACAAACATATTTTTATTTAATCTGGAAAACGATTTACAATAATCAAACATAATTCTTGACGTTAAAATGAATTATGTACCTTAAGTTCATCAAGCTCCCGCTTATGATCGATGTCTCCTTCTAATCTTTCCTCTTCCATAATAGTGTCTTCTTCATCCGAAGATTCACCAGACGCTGCAATAAAGTCTGCATCTGCGTCAACCGCTTCATTTTCCTGTAACAAAAATTGTAATTACATTTTATTTTTTAATAGGCAAACTTTTAAATAGACAACAAGTTAGCTTCCAAAACAATTCCACCAATTAAAGAAAGAATTTTTTTTACTATCAACTCACGTTATATATAAATTTGATACATATAAAAAAATAAAATATATTTAAATACTTATTTTACTTTAAAAAAAAAACGTACATTTTGATCCTCTTCGTTCGTTGCATTTTGCGGCGACAGACTTCTGTTGCGATCCTCCAAATAGTCTGGTGGTAAGTCTTTTAAAAGATCTTCCAAAGGTATTTCCGATTCCCTTTTTAACAACTCCACTTCCTCCTTGTGATTGGTCGTTTTCATTTCCTCTTCGGCTTTAGCTATGGTCTCTTCGTCGTCGTCCGAACTCTGATTTGGCTGGAATTCCTCTGTAACAGGATGTTGTACAATAAAATTAAATTATTTATATACAAGCATAATGTATATAACTACATAACTTTCAAGTAATATGCAATAATTATGACATTAAATGTTCAATAATTTAAATTTTATCATGCAATAACTTTGCATTTCCAATAATAACGAAGTGAACGTTACAAGTTAATAACAATGTTAATTAATACATTTTATCGATTGTATGCATTAATCGTAATTACATGCCATGTACGTTTATCATAAACAGAAATTAATTTTATTATTCAAATTAAAACATACCGTCGGAATGACATTTTCCCAGTGGAACTGGCGAAGAGATACGTGAACTATTCATGGAAGCTGGAACACTCTGTGGACCATCGGTCTTGTTGAGACCCTCTGTCAGCCACGTGGAGTATTTCTCCGTTTGGCCCACAATAAAATTTAAATGTTGATCCAACGCCTTCTTCCGTTTCTCTTCCAGCCTCATGTGCTGCTTATACTCCACAATCTGTCAACAAATTGCAATTACAAGAGTTACAATAGTGCAATAATAATAATGCTGTTTATAACTCCAATTTTGTATATTTTATTATAATAATTTTGTCCATATTTATTTCACGTGTATAACATTTATTTTTAAAACGCGTAAATGTTATACATAATGTTTGAATATTCTTACTAATTATTAATAAGAAACGTTACATGTTCACATTCAATTACGTTTGCAAGATTTTGCGTTTAAGCAATTGAGCATTAATTCGATAAAAGTGTCCTGCGCGAATTCTTTGGTTGAATTTAAGAGGAAACCATACAACCATACACAATGCGCAGACTTTACTGTTCCCACAACGAGCACACGCTTCCGATAAAGATACATCAAGAAGGTCGGCTTAATTAGTGTGGGGTAAAAATAAAGCTAAATCATCAATGTAGCTTTAATATATAAAAAAAGATGATTATAAAATAAAAACAATTTTTTCGTCAAAGCAAATTAATAAGGAGGTCAACTGCTTTCATTTAAGTTTCTAAATGTGCGTTTTAGCTTCTTGCTTACTTTCTCGACATTTGCCCAGAAGTTTTTAACTTCCTTGGCAACGTGGCTGGCGATCTTCTTCAGCCGAAGCTCCTGCGACTTCTCGGCCTTCTGCGCCTGAATTGCCTTTTCCTGAAAGTACTTCTGCACCATTCTCGCGCATTTCTTCGCCGCCGCCTTCTTCCATTTACGCTCTTGGGCGAAGTCAGCGGCCAACCAGACCATTTCCTCCAGCAGGTAATCCCAATGGGCTTTGGTACGGGTCGGTTCTTGTACCTTTGGCAATCGCCGTTCCGACCATAATCCCTCGCGTTGCAGCTCCGCAATCCTTTGCATTACGTATGCCTCCTATATCCCAATAATCGCAGCCATTAGCGTGTCACGTAAAATTTTAATATATACGAACGCTTCGGTCTTTAGGGAAAAAACATGTGTATATTAAAAACATTTATATTAATACGCATATTATTATTCTAATAAAAAAATAATTGAGTAAACTGAATTGTTTTAAACATGCTTAATAAAAACAGAAGATATAAATAAAATTAATCAAGTAATAATTGATTAGTTATTTAAAAAAAAAAACCTATAAAAAATTATATCCATACGAGTTAGGAGCGAGCGCGTGTTTAATGAGACACTGATATAAATATTTCTGTTTTCTACAACGCAAAAAGATATAATATTGAAATAGTCAGTCGTGGCAATTACCTGCTTAGCTTTTTCCACAATTTGCTCCTGATTGTTCGTGATATCACAGGAAGTAGTTATGGTAGTGGGTGTAGACAACTTAACGAGCTTAACGACAGGTTGTGGACTATTGAGCGCAGCTGTTGTCGTAGGCGTTTTCGGGGTGGCGACGGTGGTTATAGACGGCGAAGACTTTTCCACCACCGGACTCGCGGCCGTGGTCGTCGATTTCGACGGGTCCGCAACCACCGACGCTCCACCTGAAACGATGAGATTGCCAATATTAAGTAATGTGAATTGATGCATAAAAGAAAGGGCAAATCGAAGAGATCTGAATACGACAGCAATACATATATCCATTACTTAAAGATACTTCTTAAATTTAACGAAAAAAGTAGGCAGGTAATTAATACGCTTCGCGCGAATAACAAACGGCTTGATGGATAAACGAAGGACGAGTTCTTTAGCATAATTCCATAGGACAGGCAAGAAATGGCACGAGATGGTACACATCTACACGGTCAACAACTAAAAGCGAGAAACACTTTCAAATACGCCAATTAAAATAAATCGCTCCCATTTGCATCTGAGAAATATGTGTGTACACACGTATACGCGATATATAGCAATACAGACATTATTCTTACGAAGCTTCAAACCAAAACATGCGTTTACATTTAATATAATGATCACCACACTGTATCATTGTAGTATTTATATACATAACATGCTAACACTTGTCTGACTCATTCTGTAGAGTTGGTTGGCATACAATAAACGTATTTATTACAGCATGAAAAAAAATTAGATGTTATATAGCTCAATACGACAGTACAGATTTCTACGTGAACTTTTAATAGTAGCGCTAGCAGCAGCACAGTTCTTTGGCGAGCGTCTTTCCCGATCATCGTTCCAACAGTTGACGAGTACAACATTTACATATACAATAAGTATATAACGCGTGAAAAAAATCGTTTATGGACGGGAGCTTGCAGCGTCTAAACTGCTTGGAAGCGAAACCAATATGGAGTGGCGCTTAAAGACACGAAGAAACGAACGGCAGGCGATCTGCCGGTAATCACCTATAATGAGTGTGGGTGCTACGGTAGAAGCGGATGGAGGGTGAACGGTGACTGGCGAAGACTGGATTGCCGCTCGGAAGGCAAACACCATGCCATGGCGGCCCCCTTGAGGCCTACCTGGTATTTGTCCTAAGTGCGCAAATGATCATTTACTCGATAGTCGAATTTATTAGTTCTTTATGAAAAAGAAAAGATCGTCTACCTCTCCCTCGCAAATAACAAAAACTATTTCCCTAAATGCCAAGAGAGCGAATACCGGATGAATAATGTGAATAAATTATATATTATTATAAATATAAAAACGTTAAAACACAGGTAAACGTTTCGACCCTTGTTTCCTCTTCAGTACAAATTGGTAAGTTAAAATAAAATCGTTCAAAAATTTCCGATAAAACGATGAAGAGTCAAACAGAAATAGTCAATATAAATTTATATTATTGTCATCAAAAGTAAAAGACGTAATGCATTGTCCAAAGATAAAAAAAAGTTAATCGTTATTTTAAGCATTTAGGTAGGATATTTTAAATACGGAAGTCAAGAAATAAACTAAAATATTACGTAGTAAATTTAGAATTAATTGCTTAACTGAACTATATCTGTAAACTCTTTATAATTACGTAAAAGTATAATTTTGCAAAATTTCTTCACATATCGTAAATACGACACATCAGTCGAACATAAATTGTGATACACACGAGAAAGAGTAATCTATTTCAACGTATAGGGTGAGAAAAGGATTATTATTTTCGCTTATGACATCATGATCCAATAAGGTTGCAATAATAGTCAGTCGATTTTTTCTATTCTAAGAGCTCGTATTCTAGGCTTTCCGTTATCTCATGTAAGTTTTCCTTCACATAGAAGTGACGAAACGAGTGAAAAAGAGAGCTCACAACATTCTTTATTTTGCACAAATTAAAAGAAATCAAAAGAAAATGAGAGAATACAAATTTCTTCGACTGTCTTAGAATAGAAGAAGGCGACTGTAAATTCAAAATTCCAATGAACGTTTAAAACTGAGAATACACTGAATGAATAGTGAACAACAAACACGAATTTTTACTATTAAAATTCGAGAAATATGTATGGATGCTGACAGTACATTTATCGGCAATCGGATTGATTTTGCTTATAAAATGTAATATATAATGTTAACGTACAATTTTAATGATACTTTTCCATTCAGAATATACGTGAATATATTAACGAGTACTCTGAATGATGTATTGTACAAATCGATGGAAACATCAGATCATCGTTACTCGAAACGAGAAATTGAACCTTCCCATTGTCACAATTACCGGATCATAATTACCTTGGCTGAGCTGGGCTAGAGCCGCAGCAGGTAAGGTGGTGGACACCGCAACTGGCGTGCCACCCGCCCCAGCGATCTTAACCTCCGTTCTCTGATTCGGCACCTGGACCACCGTGGATCCGGACGTGACGGTTGTGGTGGCGGTGACGGCGGTGACGATAGCGCTGGTGACGGTGGTGGTAGTAGTGACAGTAGTGGTAACAGCGGACAGCTGTGTGAACTCCGGTATCGACGACAGCGGCGCGGTCAGATCCTCGTCGGCGTCATCCGGATCGAGTCGGTGCTGACGCAGAAAGTTAACGAACTGCGGCGTCGGCGATCGCTTCCGCCAGGTGTGGTAGTCCATCATGTTGCCGCCGGCGTGCAAGAAGAAGAGCTCCGACGCGTTCTCGGCATACTTCTCACGTACGCTGCGCATCCGCCGCATCTTGTGCTCCATTATCCGCCTGCGATAGCCGCTGGCGTCAAATGGGATCGGCTTCTCCGCCGTTTCCGACAATTTCAGCCGTTTCCTCGCCGGTGACGAGGACGACGGCTGCTGCACTTGCGACGACATCTGCGATGATGACGACGATGATAATGACAGTGCCGATGACGATGATGATGATGAAGACGACGACATTGGTGCCACAAACACGTTGCTCATGGAGGTGCGTACGAGTTTCGGCGACGTTGTCAGCATAAGCTTAGCGGAGTTCTGCGGCCGCGATACTGCCGCCGGTGACGAATGAGGCGACGTGCCGGCGATGCCAACAGCGTTGCGCGGTGACGTGCTCGTGATGTTGACGATCCTTGTAACACCGACTTGTTGCGTTCCGCTCGCGTTAGTTGTGGCATTGTTCGATAAGACCTGCGAATAAATATCAGTGCTAATCACAAGTGGAGGAAATTTTACTACAAGAATTATTCCAAGTACGAATTAATAAGATAATTAATAACTTGATTATTGAGTGCAATTACGTGAAGAAATCAATGAAATGAAGAAATAATAAAAATAATCAAGATTAAAGTAATTTTCAGCAATTGTTGCAGAGTACAATTAGCTAATTAAATTAATGATCAGCCATCACAGTTACTAAATTAATTAAACGTTATTAATAATCAATGTTTAATAAAAATAATTAAAGTACTCATCAATTGTGTGTGATTAGATTATTAATTATTGATCAAGATATTTCTAATAATAAAGCTAAAAAAAGTATAACATCTCGTATTTTATGGAAAGGAACATATCATTTTTCTCTTATTCGAAAAAAATATAACATATAGCAATTTCGTGAAATAATATGTAATCAAACTGATTACTCGTGTGCAGTGGTCACAAGCGCAGACACTCACCTGTGTGAGACCAGGAACCTGAGTCGTAATAACGAACTGTTGCCCAGGAGTGAGCACGTTGAGGCCTTGGGTAGCGAAAACCTGCTGCAGACTGACAGTCTGTTGAGCTGAACTTCCGTTATTTCCGCCATTATTAGCCGCACCCCGATTAAGGGGTGGTAAAATAGGTGCACCCTGTTTATCACTCATTGCACGTTACGCTGAAAAGAAAAAGCAGCGCTGTATTATACAGTGACTCACAATAACTCGAGGTGCTGCATAAAAATTCATATTTTATCGTACAAAGTGCAAACATCTTAACACTTTGAAGACATTAAATTTTTTTCCAATAACAAAAAATAAATTTATTTCAATACAGAATTATGTTTTCGCATATTAGAAATCTTATAAAAACACAATTGTATTTTAAATTATAAATATTTTAGTCTAAAAAAGCTACTTGCATTTCGATTTCTTATATATATATATATATATATATATATTTTTTTTTTTTTAAATTTAGAGTTTAAAAATAAAAAGTTTAAATAAACTAAAGAATAAATTAATTTAATAAAATAAGAATAAAAACATAAGTACTGATAATGAAGAGAAATATGTAAAAATTTAATTAAAAAAAAAAAACAAATATTCACAATCATTTAAATATCACAAAAAAGTAATGTAAGGATAATATTGAGGTTAATGCTTTGATTTATATAAACAAAAATGTAAAAAAAAATTAAAAATGTGATTTATTGACTCAGTATATAGATTGATAATTCAACAACTTTGGTTCTTCTTCAAATATTATACAGAATGCATATAAGCTTTATTCAAATTTATAAATTGACAAAAAAAAATAAACAAAAATATCTGTACAAATGTGCACATTAAAAATTAAATTCCTAGAGAACGCTTTAATGAACAAATTTAATTTGATATATTAACTTAAATTCACTTATATAAATATTCTCCTTTCAAAAATATATGGAGCATTTGCAAATTAACCGCGCATTTAATTGCAAATTAAAGAGGATAACAATGAAGACAAAGAAATGTTCCAAATATTACATTTAAAAAAAATGACAGTAGAAGTGACTTACTAGGCACGATTATTCATTCGAGGGAAGCAACATTGATCATTTGTAAATATTAATCAAGAGACGAAGAAAAAGAAAAGCGACGAATTCGAAAAAGGCGATGCCGTCAATTCGCCCAAGAAGAAAAAAAAAAGATTGATACACTGCGCGACGTATACATACGCGAAATTTGAAATTTGCACGACGGGATGTCAAGGGATTCCGAGAGACGGTCATACCGGAGGGAAGGAGGGGGGAGATATGTCATCGCGACCGTCGCGAGATTCCGGAGCCGGCGAACCGGGATGGGAGACGAAATCCGAGGGGCTATCCGAGAGCGTCGTACGTTCGTGCGTGGATCGAGGGGAACCGATGTGTGCTATATCGAGGCGAGCCGCGCCGGTGACGAAACGAACACGACGTCGCGAGACACGATGATCCGCGCGAAGGCACGACGACGACGACGACGAGTCTCGCGCGTCGTCGGCGTCGCCGTCGCGGGGCGTCGTCGTTGGGGCGTCGCGCGCGCGAGGAAACGGCCTCGCCGAAGACGCTCGGCGTCGTCGAGCGGGTGGGGAAGCCGCGCGCGCGAGACGAGGCGCAGCGCGGTCGCGGCGCGGCGCGGCGCGATACAAAGGAAATCTCCCGTCCGCCATGTTGGCGTTGGCCCCGAGACGGGCCAGGACTTACCATAATGTAATCACAAATTACCGCGACGTAGGTGCGCCATCCACGGGAATGAACGTCACGCCCGTGTACGGCGTGGGTCGACTCGCAATTGGGTACCTCACGTAACATACGGCGCATGAGCTATATCTAATATTTTACGATACATCGTCACACCGCACGCCCAAGGACGCGTACACACTTCTAAACATGGCGACGGCTGCGAGACGAGTTTCGGCCGCGGCCGGAACGAGCCAGTCCCGCGGCGGGGCGTTTGCCGCAGCCGCGCAGAGATGGCGCCCGTCGTTCTCCCCCCTCCCGCCAAACCCCAACTCGTCGCCGCGCGGCGCGCGCGCAGTTGGCCGGCAGCGGCGGATGCCCGCAGCAACGTGGCATCGACGGAATCGCGCGATTGGCCGGGCCCCGCTCGTACGTTCGAACATGCGGCCGAAATGTGCTAACTCACACTTCCCCGGGTCTGTTCGTTTTTTTAATCGCGCGCCTCCCTCCCTACACCCCGCGCAACGCCAAATATGGCCATTCAATTTCGAGTTCCAAGACTCTCCGATCTCGCCCGACGACAGAAAATCGCGCCGTTATACACCCGTAATCACCCGACGATATATCGGCACGTGTATGATTATCTGTACATTATTTTAATTTTACTTCATTTACATTAATTTTAATTATCCGTGTGATCGTGCAATTGTCTACGCGATTAGCTGAAAAAGGAAATCACCGGACGCGTGATTTTACACAATCGAGCGTGTAATGTATAAAAAATGTACGAATAACAAGCTTTATGGCTCCTTTTCGCTATACACCCCGATCACATTTTCAAAAAATAATCACATCATGATCAGATTATTTTCAATATACGTATGTATATATTCTTACAGAACTTACTTCACCGGTGCTTCGATTAAATTTACCTGATTGATTTTTAATCTCTAGAAAATCTTACCGTCAGCGTAAGGGCAACATTTTGAGAAAGGCACAAAGAATTATTCGGATTTCATTTTTCGGCTGCACTTACACCTCATATCATTATCTTACCTTCTTTCTCCCTCGAAATCCAAACACGCTTTATTCAAATGGCGAAAACACGCAATTAAGAGAGCAGTCGTTATTACATCCTCCTCGAAATAAAAGCGATACACATTTGGACGTTGGAAAAAGGGGAGCTGGGGGGGAGAAAGGAGCAATTACCGGTAAGAAGAGTACAGGAAGCAAACTTCGGAACGAGAGTCGCAAAGACAGGAGGGTCGCGCGGTATCCGAGGTGGATCCGCCACGTGGCACGTAAGGCTGTCGCGTTCCTCGTCTTGTTACGGCAATCACAATACCGGCATACGTATATATATCGTACGTTCGTAACATACATATACATACCCGTGCATCGATCCTCGCCCGAGTCACTCCATCCTCGTTGGTGCCGCGCGGCGCTGCCGCGTCGGGATCTCGCGTTGCCGGGGCCGACGAGTGCGGGCGGTGCGCCGTTCGATCGTCGATTCGTCCGCGCACGTGCGTGATCCCTCGCGTGGTGGTGCGGGCGCGTGCCGCTGCCGCCGCCGGCGAGCGGCATTTTCGCGCGCGGGAATCTCGATCGCCATCACCCGGGCGGATTCCACCTCGGAGGCGCCGAGGGACGGGACACTCGTACACGCGGATCCCGCGGTCGCCGTCGTCGTCGTCGCCGCCGCGGCCGCCGGGAGAAGACGTGCGGTGCGCGACACACGTCCGCCAAGGTGAGTCGATTGACGCCACTGGAGGACTGGCCGGAGTAGTCCGTGCAGCGGCGCCTCGTCTCTCGATTGGCGACACCGGCCGCTCGATACCGCCGGAAGAGCGCCTATAAACGAACGCGTGGCGCGCGGGCGCGACGAGCGCGAGATAACGCTCTTCGAAAATTTAATATGCGTGACGAAAATCCGAATTTGAATTGAATTGAGTCCGACGCGTGAATTCATGTATATTCTACCTATCGGAATATACGTGTATATCACAGTCGCACGTCGCATCTGTTTAATTCTCGTGTTCTATGTATATTCGTTGAAAAACAGTATGTTTTATTAGAAACTATTTTTAATTATCTTGTAAATTATTTTTTATCATTCCTCTTGATTATTATTATTACGTTCAAGTTTTTATCTAAACGCTGAACATTTTAAATGTCACGTGAATCTTAAAATATGCTTTTGTGTGAAAAGATTTTTATATCTTTGTGTACGTAATTTCTTTATTTATTTTATTATCGAAATTTCCGAAATTTCTTTTGAAGGGCAGACTTGAACTTAAACTTCTTTTGCTTTGCAGATATTCAAGACAAGGCTGAAGGATGGTCAAACTGAACGCGAGTGTACATCCGAGTCTGTCGGAGAGAATTACGGAAAATTTGCGGCGAAAAAACGTGGTCACAGTCGTCGATTTCGTTTCGACGGATCCGATTAAATTAACGAATTTCACTGGTCTTTCGCACACGGTGCGTGTCCTAGCTATGGTAGAAAAATGAGCGGATATAATAAACGCATTTAAAAATACGAACTTTACCAGAGAATATATATAAGCACGGCATCATTTAGACATTAAGAATTAATTAAACTACATGAAAAGAAATGGAAGAATAGACTTTTCTTAATGTTAATTTGACGTCTTAAAAAATATTTGAGATATGTGCATATTTGAAATTGTTTCAATTAATTCAACGATAATTTTACCGACAAGAAATTTGAATCAGAAATTAATGCCTTTTGATTGGATATTAATCCACATTTTTTATTCGAAAAAACGGGATATATATGTAAAATCCAAATAACTATTTTTTATCAATCTCTAATTTTTTATTATCTTCCAAATAACGATCTTCTATCAATCTCTAATTTTTTGTTATACAGGTATATCTCATACATGTATATAATTTGAGATAGATAGAAGATAGTTATTTGGCTTTTCCATATTTGTATTTTAAATATTTAATATATTACTACTTGCAGGATGTATTACAAGTGAAGCAGCATATATTGAAGAATTTCAGTGCCGCAAAGAGAAACGCAGCGCAGCTCTTTGCGATAGAACGTAGCCACGTAATTCCGACCAACGTAACGTGGTATGTTTGCGACAAGTCACTATTTACTATTTAAATTGAACCGAATTGTGATTTACAGAAATATTCGATGTGGAAAACTTTACTTTCATACAGAAGAAAAAGAGAGACAAAGCTTGCATTTCTATAGTGATTTAATGTCTCATTTTTTGGTAGAACAGTTTGGACGAATTGCTGAGAGGTGGCCTGTATCCCGGACAGTTGTGCGAATTATGTGGACCATCGGCCTCCGGGAAGACTCAATTATGTTTGACGATAGCAGCTAATGTCGCCAGCCAGTCAAATGCCGTCGTATGGTACTTCGACACGAAGAAAGATTTTTCTAGATTGCGATACGAGGGGATTATGAGGGCGAGGAATTTCGGGCAAAAGGTAGTAACGTTGGCTGTCAATATAACTAGATGTTAATAAAAATCTGCGCGTATTGGTTTATGTATTACAATTATATCGATATGATCGTGAAAAAGTAAAGTAACTCTTAAGAAAAGAAATAAATAATTATAAATGAATAAATCCGAATTTGTATAAAATGAATATTTCATATGATTATATTCGTTATCTTTAAAATGCAACTGAGTTCTGAGAGGCAGCTTCTTTTTTGTTACAGATCATAGAAGATGCATTATGCAGTACAAAAGTTTGTCAAGCGCGTTCCTCGGGTGAATTGATACGAGCTATGCGACGATTGGTAACTCTTTGCAAACAGGAGCAGAATAGTGTGTCTTTTGAAGGGAGAAAGGTCTTGCTTGTTATTATCGACTCTTTACCAGCAATTATCTTCAAGGTACTATTATGAACAAATTTCTATTAACAATCTATATAACTTCTGTAGTATATCGTCAATTATTATTTTATATTATGTTTGTATTTTACATTATTGTGTTATCAATGTGTCATATAATACAAATATTACGCGATTAACATTATTAAGAAATAAAATTTGTTGTCTATCCGATAATTCTGATATTAAGCTAACTAATGTATAATTTAATTAATAATTATATTAAGTTAATTAATAGAAAATTATGATGTTATATATAATATTAATTCTATGACATTGAAATTAATATGGCTGCTCGTTCTTTTTTTTTAATAATCAATTATTTCTTCTTCAAGGTAACGCGAAATGTGCAACAAAGTGATTTCGAGACAACTTACGAGCTCGATGATTTGGCCGAGGTGTGCCGATTCCTCACGAGGGAATGCCAGGCAGTCGTAATTACTGTGAATACAGTCACCCGATGGGATTCTCCAGGGCAAACGGACGACATAACACCGGCGTTGGGAAAACATTGGGCGAGAATGCCAGCCACGAGATTACTGATAACAAGGCGACATGGTGAAATTCGTAGGATTAACGTGTGGAAGGATCTGAGATTAATCGAAAATTCGTTTTGCACTGTAACTGTAAGCGATATTGGAATTACATCATATAAGTCGTGATAATTTGATATTTACGTACGCTGATTAATTAATTGTTGTTAAGTGTATAAAGTTGTAATATATATATATATATAATGACAATAAAGTGTCACATATTATGTCAAGAAAAAAAAAACAAAGTCATAATTTTTCTAAATCTGTTTAATAATATTCTTATATATTTTAAGAGGAATCGGAGTTTATTTATGTTAGATATCATGATAAATATCACATGTTACGCCAAGAAAAAAAAGATAAAACATAATTTTCCAAATTCTATTTAATAATAATATTCAAGTAATGTTTCAAGTCTAGTTTCCACGCTAGCTTAACTAATAATTTAGTATTAATCAAATTTTAAAAATACTACAAAATTTAATATAAATAATAAAATATAAAAGAATGTATATATAAAAATTGCATTAAATATTTTCGAAGTTTAATATATTTGATTAGAGCAATTCTATTTATTTTATAATGTTTATATTATTTTATTGTAAAAATCGTTCGGATTTTATGCAAAACCAGGACCCTTGGATATTTCAGTTCTTGTCGATTCAATGCTCATTAAATTTACCATAATTTTGCTCGTAAACACTTCTCTTCCTTGTATATTCCACTCATCAGGCGGTATTCGCACGTCCATTGTGGTAGAAATTTTAAATTTATCACCTGTCACTTCCATTATGTGGGTATAGGAATTCTGCAAGATTTATCGTAGAAATAATTAAGTTTTTGTAAAGAATTCGAAATTGTCAAATATATATGTTAAATTTAATATCCCCAATGAAAAACGTTATTAAATTAATGAGGCACGTAAATATTTACATTATATGATTCTGTTATTGTCCTATATATATATTTATATATAGAGAGAAGACAATGATAGATTTTCTGTAATTAATTTTTTAAAGCTTCAATAATTTTCCATTACTGTTACGAATGAAGCTTTAAAGAATTAATTATATAAACTGTATCACTAAAGTGACGTATGTACAATAATGATTATGTACAATGATGAATTTTGTTTTTATTAAGAATGAGATAAGAATAAAAAAAATACAAAAAATATAAAAAAAAGTATACGTGTACGCACCAGTTCCAGTTCGTTCAAAAAAACGTTAAATGTCGGTATGAATGTGCACTTATGTCTACTCTTCTTAATTAATACAGTTTTTTTATTAATAAATTCCGGCAATTCTATAAAGCTGATTCGGAAATTTCTTTCCTCGGTGTCTTCCTCAGACGTAGCAGATATTTTATACATGGTTACGCAAGTGCCTCTTGTTATTTTTTCGTCGAATAAAGTAAATTCCGAACTATAAGCGCTGTAATTTCTTCTAGATTTCAAGCTACTGCCAATGGATAATTGGTCGGCAAACTCTTCAATCATATCTTCTCTCTCAGTTTTGCGATCGATTGATATTTCTATTTGATATAGACCTTGGTATAGATCTCGGTCCATACCACGATTAAACTTAAGATCAAACCAATCTACAGAATCTAGTTTCTCGTTCGCGATCTCGTGATTTGTAATGTTGAGATTTTTATATGAGACAACACTGATATCATGCAAAAGACAACGGAGACTTTTCGGGTCCGTGAGATGGCATCTTACTGTAGAGTTATAATGTACATTTTGGAGAGAATCTCCGTGTACTGTAGCGATTTTCTGCATGTTGTACACGTATTCCGGAGCGAATTCCTCCCCATCTTTTAGTGAGACGTTTCCAGTGACCGCTAAACAAATAAACAAGACATTTAGTCACATACAATATCAGAATATCGTCATATACTGTATTATAAAAATTAATTTTTGTAGCAATTAATGTTTCACAAAATTTATTACTGTATCTTATCTATTTTTGGATTAATTGTAGGATTTTAATTTCTTCTAAAAATTGTACATGAAGCTTGTACCATGTATAAATCGACATTGTTTTAATTCAGATATCTGCGCGCAAGAAAAGATATATTTACGACCCAAACAGATGATAAAATCTTTGAGAAAAGTCAGACGTGAAAGTAGTACTTGGACTTGCAGATAATTTCTTTTATTTAGTTCTACATATGTTTTACATATATACACATATATCTACCTATTTAATTTATTTTCAGAATATTGCTATTCTAGAAGAAACATAAATTGCGTTTTCTGAAAGATTTTATTCACAAACCAATAAATATGTGGCATGAACACGTGAAATTGAATTCAAACAGAATTGTACTTTTCGACTTACCCAACAGGAACGGGATCAGAGTGACGTTCACCAGCATCGTGAAGCAATTTACTTCCAGACACGTCGGCTAATATTACTCTAGCTTCCTTCACTCATGAGCTCCTTTTCGAAACACGCTCGTCATTTAATTAATCTTCGTGTCGAATTATGAGAGTGTCGCGTGTTAAACCCACTTGCCGTTACGGGTGTACATTACAATATGATTCGAGGGTCGACTTTTGTCTCTGTTGTAAACAAATCTGTAGGTGATGTTTACGTCTCGCTGTGTGAAATAGGTAGGAAGGACTCTGCATGCCGGGTCCTTCCCAGTCTTTCCTTGGTACCATAATAACAAAGGACGTATCTGAAATCTTATACACAAATTTCCTATTAGATTTTATTGTAGAACTTATTAAAACGAAACGTTTCAACGATAAAGGATTAATTACACATCATTAAAATATGCGTGCAGAAAATATTTTACAAAAAGTAAAATTTATCGCATATCAAGAATTATAATAGAAATCTTTAATTACACAATTATATGTTTATATAATTGACATATTTAATTTAATTTAATGTAATATATACTTGATTTTAAACAAATTATACACACTACACTTACACACACACACACACACACGTGAAGCGGTGGAAGACATTTAGGTTATGTTATCTTTGTTTTGATGGCGTCAAGATGAGCCTAACCTAGATAACTGCTGATGGCGCGAGTAAACAAGCCTCTGACGATGCGTTTTATACGCCTTTTTATGAAAAACGCGAATTCAGCTGTAATCTCAATTGACTGTTGTTGTGTTGTTGTTGTGGCGGGTGGCCCGTCGTTTCGAACTTAACAGACAGTTGCTGCCGCAACGTGGTTTACGTCAACGTCAGGATGAGCGTGAAGCAGTACATCCATCCGAGGAACAAGTACAAACGATCGTCGGACTACAAGCGGCTCGCGGTCATGTATCCGGAGTTCCGCGAAATCGCGGTTATGGTACGCCACGATTGTTGTTCCCTTTTGCAATTTACAACAAATTGTCAAGTCACACCCGCGCGTAATCGCAAACGTTCCGATTTCCGAACCTGCTTCAGGACTTCGCGGGAAAGGTTAGGATCGACTTCCGAGACCGGAGGAGTCTGCACGTGCTGACGGAGACGCTTCTGAAGCACGATTTCGATCTGCACGTGAGCATCCCGGCGGACAAGCTGAACCCGGCGATTCCGCTGCGCCTGAATTACATTCTGTGGATGGAGGATCTGATGACCCACTCCAAGTTGGAGATGGAGAGAGTCACGGGCATCGACGTCGGTAAGGTGAACCTACCTAGTGGCTGAACATGTATCTATATCTGAACAAAAATTTATCAATCTCAAATATTTTTTTTATTATAATATCAAAATTTAATTGTAGAAATATTTAAAGATTACAATTCAATTGTAATATTATGAAAAAAATCATTTAAAAATAAATTTTTGTGTACTTGTTCAGCTACAGATACACGTTCAGCCATACTGGTACGTTTACCTTAATTATGAGGTCTTGCCTTTCGGAAGAACTTTGCTTTTCGACAGACACTCGCGCTTAGAAGACATAAATCAATTGGAATTGTTGCAATTGTATTAGAGTAACGAGCGTCACAATATTAATCGCAACAACAATGATAAAGATACTACAATAATATAATGCTTTTTAAAATGTAATTACGTCAGATCGAACGCCATCCCGGCTTGCGATGTATACCTGCACGTTTAATATAATATTTTAGACCGCTATTCGCGAGCTCAGAATAATTTTTCGTTTCAAACAGGGACAGGAGCAATTTGTATTTACGCTCTGTTGCTGGCGAAAATCTACAAGTGTCGCGTGATCGGCACGGAAGTGGACAAGGAGAGCGTGGAGCACGCCCGGGAGTGCGCAAGGAGAAACAAATTGCAGGATTTAATTGAAAGTAGGTTTCATTGAATGTTTACTCTTTGGAAGCATATTGAAGCGAAGAGAGGAGAGGAAGTTTTAGGAGATGGATATTTTTGGGATTGAAACTCAATTCCGTGTAACGTTTTCTGACATAGTAATTACAGTGAACTCCGATAGGATCTTGAAGGACGCGCTGCGGGACGACGGAGTCTACGATTTCTCGATGTGCAACCCGCCGTTTTTCGCCAGTGAGAGCGATGGCCTCGAGGAAGTCGCGAAGGTCCTGCCGCCGAGGAACGCGCCCACTGGAAATGACGGCGAGCTGATGACCGCGGGTGGTGAAGTGGGCTTCGTGACGAGGATGATCGAGGAGAGTGTCGAGGTGGGGGAACGAGTGAAGATCTACAGCACGATGATCGGCAGGAAAGCCGACCTGGTCGCCTTGAGACGATTGCTGAGAGCGAAAGATATAAAGAACATGACGTGGACGGAGTTCTGCCAGGGTTACACAACACGGTATAAATAATTAAATTTTAATAAATATATTATCACATTTTCAAAAATCTTTTTATACTATATTTTAAAAATCGTTAATTCAGGTTTTAATCGAATTTATTAGTTTATCAACTAGTTACGCGTTATGTGATTAATTATTTTGAAGCTTATTAAAATTGCGTTTGTCAACAGATGGGGCTTGGCCTGGAGCTTCCTGCCGCAGAGCGTTGTGAATCTAACTACAGCGCCTGTCATCAGAAAACGCGGCAAGTCGATAGTGCGATCGTTAAAGAATTATAAAACCTCGATAGCGTTTCCCGCGGAGGATAAGTTTTCCTGCATCGACGATGTGGTCAGCTTTTTGAGGACGACGGCGAAAGAGTTGAACGTAACACATCACTCCTTATTTCTGACAAGTCAAGTTTATGAATTATCTGCAATGAAGAGCTAATCTTAAAAAAATTATTGTCACAACAGATCAAGATGCAAGACGTACCCATTCCTGAGGATCACTTCGACAGCTGGGCGTGCCAAGTGACGGCTGGAGAAAGATCGTGGGAGCATACGCGCAGGAAGCGGCGTTTGGCGCAACGAATTGGCGCGTTGAAGAGAGCGAGGGGCGAGGACGGCGAGTGTACCGCGGCGAATACGTGCGCCGGGGAAACTTCGATTGAAGCCGGAAACGACGCGAAAGCTGCGCGCGAGGCAAACTCCGATGGAGAATCGCCTGACAAAAATGGTCCCTCGCTCGTTTGTAAGCTCTGGGTAGAGGCCGAAGGTCCCGATTCTGAGGATGTGATTGCGCGACCTGACGAGACCTTCAGGATATGGATGGTGTTCGAGAACGGGCACGGCGGTTTGGACGCGTTACACTCGCTACGGCAGTACCTGATAAACAGACTGGGAGTGAGGGAGAGGATTCGAGATGATCCGTCGAAGACGTTTAAGAGAAAGAGAAAGAAGAGGTTGAAGAAGAACGCCGAGACGGAAGAGTCGCTTCGGTCGCGGTCGGGCAGCGGAAAGGATTTGGCGAGCGACGAACAGGAAACGCGGGAAATTCCGGAGGTTCTTAATTAGATGATTAGCCGTGTTATACATATAAAACAATTTTATTCCATGCAACATGTCAAAGAAAAGTCTGCAACAGGAAAGTATATGTAAACCAGATTTATGTAACGTCTTCTTTTTATTTCATGATATATGTAAAGTTTTCGCGCAACTTTTTTTTTAATTGTTTAATAGACCCCCCCTCCCCTATATAATTATTACTATTCTCTCTTTATAGTACAATTTGACTAAGTGCAATGCGGTAATTTTTGTCATTATGATTATTATTGCGATGCGAAAGTATGCATCCGTCGAGAGAGACAGCGGTGGAGATCGACGATCGATCGACTGACTATGACTGATTAATTGATCGTTCTTTCACTGTCACGCGCAAGAAGAGTTGCTGGCGCGTCTCTTCAGGCCCGCGAAATCTCGCGTAAAATCTACGAGGGCTGCAACGGAAAAAAAAAAAAAATATATATATATATATATAATCGGTACTATTTTCTTCAATAAATCAAAATCGCGAAAACCCCGCGACACTCGGCTACTTAAATCAGGACTATCGACTATGTCGCGGCACATATTGCTCTTCGGTCGAAGAGACCGCGGCGAGAGACTTCTGGACCTGGCCGCGGACGGATCCGTGCGGAGCCGGCGAAACGAACTAATAAGTAATATTAACAGCGCAGGGTAACAATCGCTTTCCTTTACGGTCCTAAGACTATAATCGCGAAACTCGAAATCGGCTACGACTCGATTAATTAACAAATTGGCCATTAACGTCCAAAATTACATCGAATAAGAACGCCATTCGCTACATCACACTCTCATCAACCATCACTCTCAATGCGATGAATTTAAAGATGCGTAGTATATCTTTACACATTGAACAGGCAACCAAAAAAAAAACCCAAATTCGACAATATTCCATAAAAATAAGAGGAAGCACCTTATCGCGAATTGCTGTAACAAGAGATAGAAAGCGGACGAACTATGTTCGTAGATAGAAGTAGTAATACTTTCTTTTTCTTCTTTTCTTATCAGCGGCAATTAGAATGAAATAACATAACTAAAATGGCGCAAAATGGCGATCTCGCAAAAAGAAAGGAAAGAACAAATGAAAGGAACGAAAGGAAAGAACATCACTGGAAGCGAATTCGCAAATAATGGTTACGTAACGTATTAATGCAGATTAAAAACCTGCGTGTATACACATTCACGTTGCGCAATTAACATAATTGACGAAATGTATTCAACGTATATTTAATCAAGCAACGTGCTAAATTGTACTTAACGTCTTGCGAACCCATCTGCTTATGCATGCTTTGAATAAACTTATGAGTACACGAAGGCCTTTAATGAGCACTAATATACATTCGGGAAAAAGAATACGTGGAAAGAATGCGAATTCGGTTTACTAACAGGAAGAAAAAAAAAAGAAACGATGGCAATTGGTTTCGAGAGTCTAATACGAATTCTGATCGAGCGTTCGAACGTTACTTAATCTGACGAATTAATGACCGGTACCGTCGACGTATCGTATCACCGGTATTTTGCATGATAAACAACTTGAGCCTTTGAAGGAAAAAAAAATGCGTGGTCGCTCGCGCGCAGGCGAAGAAATCGTACTGCTTTTTTGATTTCGCGCGACAGCGAAAAGGGGGCAATCTTTTTATATATATATTTATTGACTTTTCGAAGACGTAATCTTCGTTTTGAAGATTGCTCCCCTTTAAGCGACATGGCACTCGTGTCTATGTACATTTGATAATGACAACAGATAAAATGTGCGTCTCGCATGCAAATTCAACCTCGGCGGATATATCCCTGCCTTCACGAACACACTATATCAACGACGGCAATCTTGCGTCTCGTCTCTCTTTGTTTTTTTTTGTTTTTTTGTTTTGTTTTCGGAGTCTCCTGATTGCGTTTGAACGATATAACAGAAAACGGTGCAAGTATGTGTGTGTACAACGTACGCGACGATCCTCGCGCGAGAGTCGTCATCTTCCACGACCGGAGGACTAGGGCTTAGAAAAAAAGGAAGGAAAGACTACTAATGTTCGTCGGCAAACGAAGGACTCAGCTCTTCGCCGCCACGTCCGACTCCAAGGCATCAATTTTGCTAGCTTCCAAGTCTTTTATCGTCGTATTCTGCTCGACCTTCTCGACGTTCCTCTCAGTCGCCTTCTTCACCTCCATGTCGTCCTTCTTGGCGCCCTTTTCGGCAATCGCCACGACGACCTCGCCGCTGTCCGGCGACTGTTCCTTCTGCCGCTTCTCGATCTCCGCTTTGAAGTTATCAATGTCCTGCTGGCTGATCTGCACGAAGAGGATGCCGTTGATGACGTTAAGCATGTCCAGCACCGAGCCCATGCTGGGCGGCTGCACCTGAATCGGCGGCAGGCTCACACCCGACTTGCCCGTGTAGATCTCGTTCATCTTCTTTTGCAGCACGACCGCCTGCTGAGTGAGGTGGCGCAGGCAGTCGCTGCTCTCCTTCGTTTTCTCGTGCTCCTCGCCCAATTGCTGCTTGTAAATCGCATAGGTCTCCTTCTCGTTGTTCAGCGCCGCCCGGAAGTCGCCCATGCATGACTGCGTGCGCGCCACTAAATGATATGACACGGCGACCTTCAACGAATGAGGACCGTGATAACGTAGATTCAAGGCTAACGCATGCTCCAGAAAACGCAGCGACAACTCGTACTCGCCGACCGCGTGCAGAATCAGCGAGATGTTGCTCTGCAAGAAAATCAAAATACGATATTACTGTTGCAATTTAAACAGCAATGTTTGGGGGGAAATTTATGATGCCTTGAGAAAATGTGAGACATGTAATAAAATTACTTTTAAAAATTATACAATATATGTATCGTATAATATATAAATGTAATATAAAAATATATTTCGCAATTTTTATACGGAGAATTTCTCTGAGAATTATCTGACTTACATCAAGCAAGGCCACTTCCGGATGATCCTCACCGCAGACTAACAATGCTAGATAACGTGCTCTGTACAATAATCTTAATGATACAGATACTTGCCCGTTGGCAAAGGAATACAAGGCGAGATGTATCTGTAAGCAGAGAGAATAACATATTATTAATTATTACGTTGTAAAGAATATTACATCATTTGTATTATCTTTTTTATATTTTCTATATAATTCAATAGAGTACAATTCACATAATGTATAATCGCGGACAAATAAGTTGCGACACTTTTTTTTCATTTGGTTTCGGAACGCATTAATATTTTGCAAATGCAAACCACTATTGGTGTACTATCTTTAGTACTGCAAAATATCAGTGCAAAACCAAATCCTATCTTAAAATTGCCGTGTTACCTGCGTTGAAGCCTCTTTTCCCCAATGTTTAAAAATTCATATCTTCCAGAAAAATAAAGATATAGACTTCTTTCTGGGCTCATCTTAAAGATGAATTATGTGACTATTTTTTAAGAAATCGTGATTTTATTTAAAAATGGCCGATTCAAAATGGCCGATTAAAATGTAATTTTTTTGAAAATTTATTTTTTTCAAAAAATTTTTTTTTTAATATTTTTTATATAATTAGATTTTTTAAATACAAATTCTTTTTGATCCACCACCCAACACCACCCCCCACCCCCGCCACCCATCCCCACTACCCACCACAAACACCCATGACCACCCACCGCCACCACCACCACCATCACTCATCCCCATCACTTACCACACTACTCTTTACCACCATTTTAAGGTCATTCTTCGATTTTTGACATGAGAAACTTATATGAAAATTTTTATTGCATAAATCGAAAAATATAAAAAATTGTCCGAGGTCAAATTAGTCTTATTCATTTTTCAGATTTTCGATTTTTGGTTCAAAAAAATTTTCGAAAAATTTTTATTGCAGAAATCGAAAAATATAAAAAATTGTCCGAGGTCAAATTAGTCATATTCATTTTTCAGATTTTCGATTTTTGGTTCAAAAAAATTTTCGAAAAATTTTTATTGCAGAAATCGAAAAATATAAAAAATTAGTCCGAGGTCAAATTAGTCATATTCATTTTTCAGATTTTCGATTTTTGGTTCAAAAAAAATTTTCGAAAAATTTTTATTGCAGAAATCGAAGAAAATATGAAAAATCGACCGAGGTCAACTCCTACATGGTCATTCTTCGATTTTTGGCATGAGAAATTTTTTATGAAAAATTTTTATTGCAGAAATCGAAAAATATAAAAAATTGTCCGAGGTCAAATTAGTCATATTCATTTTTCAGATTTTCGATTTTTGGTTCAAAAAAATTTTCGAAAAATTTTTATTGCAGAAATCGAAAAATATAAAAAATTGTTCGAGGTCAAATTAGTCATATTCTTATCTTCCAGAAAAATAATGATATAGATTTCTTTCTGGGCTCATCTTAAAGATGAATTATGTGACTATTTTTTAAGAAATCGTGATTTTATTTAAAAATGGCCGATTAAAATGTAATTATGATTGTATTGTATAATACACGTGTATAACGCATACAATCATTTCTTCACTTTACAGTATTATTATTGCTTATAGCTATTATTCATTTTAGAATTGGTATAACTTACGTATTCTGTGATGGTGTACGGATGATCGATGCCGTTGACTCTCTCCGACATGAGCACTGCCTTCTGCTGAGTGGCAAGTGCCTCCGCGTGATCACCCATTATGTAATTCAGTCTCGCCAGCATTCTAAGACACTGCGCAATTTCGGGATGCATGGCACCGTAGACGTTATTCAGAAGATTGAGCGCCTCGCTGATCAGCTCGTAGCCATCCTTTAAGTAACCCTGTTGGATCTTGCTTTGGCCAGTGGTGTAAAAGTTGTACGCATCGCTAGCCTAAAGGAAGCCGAGTTGAAATTATTATTTCTCTTCTGTGTAATCCGCAACTTCAATTTAAATGAAAATTTTTAAAAAATTTAAATAATAAAGAATTTGAAATTTAATTTAAATTCTTTTTACAATTTTGAATATTAATTTAAATAAAAAATGTATTCTTTTAAGATTTAAAGCTAGATAGTTTCGCATTCATTTAGAATCGATGACTTACTCTAGGATTGATATGTTTGACGACGGGGAAGATGTTCAATATATCTTCTTCGAAGAACGTTGCGCGGTTCTTGTTTTCGAAGTTGTATTCGCGCAACAGTATCTGAATGCCGGTCTTGATGCAGAAGCCGCGCAGCAGTGAAATCTTTTGTAGATAGAAATGTTCTATCGTGGCTTCCAGAGACTCCGGGCACGGCGTTTCCCAGTCGTAATAGGCCTTCAAGTCACCCTTAATTTGCTGCCACAGCGATTTAGGCGTCAACGACGCCCATTCCACTTCCGACTGCTGCGGTCCGTTGTTCCTCCCCTTACGTTTATTGCGGCGTTTGGCAGTTTTGCTCTGAAGCTGAAAAAAAAATTACACGTCAACTTACACCTACTTCATTGTTTAATTAAATTTAATTAGATTTAATTAAACAATATCTAATCTTAGTGATTATTGTTCTATTATTATCTACAATTAAAAATCTCAGTCCTCTTAAGGCCCATAAGTCGCAAACGCAAAACGCAAACGCGGATGTTTCTCTTTTTTTTTTCTCCGCATTTGCGTTTGCGTTTTGCGTTTGCGACTTATGTAGATGGACCTTTAATCATTACACCGTTAATAAATAAATAAATAAATTAATAATTATGCCTGAAATATAAAGGTGTTATAATTGATCGTACCTCTTCTAGATTTTGTTGCGGGTGAATAATCTGTGCTGAAGACAATAAACAATTCAGGAAGTGGCTAACGGCCGCGGACAAACTCATCAGTTCCGTACCCTGTAAAATGATATATTTACAATTTACTTGTATATATATGTACTTTTTAAACATATCGTAATTTTATTTTTGTACAATTAAACGCACCTGCATGTAAGAGGTGAAAATGTGTTTGGCCGATCGGAGAATCAGCTCGGATACAGCGATGTGGTTGAGATACTGCAACTGCGGCACCGCGGCTAACATAGCCGCCAGTTTACCGAGGTAGCGAACATTAATGCCTCTACCGTGAAGAGACTCCACTAACGTACTACCGTCCATCGCGGCCGCTGTGTGATCCAGGCATTCCCGAATCTGGAACGAAGATTTACTTAAGAAATAAAGATACAGTCGCGCAATTATAAAAGTACAGTCAGAAACAACCGCTCAACATCGTGGATCTAATAGAAAAGTATAAAAAAAAGTGTGCTATTAAATTTTTACGACAAACTTACGAATGTCGGCAGCTGCATCGTGAGCAAGAAGTCCGCCGCGTCCTTTACCAGCTGCTTCTGCTTCTTCAGATCGGGGCCGTTAGGATCCGGATGCCTGACACCGGGAGAGAACACATCCGGATTGAATCGCACGTCGAACTCGGCGTCGCGCAGACTGCCCACCGCCACCGCCGCTCTTCGCACTATCTCCTTCGTGCTCTCCTCCACTGTAGCCCAGAAATAAGAGTTGTTTTCGAAATCAATGATGATTCCTTTACGATTTATTTTCTTTAATCTCTTTATCTCCCAACATTCACACAAAAAAATTACTGTTACCATAATAATTGTGATAAATTTCGCCCGTCAATTTAAAAGGGTTATAGGAACTAAAATACTTTGGAAGTGACTTATATAGTTCACTGAACTCTCAATCTTAATGTCGTGACGTGCAACTATATATATATTTTTTTTCCGTGTAAATGTTGGATAAAAAGATTAAAGAAAATAAATCGTAAAGAAATCGTCATTGTTTTATATCAATCAATCAATCATACTATTGTTGTGCAGACCACATTAGAGAGAAAACAATAATGTTTCGAATGAGGCAATCACATATATAAAGATATTTTAACCGAATGTTATTTAACATAAAAACTACGTTTGCGAGAACTGTATAAATTTCAATATAATTTAAATTCACATACATTTCTTTTTCAAACACAGAAAGTATTGCTGTAACATCCCATAGCAATTTTTTCCGTGCATTTATTCCTTTTCTATTAATAAAATCTTGAGAGCTACTTCTTACACGTCTATATTAATCAACGCGTCTAGGAAGAGATAAGAAATATAATACGCACGCTCTTGTTTCTCACCACCCGTGATCGAGTCGGTGATGCTCTCGACAATCTTCTTAGCCTCGTCGGCCTCTATTAGAGATGAAGCGCAGTCTTCCTTGTTGCTGTCCATCGTCACAACGGCAGTCGAGTCTTCCTTTTTGTCCTCTTTCTTATCTTCCTAAAATTGTTGGTCTGTATTATCTTCTGCACTTACATGTCGCTTCCTCAAGTCGCATTCGCATTTGAGGAACAAGTTTAACAAAAATATGAAATACAATATAAAAAAAAACATCTGTTTATGTATACCTTGGTAGTCGACTCTTTTTCCTTTTGAGATCTTCTAGCTGACGTAAGCTGTTGGAGGTGAACGGCCGCATGCTTGATAAACTGAACGTACCTGGCCTCGACGAACGAGTCTATGAGCTCCTGCCGTAGACAGGCCAGTCTGTGCTTGTGCTCCACTGGGAAACCCAAGGCTCGCGCTTCTTTGCTCAGTTCCACACCTTCGACTGAACGAGAGGAATATTTCCCGAATGAATAAAACAGCTTTCTCGTATAATTTAAAAATTGATAGATTTCGCTCAACTCACGTTTCAGAAAATTTACATCGGGTGGGAAAGTCCTCAACAGATCGAGCACATAATGCCGCGAATCGTTACCGATGATACCCTTACACTCGACGCTGCTGCAAAGTTCGATTTCCTCGCTTGCGTCGTTGATTACTTTATGAGGAAGGATCTTCAACTGCGTTCCAGCCTTGCTCAACTAAACGCGAGTATCAAAGACAATGTTATTTGAGCAATGTCATTAAATGACAATTAAAGCAATTATTTTTATCAATATATTCGCTTACCAGTTCAAGATACTTGGGATGCGTGAGAACAGTCTTCCCAAAATCAATTGAGCCATAGACCACCGATTGTTCTTGCTCGCGTTCCAGTATACCTGGTATGATAGATTGCGCGGTGACGCGGTAGCCTCTATAAAAGAATTCACGAAGAATATATTAAACTAAGAGAGACACCGATAAGAGAAAACCGTAGGGAATCCGAGAAGCGCACCTGTAATCGATGACGACGGTGCCGAGAGTGTAGAGACCGGGCAAGTCCACGGCCGCGTAAACTCGGACGCCTTGTAGATCATTGCGAGGTGCAACGAAGGCGGCGGCGTCACCACCCAACTCTTTGTAGTGATCGCGGACGTCGAAGCCGAGCGAGAAGAAAATATTGTTCCAGATGAACATCTGCATTTTGGCCTCCTCGCCCGGGTTAATCGCCATCACGTTGCCATCGATAACCGCCATCGCTCCGCGGGTCGCCGCCGCCACGAAATCGCTATGGACCTAAACGGTAAAAAAAAATAATTAAGAATTATTTAGGAATTTGTTAATAAAACTATTAAAAATAATTAATAAGCATTTATTTTATTATTTCTGTTTTATATAATTATTATTGTACACAGCGTCTTTTTATACCGATATAATTGAAAAAAGAATTTCTTATAAAAAAAATAGAATAAAAGGTTAATACAACATTTTGGAGCACTAGTTTGGAAACATTAAATATTATTGTGTTCAAGAAGAAAAACCTACTTTAAAGATGGCACGTTCTCGCAGCAATCTTTCGGGAAGATTTTTACGCGGTAGTTCCCTCGTGGTTTGCAGTTCCTCGTTCCAATCGCGTGTCTGTCCCGGGATGTGTTCCTCGTATCCCAACTTAGAGGAAAAAGCTAAGCAGAAGAAGATTGATGAAATTAATTAAATTTCTACCCGCAAGTAGAATCTATTAGCATTTTCGCATAATCAAAATTATATGTGTAACACAACTAAGCTCCGTCTTCTTTTTATTGATTAAATATCCAAGAATTTTCTCTATTTCTTCTAGAAACTCACTGTCTTCCGCGCGAATGGCGTCAATGGTGTGTTCAATTTGCGGCGCGCTCCAGGCGTACAATTGATAGGGCGTGGCCACCCGCTCGAAGGGATGCCTCTGAGTTCTGCGTCGTTGCATAGAGGCAAATCCCCGCTTGAAGGCTGGACTGAGTTGATTCAGGAGCTCGATCAGACTGTGGCATAAGTGGCTAGGCGTGGCTGGTTTAGGATTAAACACTTCTTTGGTCGATTGGTTGACAAAGAATCCTCTGGCGCACGCAGTCAGATAGTATTGCTTGTCCTCCAACGTGACCACGTGCAAGTATATCAGATCGCCGTGAAGCTTTCTGTGGCCAGGTGGTGGATTCCATCCTGACGTTGTTAGAACCTTAGGAAAATGCAAAAGAACATTAGAAATCTTTTGTTTCTCTCACTCTTTTTCAATAAGAATCGAATCTAATTTTGAATATTTCAAAAATAAGAACAATACTTAATCGTCTTTGAGCAATTTTTTTTCGAAGCAATTAATTTTTGGCGTTTCAAATAAAGTTAACAATATAAATTATCCTTTCTTATTTTATTCTCTAACTTTCATTAGATTGTCAAAATAAACTTTTCAAGAATCACGTGCCAACCTTGAGACACGGTGGGCACTTCTGCTCCTTCGCCTGCGGCTGGAGGGGCAACAGGGGCCTGTCCCTACTACCGGGTATAATGTAGTCGGGCGGCGTGCAATCGACCGAATCAGCCCGGGTCTTCTTCTTCTCCAGGATGTCGCCGTTCGTGACGACATTGAGAAACGACAGGCTGCTGCACTCGACGCCATTGTAAGCGTCCGCGGGATCTACGGACTTCAGCAGGTCGCGCACGTGTCGCACGTGTATGCGCGCCTCCCGCATCGTGTAGGGCTCCTCCACCACCCTGATGATCGAACCGTCCTTCAGGCCTTCGATATTCTTCAGTTCGGCGAAGTTGTCCAACGTGTTGCCTTCCAGCTGCAGTGAAAAGCACGTGCGGTGACACGTGTCTTCGCGATCCATGAGTAACTGATGAATTTCCTGCAAAGAAAAGACGAGATCAGTAAGATTCAAGCAGAGATATCGATTTATTTGTCAGGCGCGAATCTCATCAAAATACTTTTAGAAATCTTATTGTAAATTTAACATAAACAATAATGATACGAAGCAATAAATAGAATATTAACGAGGGATAGCTGATTATTATTAAAAATAAAAACCTAGAGAGTAAAATTAAGTTCGAGTTGATAAAGACAGTTAAGGTATTGATACAATTGATAATTTAAATTAATTAATTTACCTGTACGAGCTCCATGCTGGACACTTGAATGTCAAAAGGTTCAGAACCGGGGCTGACGATCTTGACGGTGAAGCCCGTGTCCTGAATAAAAACAACTTCTTGCTCATTCGTGGCATCCTTCTCCTTGTCTGCTTCCTTCTCGTTTTTATCACTACTTTTATTGTCTTCATCCTTCTCCTTTTCACCTTCCTTCGTCGCCTCAACCTCTCCCTTTTCCACAACGTTCTCCGTGGCCGTGCTCGTGCTTCCGCTCTCCTCTGTTTCCCTCTTCACCTCTACAAATAATAATTCACCATACGTAAGGAACGATTTCGCAAATTATTTCAAAAAAATTTTTTTGCATCATTATACATAAATGACGATATTTTATCGAAGGCCTATTATTTATTGCATGCCTTAATTTATGCGTGTATGTAATTACTTGGATTGTGACAATCTTAAGAATTATCAGCAAGAATTATCGCACAAAAGATACTGAACTCAAATTCATTTAAATTTTCCAATTTGTCAATCAGCAAGAATTATCGTTCAAAAGCTACTAAACTCAAATTCATCTAAATTTTCCAATTTGTCAATTTCTTTGACATCATTTACAAAATAACTTAGAGATTTAATATTATATTCGGATCTCCATTTAATACACTTCGTTATACGAATTCAGACTAGACAAACCAGTCTTAAGATACGAGATAAGTAAAAAGATTAAGTCGAACAGAACAAATTACAGAATCCAGTGACTCGCTCTCGCCCTGACACTGAAAGGGACACGACGCGTTTTACAAGATATAAATACATCTCACAAGTCCGAGAAGTAGTTTCACGTTGTCAAGCGCACTTTCCGATGCACTTTCAGACGCACTCTCTCGCCACTAGCATTCACCGCGTTGCGCTTATAAATAAGCGGCAAAGTAAATAGTACGCACCGTACTATTTATATTGGGGCACGTGTTTGCAATACGCATCGACGTTTCGGAGCGCCAGCGACGATCTATGTCAAGAGAGATGTCTATTGGATCGTTGGCGGCAAAATAATAAATTACATTGTCTTTTCTTGTTACATTTAGTCTCGTCGATTCAATTTCTTATTCGTATTTAATATTCCTTAATTTAATCCTTGTTACACAATTGGTTAAAATAATCACACAATATCCTTTTTGAACTAATTTCTAATATGAATTACTTTATACATGATTTTTCTCTTATCTTTCAGTGCATTCTTTTTTTTTCTTTGATTGCCTATAGTTGTTATTATTAAAGTCGATGAGATTATCAATTGTATTAATTTCCATAGAACTGAACTGGTATATAGATACATCCTATTCAATTAAAAAATCACTATATTTTTATTATGTAATTAATAACAAGAAACTTTGTTTTTTGGCATTGGCATTTAAATTTTAACAGTTCCTAAATCGGTGTTTAATCACCGCGTACTTTTATACAGGTGATCGCAATTAATTTTTCGCTTCGCTAAGCCACGTTCCGTAAATATCGGCGACTCCGAGCAGTCGTCAACGATAACGGACGAGTCGTGCGCGCAACTGATAAGAGAACTATCCCATAATTCAAGTGTCAGGAGTTATATAAACGTGAGTTCGAAGAAAAAAAAATCGACAAGACACACAAACTCTATTTGAATAAATAGCTCTAATTTGCGTAAACAATCCGTATTAATTTGCTTTTCTCAGCAATCCCTAAGCGTGAATTTCTGAATTACGAAATTGAATTAAGTAAGAGACATAACGATTACATCTTTTATGCATAGTAAACGAAAATATCCTTGACATTAGATAACATAATTAAATAATAAAATTTGACGATTCCGAATCGCTTCGTACACAATCTTCCGTCTTTTATTAGTGCTTATCGTCTACTTCGCTGTCTTATCATCGTGTTATCATCGTGTACGGGTTCCATCGTCGTTATGTGTAGAAGCATTGTACTCCTGTTACAACGCGGATACGTGATGTAGATAAAGCGTTTTATCATAAAATAACGCAATAAATGGTGGGAAGGATCTACATGCAGAAGAGCCATGGCGATTACAACGAATATTATCGAGATATGTATCTATTTAGAAATAACGTATGAGATCGTAAAAATGTTTCAACGTGTGAACGTGATGTAAACGAATGCTTAAAGAAGTGTGCCATTTGTAAAAATTTCTACCTTGAAGACGTAGCGTTGTAACGGTAAAAAAAAATTAGCTTTAGCTGAAGGGATCAGCTGAAAACCAATATTTAAAGTTAGCGAGTTCTGAAGAATTCACAAATTTTGTCGCGTACGTTTTTGCAGCTTAGTTCTTACAGTTATCGCTACAATTATCTATCATTAGCTATACAAGTTTTAAAGTGAGCCCTATTAAAAAGAGGCATTTAACCAACGTAAACAGGTGATAACGATATTCGCAACTCACTCGTAACAGCTGATAAACAGAACGTCTACGCGGCACGCAATTATTAGAACATTACTGCTAATAATTGTGATGCGCGCACGGGCATCGATATACCTATTATTTGTGCGTCCATCCCTAAAGCGGAGCGCGAGTTGACAAATGTCATCATCAGTTTCATTCATGCGGTGATGATGCGAAAGCCGCGGCGTGGTTTTAAAGTATCATTCATAAAACGCCCACTAATACTCGCGAATCGCCGCGCTCTCCTTCTCGCCATTAAACCGTTTAATTTGATTCATCGGCACGAAATGCATGACGGAATCGTAATGTTGCGGTTAGCTAATCGATACTAGTGTGAGAATATAATCGATTAGTCACGCCTTTAAATTCTATAATTTTCGTATAATAAATTTTCAATTCAATCTTACGAGAACTTTCTTCTGAATGTCATTAACACACTGGTGCACCGAAAATCATCAGTTATTTCTTGACAAGAGAATTTGAAACGTAATTTGGAAACGTAGAAGATACAAACAGGTTTGAATTATTATTAATAAAAGAAATTTAATATCACAGATGCATTTATGTATTATAAATGAAGCAAAAAAATTATATTTGTTATAAATAGATAATAAAAGCTTTCTTTAAGAAATTTTAATTTTAATTGCGTTAATGTGAAGATTAATTTCCTACAAAGATTAATTTCAAGAAAAAAAATCTATCGCAAGACACCTCTAGTCTGTCTATTAAAGTTTGTCTATTCGAGCGATAAAATCTATGTCAAGAAACTGGAAAGAGACGGACGTGAATACATAAACTTGAAGACAGATATATGGGGTAGATGGCTATAGTATTTACTGCTAAATATAGAAACCAAGCGACGGGTTTACTGTACGAGAGTTATGCGAGTTCACTCACGATGCGCCGGAGACACGTGAGGAGGATCGATTTAAACATGCAGGCTCAAAGGTGAAAGTACGGAGCATCACACACAGTGTGCCGCAATTGCGCCAGTTAGCCCGACTCTCGATTATCATCGAGGGATGTTTGTTTGACGTACAACTCAACGGCGATACAATATAATAGCCGAGCGCCGATAACCCCTGCTATCGATACTCCGCATTGTTCCCTTGGTAGATACGTGCAGTAAGAGGCGGATCGTTAACACGAAAGAGAGAGAGAGAGTCTCTCATCCCACCCTAGCGTCTAATTAAACCTGCAAATATACGAGCAGTTATACAGGGCTCTCGCCTCTGTCTCTCTCTGGTCAAGTTTCTCAGATCTACATTTTTCTGACGCAATCTTTCTTGAAATTTTTGAGTAGCCAAATACTCGTATAAACTGAAATTTAACAGATTGAAAATATACTTGCTACTTGGTTGACTTGAAACGATCCCGTCTATTCCGAAAAAAAAATTGCTACTTAACAATTTGACGAATCTCAAATTTTCAAACATGTGCTATTCATCTGTCTTCCAACATCCGAGAGGGAAAGATATATTCGTCGATAGGTCTTTCCAAGACACTCTCCCATCAATCAACGTTGATCTTTGAAAGAGAAACACATGTTTTATTGTTTCTATCCTATTCTTATATTTTTTTCTTCCATTTATATATAGCAAAGAGTGCAAATCCTAACAAAGGGAGGAAAGTTATTTTATCTTTTTTTCAATGTAAATCGATTTCAAAAGATTATCCAAATGCACTTTATCTCATTATATGATTGTACAATAATCATCGTATCGTTGCTATTCAATTCGAAGATGAATCTTGCAAATCATTTTAAATATCCTTGATATAACATTCGTCCCAACCACGAAAACATTGCACCATGTACTGACGTCACCCTAACCATCCGCGATTGCATCATATATACGATCGTTTATCTTGCATCGTATTATCATGTCAAAACGTTAAAGATCACGCGGGAAAATTCGTTGTACGTATCGACGTTAAATAAACGCATATTATATATATATATATATATATATCACACTCAAGCATCGTGCATCGTTACGTCATCCGTTTCTTTCGCCCTAAGAAAAAATCAAGATTCGTCGATAAACATTAACGACGGTACTTCGCCCATTCGTTTTCACGCGGAATCGATACTCCCGATCGATGTTTTCGTCGAGCCCAGCTGGAGATGTATTACGTAAACGGCGATTACACACCACGTTTGCGATGCGTTAGATTCTCGTCGCGCGAGCGATTATCTATTGTCGGCGTCCCTTGAAACGAGCTCGGGACGCTCGTTTGAAGGATTTGTCGCATATCGGTCGAAGCTTCGTAATTTATGAGTTGCTTTGGAGAATTCCAACAATTCGGACTTCTACTCTAATTGCCGACATTTCCTGGTCTATGCTCGAAGCGTCCTTCGCTAGCTTTCGACGTTTACAGGAAGCAATCGCCGGTTTATCAGTTACGACTCGTATTGTTTATCGCGCAAAAAGGTATAACCTGAAATAATTCGCATTGCAACTTATCGTTCCCACTCGCCGATGTCACATTGAGAAAATCGAATACCTCGAGCATCTTGCAACAAGTTCGATCTAAGAGAGCTCAATCTGAACGAATCTCCTCGCCTTCGGAAGTAATTTCGGTCGCGTTGATCCCTACAAGAAAAAAGGAACGGAACGTTGGCATGACTAGGCTGTGGACTGGCAAAGAGAAAAAGGAAGAAATACAGGTGTAATTCATTCAACATTCAGATACGAAGAAGGAAAGCTTACACAGGTCGTGGAAGGTGGGATCGGCAGGGAAATTCATCCGTTGGCGCCGCGGCGCGTCTTCTGCTAGACCGCCCGTCCCCCCTTCGCCCCAGGCGTCTCTCTCACTCTCGTGCTACTTGCGGCTCACATGACCCCGTGTGCGCCGAGATTCGCGCAATTCGTATGGTTACATAACGCGCCTCGCCGCTCTCTGTCCCGCTCCCGCTCGCGCGCTCGCTCTCTCTCTCTCCTCCTCGCTCGATCAAGAGATCGGCCGGCTTCGCGCACGCACGGCAAGGCCGTGAACGACCGAAAATGAAACCGCGGTCCCGACGACTCCGTGAGATGATGTCCTCGTCGGGACGCGCGACCGGCGTCGTTCCCCCCCTGCGACGAGGATTACATAACGCCCGCAGGTTACAGAGCGCGGCCGGGCGTTCTGGGCCTCGCGGTGGATTTAACCTTAAAGGAACGCCGCGCCGCGGGCAACCCTCGTGGGCCGCCGCGCGGTGCCCGCGCGCGACAACCCCTCGTAGATGATCTCTGATTACTGACCGGTCACCTCCGTCGCCTCGTGGACCTGGTCGCCGTTCAGCAGGGGTATCTTCGCGCTGCCGGTCTCCCGCTCGGACGTGTCGATCTGTGCACCGACTGCCATTTCCGCGGCTCGGATCACTCTCTCGGACGACGTTGAAGGAAGCGACGGGAACGACGACGACGACGACAGGGTGTACCGTGACAACGCGATTTTTCCTATCCCTTCGGCCGCTTTTACCGCGAAGCTCTTCTCCTCGTTCTCTCCAAGTCCGTTCCTCTTTACTCTCCTCGGCTGCGAGAATCCACGGTCACGCGCACGCACACCCTTTTGAATCGTTCGTCCGGGTGACGGACAGCGACGACGACGTCCGACGTTTTCCACGGCACACTACTCCACACTACTTCGGCGCGCGCGATCCCGCGGCCCCGCACGTGCGTTTCGAACGGGGTACAAGGCCTGCGGCGCGGCGCGCGATTGGCCCGGGGCGAGCGACCGCGCGATTGGCTCGTCCCGATGCGCCCGCGGCGGTCCGCGATTGGCCGCGGTGATGCGCTCTCATGCGCACGGTCAATAAAGTCACTAGAAATGATCAACGTTAATTATTATTATATTAATATCAACGAGAAGAATTATATTATATTAAATTAAGAATTATTATATTATATTACATTATATTAAAGTAAATTATATTATTGTCAACGATTTATATTATTTGTAATTTACAATCTTTTTTCAAGGCACGATTTGCGTATAATTAATAAACAATATATTACTTACTAAACTTTTCAAAATATTTGAATAACAAAAAAATTAATTAATCTGTACATATAAATGAAGTAACGCGAGTGTTCTAACAAGTTAATCATTAATCGCGATTTTTAATCGAATTCCCCTATTAATTACTAGAAACGTCTCTAGGCGCGAGTGTGTGTGTCTTGGCTACACTTTTTATCGAGGGATCGAAAATCGCTCTCCACCTCCATCGATCTTTAAAGTTTCTACGTCCCTGGCGGTTTCTAACCCTTCTAACGGTGCGCCGCGCGATGCGAGATAATTGTCAGCGGTGTTTGCACACGCGAGAATAAAGGACGTTGCGTTTCCAGGAAGATCGGCGTGGCACGAGGGAGAATTTCGAAAGTGATCCCTCCGGGACAGCTGCCTGACGGGACCGCGGGTGAGGTTAGACGGCGCGAGAATGTCAGCGGACGAACAGCCGGAGCAACCGGAGTTTCGACTGGGGCCGGATCCCAATGTCACTTATCCTATTCGGGTCCAGTACTGCGGGAACTGTTCGCTACCCATCGAGGTAAATCGCTGTCGATACGTGAAAAAAAATAAAAGCGTGCTCCGACAACGAAAATGGAGGAGCCGTAATTGATAATCGAAATTAATTACAATTTTAATTGACGATCAATTGTTGCACATATGTATGCTTTATCTGAGAAAATGATTAACGAACGTTTTGGAATTTATTTATTTATCCCTTTCAACGGGAATGTGAATCTCACGGAGGAAACGAATTGACAGGCGAGAGGCGTTAAAATCTGACAATTATTGATGTTGCAGTACTGCGAATACTATCCTGAGTACGACAAGTGCAAGCAGTGGCTGGAGAGGAATCTGCCTACTGAATTCGAGAAGATTAAATTAGGTAATTACTGCAGAGAATTGGAGCGTATCGGAGCGGGACGGTCCGAGACGTTAGCTAACTCACAGGATTTATGTTCCATGCAGCTACGGAGGATGGCTCCACCGAAGTTAGTACGGGAGAGGACGAGAAGAAGCGGCAGAAGCGGGGCGGTAAGGGTATGCTGAAAACCAAGAAGAAAGAGGATATACCGCGGCTGGTGACTATCTCCAGAGCGCCCAGAGGAAAGAAGAAATCCGTCACCGTCGTCACTGGCCTCAGCACTTTTGGTAAAAACGTCAAATCAATCGTTTAAATGAGCTGTGAAACGAAATCGCGAATTAAAATTAGATAATTTACCGATTAAAATCTTAATGTTGGAAAATGTGTTCTCTGCAGACATCGACTTGAAGGTGGCGGCGAAGTTCTTCGGCAGTAAGTTCGCCTGTGGGTCCAGCGTGACTGGAGAAGACGAGATTGTGATACAGGGTGACGTCAAAGATGATCTGTTCGAGGTGATACCTGAGAAATGGCCACAAGTGAGTTTCCATGATGGAAGGAAGGAAGGGCGCATATCAAACGTGAAATTTTCTCAATGGAAAATTGTTCTTTTTTTTTTCAGATCGACGAGGACTCTATAGACGATCTTGGGGATCAAAAGAGATAATAAGGCTATCCCACTATCACGCACGCACAATAATTTAATTATACACTATTTCCAGTCGTGTTTATTATATAAATAAAATATGTACATACACAAAAATATATTTAAATAAGTTATTTTTTAAGGTCTAAGATTAGATCTCTTGTTCTGTGTCATCCTCGTTCCCTCGCACGTTCGCGACGATCTGAAGCACGGTCTCGACCTCCTCCTCCGTCAGCCGTTCCTCGCTCTCCTCCACCATCTGTTGTACGTAAACCAGAACAGAATTATCGCGCGGAACGTCCAGAGATTCGAGAACGTTAACGAGAATCTCAACTTCCTAACTAATTAAGATATTCCTATACAGAGAGAATTTTATTTATCCTGAAAATCATGTTAATCGTGAGACAACATCCCTATTTTTTCACTGTGCACTACAATAAATTTATTGTAGTATATATTAAAAAAAAAAATTGTGAAAATCACATAAAATTCATTGAAGTACTATGTTGTCCCACGATCGACATGATTTTCAGGATAAATTTCAAAATAAAATTCTAGGAAAGGAGGGACCGTACCAGTTGGATCTCGAGCGGCGTAGTAGGGCAGAGGTTGAGAAGAGTGAGCTTCTCGGCCTTGGTCAGCTTGATAGGCTCCATCGCCTTCAGAAACTCCCGGATCTTCTCCGGATTCTGCATCTTGCACGGCGTCTCCTCCAGATACTTGATCGTCTGATAGGTGATGGTCGCCAGCTGATTCATCTTCGGCTTCTTGTAGGACTTCGTGTTTTGCAGGATATTCAGGACCTCGTAGTTGCTCAGGAGAACGTTCCAGTTTCCCTTTATGCTGAAAAAAAAAATCAGTGAGCGAGAAATCTGACGAGATTCTCGCGGAGAGCGAAGAAGTCTCGCGAGTCCGATGACAACTTACACTTTCATCGTCGTGTCTTTTTAAATTGAAAGGAGTTTTATAATGACGATTCGAGTGGTCGTGAGTCCTCTTCTGTGTTCTCTCCTTCGGTCCTCCGAAGGAGACGTCGATAAGTTTAAATCGAGGTTAGGTTAGTTCGGTAATCAATATAGACTTTAAAATATTCGAAACGTGTCGATCTCACGTTTACTCGGAAAGGCAGTTTCTCCGTTTTATTAGTTACGAACTCACAAAGTAATCGCGACTTTTTTCTCTCGTATTCGCGAATCTCGCGATGACAATCTTGAATATCCTAACCTAACACGCTCTCGCCTCTCGCCGTGTGTTTACTATTTACATCATCTCTGCACCCCGTTTCGGCGTCGAGTGCAGCTCGCTCTACGCGTGGCTGGACCTCCCGCATCTTCTCTCTTTTTCTCGCCAATGTCCAATTGTTTGTCTATCTCATTTTACGAATGGAAAAAGTGCATTTCTTGTATTTAATCTGAGAAAACTTCCGAGAAATTCGGACCTGCGATCGCGTGCCTGAATCCCGAAAAATTTACGACGCGTGCATTTGCAACGTTAAGTGCATAAAAATTGAAGAAAAAAGAAAAAAAAAAGACCTCTTGACCCCGACGTGATTTGAACACGCAACCTTCTGATCTGGAGTCAGACGCGCTACCGTTGCGCCACGGAGTCGTGTGGAAGAGGCAGTCGAATTGCGCTCACTTCAGGCCACTGAACTCGAAAGCGTGGCCAGAGAGAAGCCCCCTCCCGGCCCTTCTCTCTCGCTCCGCTCTCTTCTCTCACTCGTTTTCCAGCGCAACCGACAAAGCGCTCTCCGTGCGCGCACGTGCTTTCTCCTTTTCTCCTTCCCTCCGCGCTCGACAAATTACGTCAAATGGTTTTCCAATTTTTCCCATTTTTTTTTTTTCATTAAGAAACGCCTATTCTAATCGTCGAGCGAAGCGGCGAGACGGAAGGAAAAAAGTTTCCAGTGGTCTACCGTGGCCGAACGGTCGAATTCGTTTTGCCGCCATTTTGTCTCGTTCGACTCGCGCTCCCGGCGACTCTCTCCGGACGATTTCGCGTCGCGGCGTCGAGATCGCGGGAATTCGAAGACGCGCGCGGCTCCGCGACGACCCGAGGGCTCGTCCACGTCGGTCGAGCTCCGCGCGCGACCGAGCGTTGTCGCGCAGTTCCGAGTTTGCAATCGCTCGATTCCGTTGGGGTCGGCCAGGCGGGATTTTGAATTCGCAACGCCTTCTCGGCTGTGTGTGTGACGCGCGAGTGACGCGATGGCGGGCGCTGCTGGAGACGACGGGACGCGGTGATTAACGGGGATCTGTCGCTCTCTCGCCCGCACTCGATCGCGGCGTTCGCGCGGCGCGAGAACGTCGCGCACCAGGGAGAAGCGTGATCGGGACGATTTCAGACGTCGTTCCAGAAGTCCGCGTGATCAGTGGTGAGATCCGCGTCGGGGGACTCCGTCGACGAACTTCGCGCGGGAAAGGATTCGCGAGTGCGTGTGCGGGCTCGCCGTGTCTCGACGGGGCCGCGGCGGCAGAGGACAATCCCGTTTCGGTGCCTCGCGGTAGAGAACTCACACTTGGCGCGCGATTCGAAGAACGATAGATCGGCCGGGCCGATCGGCGATGTTGTCGTCGAGCTAACCTCGAAGCGCAACGCGGGATACAGAAAGTGCTGCGGAAAACCGTCCGGATGGCCAGCGACGCCCAGGCGAGGCGGGGTACCTCCGCCGATGAGGCCGACATGGAGGTCGACCGGGTGGTGGATGACGCCCGGGACACCGGGTACGACTCGGGCGAGGAGGGCGGCCAGAGGGTGGACGACGACATATACATCCCGCCGCCTCTGAAGGCCTTCAAAGAGGTCGACGGGCCCAGGCTCATGATCGCCAAGATCGTCAACAAAAACTTCAAGAGCTACGCCGGCACGCACGTGATCGGACCCTTTCAAAAGGTAAACATACACACACACACACACACACACACACACACACACACACACACACACACACACACACACACACCGGCTCTCTTTTCCAGCGCGGCGGATCTTTCCAGCTAATTTCTCCTTTTCTTCAGAGCTTCTCGGCGATAGTGGGTCCTAACGGTAGCGGCAAGAGCAATGTGATAGACTCTATGTTGTTTGTGTTCGGCTACCGAGCCAGCAAGATCAGGTCGAAGAAGATTTCTGTCCTGATACACAATTCCAGCGAGCATCCGCAATTGAACAGCTGCACCGTTTCTATACATTTCCAAAGAATTGTCGATAAGGTAACGATAATGATGCAGTTTGATATATATATATATATATAAGTTCAAGTGCAATAATTCCACTTTTATCGGCAATTAATGAGCTACTTTAATTTTTAATTGAATTAATTTTCAGCCTGGTGAGGAATACGAGGTTGTTCCTGGTAGCGAGTTTGTTATATCTAGGACAGCATTTAAGGATAGTTCATCGTATTATGAGCTTAATAAGAAGAAAGTACAATTCAAAGAGATCGCCAAACTCTTGAGGTTTCATGGAGTTGATTTGGATCACAATCGTTTTTTGATATTGCAGGTAGAATTATGTGTAGAATTTTTCATTATTAATAGAACGTAGAGATAAATTCAATTCTAAAACTCTCTGAAAGATTTAAAAAAATTTATATAAACATGTAATCTATTTGATTTTGTTTTCAAGTCATTTTTTAAATAATTTTCGTGATAAATCAAATTTTGTGCAATTAATTTTCTTGGGCTGATATAATCATATATTTTTTTATACATTTTGTTTTATTATTTCTTAAATAAAAGAATAATAAAATACCTATAGAAATTTAGTTTATTATAAAACAAATACAATTTAAAATCAATATAACATATTAATTACATTCAATTTTAAATTGATGCAAAGTTGCATGAAAAAAAAAAAAAAACGCTTTCTTTAGGGTGAAGTAGAGCAGATTGCGTTGATGAAACCCAAGGCTACAAATGAAAACGAAACTGGAATGTTGGAATTTCTGGAGGATATTATTGGCACGAATCGCTATAAAGAACCCTTGGAGAAATTAGCGTATAAAGTTGAGGAATTAACAGAACGTAAGATGGAGAAGCTCCATCGTCTTAGGGTCGTGCAAAAGGAGAAGGAGGCTTTGGAGGAGCCTATGCAAGAGGCAATGCAGTATTTAAAGACAGAGAACGCAATAATCAGACTGGAGCATCAGTTTTATCATTGCAAAAGGTGAGTTAAATATGAAAATAGTTTTATATCGTTTGATACTTTAATCTGAAGATATTTGTAGCAGCTCAGATAACTTGAAAATCATGAAATATTTCTGTCAGATCCGAGACAGTAAAGGAGCTTGCCGAGTGCGAGGAGACGAACAGTAACTTTGATAAGGAACATGCCGCATTGATGGACGAGATGAATAGCGTTTGCAAAGAGAAGGGGGAAAAGCTCAAGACTATCAAGGAGAAGAGCAAGAAGTGGGACGCTCTGCAACGACAGAAGGACGAAGCCACGGCGAGGTTCGACGAAGTGCGCAAACAGGATGAGTCGCTGCACGCAGAACTGGTCGAGACGAACAAGCGGCGGAAAGCCAACAAGGCGTCTACTAAGACGGTAATCTTTTATTTTATTATCTCAAAAATTAAATAAAATAGCTTCAAAACGAAATAACATTAAATTTACATATAAATGTTAAGAGTTTCTTATTTATTATCAAATTTTATATATATATATTTGACAATTGATGACAGGAACAAAGCAAGCTGGAGGACCTATTGAAAGTACCGGAGAAAAACACGAAAGACATCGAAGAATGCGAGCGTCTGATCGAGACGTATGCGGCCAATAAGGAAAAGGAAGAGGCTTCGTTGGCGACTCTGATGGCTAATCTACGGGAGAAGACTGAGCCGTTGCTGAACGAGCGCTCCGAGTTGGAGCAGGAGCTGATATCTCTTAGGAAAAACGTGGATCAGGCAAAGGCGGCATACGACATCGCGAAGTGCGAGCTGGAACTTTATACATCGGTGGAGAAGGTCGAGAAGGAGAAATTGGAAAATCTCCGGGAGTCTCTGGAAAAAACTACGAGTACTCTCAAAGAACGGCAAAAGCAGCTGGCATTATTCGAGACGAAGATCCCGGCAACCGAGCGGAGCTTGAAGCAGGCGCAGAGCGAACTGGACGAGGCGAAGGCACTCGAGATCGAGAAGACCGATCAGCTGAAGAAGATGCGAATCAACTTTGAGCAGGAACGTTCCGCCATGCAGGCCAGCAAGTCGCGGAATCGCATCTTAGACTCATTGATGAGAGAAAAACGTGAGGGTCGGCTACCTGGAATACTTGGCAGACTGGTGAGTATGGGATTTTTCGAGATGCGAGATAAAACAGCGAAAATGTGGAGAGAGAAAAACACGCGCGAATGTCGCGTCTAATATAACGAGCGCCTTCATTCTCTTTCTCTCTTTTAACTTCTGCAAACTAATTACAAAATCCCAAAGTCCCGTTTGAAAATTATAGAGCTTCTTTCTCTCGTCGCATTAGTTATTAAAGCAAAATCGCCGATTTTTTGCTCAAAATAGTAGCTTGCACGAATTTTTATTTTTCTGTACAGGGCGACCTGGGCGCCATTGACGCCAAATACGACGTCGCTGTGTCGACGGCGTGCGGTCCACTGGACGACATCGTGGTGGACACGGTAGCCACGGCGCAGGCGTGCATCACCTATCTGCGGCAGCACGACATAGGACGCGCCACATTTATAGCTCTGGAGAAACAGCAGCGATTCCGGGACAAGATCAGCCGCAGAATCCAAACGCCGGAGAATGTACACCGACTGTTCGATTTGATTAAAGTGGAGGACGAACGGGTGCTGCTGGCGTTCTATTACGGTCTGCAAGACACTCTGGTAGCGCAGGATTTGGATCAGGCGACGCGCATCGCCTACGGTAGAGCGCGTTATCGCGTGGTGACGCTGAAAGGCGAACTGATCGAGCTGTCGGGCACGATGAGCGGCGGTGGGCGCACGGTATTGCGAGGCCGGATGGGCCAGAAGGTGGTGAGGAACGAACCGTCGACCGCCGACGTCGAAAGGCTACAATCGCAGCTGGACGCTGTGTTCGAGGAGTGCAATAAACTGAGAGCGAAGCAGAGACCGCTGGAGGAACAGGTCCACGTGCTGTCGACCGCTCTGAAGGATATGAAGGTCGACAGGCAGAAATTCGGTATCGAGGTAAAAGCGCTGAGCGAGCAAGAGCCGTTGTTGCAAGCGCAGCTGAAGGCGCAGGAAAAGACCGCCGCCAACTCGGTGTCGGACCCGAAGAAGGTTGCGCAAATGCAGAAAGCGATGGACGCGGCGAAATTGCATCTGGACGAGGTCGAGGGGAATTCCGCTTCGATAGAGAAGGAGGTCAAGCGTATCAACAAGAAGATAGACGAGATTTCCGGTAGCCGGGTGCGGGATCAGCAGGCGAAGATCGCGCAGCTGACCAAGTCAACGGAAAAAGCCAAGGCGGAGATATATCGGCTGCAGGTGGCTATTAAAACTGCTGAGAGAAACGTGAAGAAAACGGAGAAGCACATAGAAACGCTGGAGAGCGATGTGCACGCCTGCGAGCAGAGACTGAGGGACATCGGGAAGGAGAAGTCCGAACTCGAGGAACATGCCAAAGTAATTCTGGATGAGTTGAAGGGAATCAACGAGGCGCTGGTGGAACGCGATGACGCCACGTCGACTTTGAAGGACGAGCTGAACGAGCTGCAGGCGCGTGAGGACAAGATGAAGGCGATGAAGATCGACCTGGATCAGAAATTGAGCGAAATTAAGAAGCGCTTAAAGGGGCTGCAGCAAGTAATTCCCGAGGTCAATCGAAAAATAACGAATCTGAAGCTACACGAGATTCCCCACGAGGCGCTGGAGCCGCTTAAGGATCTGGCGGAGGAGGAGATCGCTCAGTTGGACGCGAAGATGGTGCTGCAGAATCTGCAGAAGGTCAGGAAGAGGCTACCCGAGCAGATACCCAACATGCAAATCATCGCGGATTATCAGGAGAAGGACGCGCTGTACATGAGTCGCGCTGCCGATCTGGAGGAGACGACGTCGGCGCGCGACAAGATGCGCGCCATTCACGATTCCGTCCGGAAGCGCAGGATCAACGAATTCTGCGCGGGTTTCGACGTGATCACGGCCAAACTGAAGGAGATGTACCAGATGATCACGCTCGGCGGCGACGCGGAGCTGGAGCTGGTGGACTCGTTGGATCCGTTGAGCGAGGGCATCACGTTCAGCGTGCGCCCGCCCAAGAAGTCGTGGAAGAGCATCGACAAGCTCAGCGGCGGCGAGAAGACCCTGAGCTCGCTGGCGCTGGTCTTCGCCCTCCATCATTACAAGCCCACGCCGCTGTACTTCATGGACGAGATCGACGCGGCGCTCGACTTCAAGAACGTCTCCATCGTCGGTAACTACATCAAGGAGCGCACGAAGAACGCGCAGTTCATCGTCATCTCGCTGCGCTCGAACATGTTCGAGCTGGCGGACTCGCTGGTGGGCATCTACAAGACGTTCAACTGCTCCAAGAGTATCACTCTACGGCTGGCTCGTTACTACGAGAACAACAGTATCGCGCCACCCACGCAACTCACTTCCAAGACCTACGCGACTCAGGCGTCGCAGAAGTCGCAGAAGTTGCCCCTGTCGCAACGCACCCAGACGAACTCGCGCAAGGAGAACACCGCGCCCGCGAAGAACAACAATGCGAAGGAAGCATCGAACCGGGAAAGGACGTCGCCCGCGAAGAACGATAACGCGAACAAAACGCCGTCGGATGCGGAGACGAACGCGAAGAAAACTCTGTCGGATGCGGAGACAAACGCGAGAAACGACAATAACGCGAACAAGACACCGAACGGAACGCCGTCGAAAGTCGATACACTAAGGTGAGTAATGCAGTTATCGCTTCTTAAGATTCCAGACTCTGTCCTCGCTGTAACCATATCGCATTGTGACAAAAATTTATATAATTTTCTAAATTGCATTCTGCGAAATGAATTTGTTTTTTTGTTCTTGCGTGCCACATGATAAGTATCCCGGAAGTTATTTTTCATTGAGTGAATTATTACGTGCGATTTTCAAGACGTGATACGTCTTGAAAAAGATCAATATATATTTTCTATCATTTGTAATAAATTAATTGAAAGTTAGTGAAGAAAGAATTTTTTTTTTTTTACAATAAAAAGAGATTAGATATAAGTTATCTTGTTACGTGAAATTCCTCTCGGTTTCCTCTTGCTTTGTTTAAGACTAAGCCTATTGTATGTTTTGCATTTATTTTATCGTTAATATTTGTAATTGTTCAAATTATAGCAAAACATAAGAAAAAACAATATTAAATTGAACAGAAAATACAGGAACTTCTATTGTATTATAATACAATAATTAAAAAAATAAGTATCTTACGCTAAAATCCACGCAAAGTTGAAAAATAATGACGCTTACTCCGGGAATAAAAATAATAAAACTATATATTAAAAATAATATTAAATAATATTAAAATTTGTATTAAAATAATATTAAAATTTTGTATAATAGCAAATAAGTTGAAGCGGTGATTTTGTTATCTATCATCGTAAATTTCGCATTCATTGAAATTTATTGTTGCAGTCTTCCGGATTTGGCAGTATGCCTGACGCCGCAAACGCCGACTCGGCGTTCCGCCAGGATCGTGAGGAAGAGCACGGAAAGGGAAGAGAACGGCGTCAGCAAGGAACCGGCTAGGAAAAAGCAGAAGTCGAAGTGACTGAGCGCTTCCAGAATCGGAGGACGTGCGAAACGATTGCGCGAGGCTCGAGATGTCGGCAACTAGTATAAATACATACTACGAATTGCTATTTTATATTACAAATACCATTGCCATTATGTTTTTTGCATAGTAAGTTGCAGCATACGACTTTTCTTTTTGCATCCCCGTAGCCATTTAACGTTGGCCGAGGATGCCAAGTAACGTGCCACAACTTACTGTGCGGAAAATTAATCGCGACGGCGTTACGGATAAAATAGGTAAATAATAGTCGATATAATTTTATAATATATAAATTTGATGTTACACACGCGAGTTCTCAGTTTCTCTCGACTCAAGATTTTTGCGTAAAGAAACGCAAGACATTGGGAATGACGTTTGTGTGTAGCGAAATAAGATACAGGATCTGCTTCTTTTATCTGCGGTCTCTTTTTCATTTCGTTAACGTTTTTTTTCTTTTCTTAACGTTGAGATATGGATATATATATTTCATTCTGAATAGAAATAGTACAATTTGGTTTCAGTTAAGAGGAGCGGATCCATGATAAAAGTGCAAAATGCAATATTTTTATACGTTTGTACATGTCGGCAGAAACTTATATTAAAATATGATTACTATTGAAGCGAGATGAAATGTCTCACGTCTAATTTTACCGTCTCTCTCGGGCAATCCTTGTGCACATGGTTCCTTATTCACTCATAATTATACTCCTTATACTCATAATTAGGAAACGTATTTTTAGTCGTAAGAATCATCCGCGCGTGCTTGTCGATTCGTTTCTCGTTTCAGATGTCCACCTGAAGTGGCCGCGATTATGTTAATATCGCAAACGAACGAGCTCGCAAAGTGCCGGGCCCGTTCGAAAAGCCGGAAGTGTCTCAAGGCAGATCGCGTTCGCCTCGCCGCGAAACTATTTACTCAGATTTGTTTTCTACTCTGCTGAGTAACGTTTCTCTCGAGAAGAACCTTTTCCCGAGAAGCAACGCGATTTTAGAAAATATCTCGATTCGCGCGAAAGGATAAGAAAATAAGGTAGATAAACCTATTAAACGACGTCGATAACGGCGCGATGATGACGAAGACGGCGAAGAGAGGGAGTGAAAACGTAACCGAGAAGGAAAGGAAGGGGCGGCATGCCGTATAAGTATTGCCACGGCGAGCGAGATAAGGATTTTAATGAAGTGCAAGGAGAGACGCGGGCGCGCGAAATGACGGCTATCAGAAAGGAGGACGACGCCGATGTCGTCGAGAAGGCGTCGCGGAAGATGCCCACCGCGGCGTCCCCGGCCCTGCAACAGAGCTGTAAGAAAAATTGCCAGTGACTGTGTGTGGATAATACTCGAATTTAACGAGGAACGAGGATTAATCGGCGATTGAAGGTCGGATTGCGATTCGTAATCGATGGAGCTTATCTTGAGGATCGGATTTCATAAATCTAGATTGTTCTCGATAAACAAATTTTTGAAAAAAAAAAAATATATTAACTACGTGTCTAGCTATGAGGTAACGTAAGAGATCTCTATCTTTCTATTAAAATGTAGATTTAAGATAGGGAAGAGACATGCACTCGAATCGGTTGACAGATAAACGAATGAAGGGCTTCGAGGAAGAGTGAAAATTCGTCAGTTATAAATTTAGAATTTAGATTGCGATTTTATATCGCTCGGAATCGATTGCTTCGGAATAGATATCGTTGAAAATTTCATTCAAGATCTCGTGAAGTGTCAAAACACGTTGCGCGTAGAAGAACGATTTGTAAGCTTTATCAGTTATAAAGCCATCGAGTTTAATTACATGTTTTGCTTGTTTCTTTTTATATTGTAATGGGACAGGCTTGCAAATTGTGACTCGACGCGCAGATATCCAGTGTATCCGCGGCGGTTGTGTGGAGTGCATTAATTCCGCCGCGTGCCGTCGAGCCAGTCGCGACCGATGATTTTTAGGCAAATCGTTGATATCGGATTAGTGAAGGGACGCTGGAACAAAAACACGCGTGAAATTGCCTTTAGAATTTTTTTTCAACAAAAAAAAAGGCTAAAGTTTGTTAAAAAAAAAAACGGTGGAAATGGAAGCACTTATCACTCGAGTGTGACAGTTAATTGTGACAATTAATTTACTCGCGCGTGCGAAACAACCTTTTGCATAAATCGAACAACATCGTGAATTCGTCCTTTTTTTTTTATCGCAATTATGCTATCCGGAATGCAGATGCAGCAGCAAAGCGCGGAAGCGCTTCCTAATCGTTCCTGTACGATACAGTGTACAATTGCGTTGTTAAACTTAGCAAGATCACCTTGGAGATAGAGCGTAGCGAAATGCACTCAATCTTTTTCAGCGTAAAAAAAATTGCCATGTAAAAATGAACATTTTTACAATGAACAAACGATGGGTATGATCGCGCGGAGAGAGAGCGTTACTTGAAATAAGAATTATTTTTTGTCATACAGGATCTTCGGTGAACGATCTATTATGCATTATTAAAAGCGTTAACAGAAAGATCGAAAAAAGTAAAGAGTAATAGAAATATAAGAATAATGGAAATCACGGTATCGATAATAATTCAAAAAAATTGGGAACGTTAATAACAACGGTGCCGTAAAAATTAGTAAGAAATAATATTTGATAAAGCGAAAGAAGACGTGAAAGATTCTTGAAATACAATTTTGTAAATCTATAATTGGGACACGTGTTGCAATCCGAGTCTCTTAAATTCCGTAATTATTCACAAAAGATGTTGAAAGTGTTTTCCTAGCTCGTATTCGATAACTCTTCTTATTTATCGTTTCGTTGTTTTATCTGGTATTATCGGACGCAAGTTGTAAGTTCGCTTCGTTTCGACCGCGATAAAAAGCGATTCATCGTGACCGCGCTATCGACACACGCGGAGTGAGTTGCCGTCTGCAATTCGTGATCGTTGATCCAGAAGTGCGGGACCGTTCGACGGATCACGGATCCATTTCGCCGTCCAATATTTCTCTCGAGTTTAATGAGTAATAGTTACGTTACGAAAAAAAAACATACGCATATATATTTGTATATTTTGTATTTTCTCTAATATATCTGTGTATCTTCTCATAAATCTCATTACGAATCTCACCGCGGCTTATCTCTGTGCGATTGTCCCCGCTTATGTCTTATCGGATCTCATTCGCTATATATCGACTCGTTATCGTCTAATTTCGATGGAATGAGAAATTTAATCTATCGTCCGAGCCTGGCAGCTCACATTTTTCTTATACACGTGACTTGGTTTTTACTATTATCGCATGTTGCTCATTTCTAAGAAACATAATGCTTACTCACGTTGATAACATTGTTTTTACTATATTTTTAAAATTGTGAAATGTGCGATATCCAGTAAAATTTCCGTGAAGTTTTTCATGTTTTTGCATCGTCAGATATTTTTATAAAATTTGCGATACCAAATGAATAAAGGTTTTTTGTATCAAAATTTGGAATTGTTCTTTTTGGCCATGGCACACAGAAAAATTTAAGCAGTAAGCGAATCGACTAATAACAATCGAGAATTTAAAGCCATAACATAAGTAGTAACAAATCCAACATGTTGATTTCTTTACTGCTTACGTCTTACTGCTTAAGTTTTTCTGCGTGCCATGACCTATTTTGCAGAGAACAAATTCCATACGTAATTCTGGAAAATCTGAGAAAAAATCGTACGATTTTTTCCGCGTTATCCGCGTTTCTTTCCTCGTGCCATTATCTCGCTTTTATGCTAACTAGATATCATCGGCACATACCTACGTAATTATACGTGTCCTGTACAATTACGTGATGATTAGTAATGACTTTGTAACGGAGTAAGCAGGAATTTTAATCATTACGCTCTCGTAAGCGAAAATTAAATAAATCGAATTTATAAAGCAAATAATTTTTATATACGCAAATAATTAATTAAAAAGTAAATTTCGTGAGCTGATACCTTATCATTATTATACGTTAAATAAAAATTAATCTTGATGCAAATCGATGTTCATTTTCGATTGAAGAGATTACATATATGAACTTGTCGTCGCAGAACATGCCTCGTTTGGCCAGAAATTTCCTCTTGAACATTGACCTACAGAAATATATATACGACCGTGGTTTATTTGTTTTTCTGATGCCACGCGATGCGAGCGAAACTCGCTTTCGAGACAGGTATACAAACACCTGCAATTACGCTAATCGTATTCTGTCGCTTGTCTGTTATCGCAAAACGGAATTAAAGGTAGATTACTGATATTACAAATTGCAGCCACTGCGCGTGCCAATAAAAATATGTGTCAATAATTATACATTTATCACGCGATTTCCTCGGTAATCAAATGTCTCTAAAAGAAATTCCACTTTTTTTTCAAAAATTATTCACTTTTCATTGGATGAGTAAATATCTTCATTATATTATCATAACTCATCGTTTCTTCCTGGTATTATCACAGCTCATCTTTTTATGCTTTATCATATATTATATCGTCAGTTACTACTGCAATTAACATTTTAATTTTATTATGTAGCTTTTTTTATGATTTTCCAAGGCTACATACATACATAATTTTACATCCGCTTGTCATTTATATCCGAACCTTGTTGTCATTTATTTAACTCGTTTACTTAATTACCGCTTGACACTTGAGATTAATCCTGATTCAAAATTAATTTTAACACTATGATGACAATTATTTCTAAGCCGAACTGACTTTAAATTTCAATATTGAGCAAAAACGATGCTTTCGCGTTTAGCTCGATTAATCGGCTTTCCTTCGTTTGCTGAAAATTTTTTAATTTTTTCCAAAAAACCAATAATAAATTAAATTTGTAAACGATAAGCGTCGAATAAAATTTATTTTTTATTTCAAACTTTTTGCAATGAAAGATTTTCTCTAGATTGGTTTCTATAGATTGTACAACAAGAATAATTTTATCAAATTAAGATAACTGAATATAAATGATAAAATTCTCGAAAGTTCTACAAATAAACATTAATCAATTTGTCTTGATATCGTTCGTAATTGGATGATCTTTTCGCAGGTATGTTCGGGATCAGGCACCTGCAGGTGCTGCTGCTCTTCCTGGGCATGGTTATCGGGTACAGTCTCAGGGTTGGGATGTCAGTGGCCGTGGTGCCGATGGCGAACGCAAGCACCGCGAATCCAGAAATCAAGGTAAAATTACGTAATTGCAATGTCTTTCTACCTTGGTTTGAAATGCGGTGACTGGAGCACTGACGCTCGAACAATTTGAAACACTCGAGATTATACGTTCCACCGATTGTCAGATAAACGTACCGAGCATGCTACCACGTGCTGCGTTATATAACTTGACAACTCGATGAACTCATTATTGTTGCTTGGGGAAACCCTGTGTATACAACTCGAAATTCCTTTCGTATTTCCTTATATATTCGCAGTGCCTCTTATTGATTTAGATTAATGGTACAAATCTCGTGTGCAATTTTATATTTCTGCATGACGAGCTCCGTCGGAAGACGTCTGATCTTCGCATGTGAATGACGCGTATTTGCAATAATATCCCTCGTATAAAATATTCTTCACATATTTTTTAAATGCTTATAAATTTACATCATATTAAATTTTACGTTCAAAATGTCGAACTCGCGATATAGCGACAGTGATTTGCCGTCGCTTTTTTAGATTTTTATGTACAGTTAGTAGCCAGTTAAAGTTATTTGAAGCTGTTGAATTATTAAATTTGTCCAATCGAGCGTAACTGTATATGCTTACGTTGCGATAAGTCGATTTTTACAGAATGCCCCCGTAAATTCACGCCGTCACCCGAGCTGGAATTTGTGTCGGAGGAAGGAAATTTTCCACGGAATCGGCGGGGGAGTAAAGTGCATGGGGTCGGGCTGTGCGCAATGAAATTTTCCTCTTCGCGCAAGATTAATCGCGGTATTTAGATAAATCTCGCCGTGGGGATGTGGAGAATCGAGCGATTCTTTACGTCGACCAGCGGCCGTAGAATATACAGCGAAGCCGATATACATTCACTCCTGACTTCTTGTGCATAAATGCACGGATCTCGAGCTCACAGATAACGGCCACCGTTGTTTTTACAAGGTTGCTAATAAAGATCGAGAGATAATGAATTGCCAGATTGTAATCGCTGTTTCATTGTCTCTCAGATTGATCGATAAAGCTTGGATTTATCTCATATCATCAACTTTGAATTCTTGTTTATGTTGGAAGATCAAGGAAAATCGGGACTGCATATCAGCAATCGTTAAAATTTATATTAATAACGATCATTTAAATTTAAACACAACAGCTGGCAAATTTTACTATACGAAATTATGCATTTACTGTATAATTGTACACACACACACAATTAAGTTAAATAAATTAAAATAATATACATCGTAAAATAATTATTTCTTGCCACGAACAGATACAGAAGTCATAAAATAATTAATTTTAGTTTTTGATACATTTTCTTTATTACACGCGACAACGTTTCTTTAATTTTATTATATATATAATATATATATGTATGTGATATGATGTGAGTTACTAAATATTATTTTAGATACCAATCTAATCTGTAGTAACTTTTCTATCGAATAATGTTGACCTGCTAAATTTTTCTTAGGTTTAAACTGAGGTTTAAAATCATTCAAAAATCATATATTGGTTACGTCGTCAGGATTACGATTGGACAAAGAGGGAGAAGGATCTGGTGCTCAGCTCGTTCTTCTGGGGCTACGTGGTGATGCAGGTGCCGAGCGGCTATATCGCCAATGCCTGGAGCGCCCAGAAGCTCCTCGCCATCGGGATGCTGTTCTGCGGGATTTTCAAATTCATAACGCCGTTCGTCGCCGATTGGGGCCTGGCGGCCGTCCTGGTTTGCAGGGTAGGCATGGGTCTCACTCAGGCTTGCCTATTACCTTGCATTCAAACCCTTCTATCTAAATGGGCGCCGCCCGCTGAAAGAGCACGACTGGGTGAGAATGGATTCAGAATCTGCGCCCGATACATTAATAATTAAATCAAGTAAATAAGTTGTTTTGTGAAAAAATATAATTTAAATACGTGACATAAAGATTATGAAATTATTAAACGTCAATGTTCTTTTGTTCAAATTTGGAAAATAATGATTAACTAAAAAAGTTACTTTAAAAAGACTTTAATCAATAATAATTAATATTTTCGAGCACGTTATGCCATTTATTTGCGTTACTTTTTGCTTTGATTATTAAAATTAGCTTACTAGAATTTGGATATAGTTTTATGTTTTTCTCTCCCTCTCTGCTTTCTTTACGTATTGCTAGAAATTTCTGAAAGATATTATCGATGAATGGGTAGAACTTGATATGAAAAATAAATTTCACAAATCTATCGCACAGCAATTGATTGCTTCGCTTACAGCAAATTCTAAAATCTAATTAATTGCAGTAATATATATCTTCCCAATTAAATTAATCTATATTTAATACCTCAGGAACATTCGCTTATGCGGGCGGCCAGGCCGGCACGGTGATCACTATGCCGATTGCTGGAGTTCTCGCTGCATCGAGCGTCGGTTGGCCCAGCGTCTTTTACTTATTCGGTGCATTAGCGGTTGTTTGGAGCCTAGTGTTCCTTTATTTTGGAGCAGACTCGCCGTCCGATCATCGCAGCATTTCCGAGGAGGAGAGGACGTATATAGAAGACAGTTTGAGGACAACCGAAGCGAAAACCAATGATGAAGTCAAGCAGGTAAAAATCATTATTAAAATCCTAACTAATGATTTTGTTACATATATATATATATAATATGTTTCTTTTTTCAATATAATTTTCTGTAAAATAAAGAAAATTGCAATTACTATTAGTCGAAAACATTTTTGGAATTTATATATAATAACTCATTAAGACAGTGCAATAAAAGTAATACAAAATATTTACATTTAGGATGATTTTGTACCTTTTAGAAGATGAAAACACCGTGGAGGGAGATTTTCACCTCGGTGCCTATGTGGGCTCTCATAGTAGTCCACTCCTGCCAAAATTGGGGGTACTGGACTCTATTGACGGAAATACCGAGTTACATGACAGGCGTGTTGAATTTTAAAGTCGATGCTGTAAGCAAAAAAATTTAACAAAATAAATAAAAAGGATAAATATATTTTTTCTATATATCAATATATATTCCGACCGTCTATGTATATCACAATTAAATTGAGAGAAGACCCGCATGATCATAGCAAGATCTTGGTGTTCCTAATATTTTTATGTGAATTTTACATACATATTTCAGTTTTTTTTTTTTTGCTATGACCGTGTAGGTTTTCTCTCAATTTAATTATCTTATATTTTTTCTATATTTCTATAATTTACTTATATCAACTAATTAACATCTATAATTTGTTTTAATTTTTTTTCCCAAAATAATTTTTTCTTTAGATTAAATAAATTAATTAAAATATACTTTTCTTTTTACAGAGCGGCGGAATTTCCGCCCTGCCATATCTGGTGATGTGGATTCTGAGCGTTCCCATGAGCTGGTTGTCCGATTACGCATTGCAGAAGGGTGCGTCCAGGGGTACGGTCAGAAAGGTCTGCAACTCGATAGCCCACTGGGGTCCGGCTATCGCCCTGGCGTGTATGAGCGCCGTACCCGAGAACGGTTACATCTGGGCCATCGTCATTCTCGTTCTGGCGGTAGGACTGAACGCTGGCTCTTTGTGCGGCTTCCAAATCAATCATATTGATCTCAGTCCAAACTTCGCCGGGACCATGATGTCTATCACCAATTGCGCCGCAACTGTTACATCCATTATCGCGCCACTGATATGTAGCGTGATCGTCTCCGAAGAGGTAAATAGTCCGTTCCCTATCTTCCGCGTGTAAAATATCTGTCAAATAGCAATCTAGTTTATTTATTTCTAGGAATTCTTTATTTAAAATTCTGTCGCTTCTAATTTATCTATATTTATATTTAAAAGTATGAATTTACAATTAGTATTTTCTTCATCCTTAATGAACTTACCTATAATTGCTTCAAGAACAATGAGAAAGTTTCTATCGAGAGATCTCTCTCGCTTTTCAGAGCAGCGTGTATCAGTGGAACATCGTGTTCTACGTCTCGGCGGCGATCTACTTCCTGGGTAACTTGGTGTTCGTGATATTTGGCAAGGGTGAGGTGCAATGGTGGAACGATGATTCAGAGGTAAAACAGCAGATACGAAAAAAAAACAACGAACAGAACGAGACGCAGACTTGAAATTTAAGTTAATTTTGATACGCTCTTGAAACTTTTGTAACTTATGGGGGGATCTAAAACAAGTCTGCAAGCCGAAATTGGGACTCGAGATTTATATTAAATTAAATTTTTTAATGTACATCCGAAAATTCGAAAATTGCGATCGACTACAAAATCGTTTATTTATTGTTGTCATCGACGAACAGCTGTACATATCATTGTTCCGTCATGAAGTGTCCGTCAATAAGTCTTTCAGCTCTGTGTTACATCAGTATATTTGTAAGTTAGACCAGAAAGGTCTGATCAGTAAGTTAGACCTGTAAAATAAATTTTCACTCACTTGTTATTTATAAGAACAAATTTTTCCTTTCTATTTAGATTAAACTTAGAGCAATAATTAAAATACTGTTACATGCATATTACATACGTAATATGATATGCAGTTTAGAAAAAAATTACATACACTGCTAATAATATATACTGTGTTTAAGATGATTGTCTCAAATGCACTAAGAAATTGTAAAATAGTTAAACCCTGTAAAAAGAACCTTTTCAAAAAGTTTTTTATAAAAAGAAACTAGAAAAAAAAATTCAAAATTACCATGAAACCTAATTATTTATTTAAAAGTTTTTAAAAATCAGTTACGAAAAAATTTATTTTAAAACAAATGCAAATAGAAATTTATCGCAAAAAAACTATATTGTAAAGTTTAATGTAAAAATTGATTGCAAATGTATTTGACACAAACATGATGAAAAATATATTGTAAGACATATAATGTTTGTGTTAACAAACAGTTGTTACAGTGATTATTGTAATATATTCTTATTATTGTAACATATCTGTAAAGACACAAATTTTGATCTCTATAATTAATATTGTAAATGAATATAATCAAAGCGATGCATATATAAAATAATGTGAATGAAACATGAAGAAAAATCGATTAATTTTTATTTTTGTCTTAATGCTATAAAATTCCGATCCTTTCTATGTCTTTTGGAATTTAAGTTACGTTTTCCTGATACGTGTTAATCTATAGATATGAATAGCAGACGTTTCTGTCAAAGTTCCAGATACTCGAGAGCGAATTTTTATCTGATAGAATGCAAACACAACGGACAGCGTGGTGCTCGTGTCATTAACGTTCGTGTTAAACATCTTATCTTTATAGAACGCAAAAAGATCATGATTATTTATCCGATCGTGATCGAATTGTACTCATGAAATCTCAATAAGTGAAAGTATAATTACGACGCAAATTTTGTTAATTATTAAGTTGAACTCTTTTTTATCAAGTTGAATCCCTTCAACAGAGCACGTTTATTTAAATAAATCAATCATTAAATCGTATTGTGCGGATATTAGCAGTAGTATTAACATTTTTTTTTTAAATTGCAAAACATTAATGTATATAATTAAATTAATCAATATTAAATTATAAAAAATAGCATTAATAATAGACAGTGTGATTCGTCTTAAGTTCTCGTATATATCCTTCGTATACATATCTTTCTTAAATTATGTATTTCTAAAAAGAAAATATCCAACAAAGAAGAATTATATACAATCAAAAATTGTTCTCGAAATAGAGAAAATTTTCCATTAAAAACAAAATATTTCTTCCTTACTTCATTTTATAATCTTATATCTTTTTATATCTTTTTTTTTTTGATTGTCGACCATTAAAATATATTAATTTGTAATTCATAGCGAATCTGTATAATCGATGCCAATTATACAATAATAGTGCAATGAATAAATGTTAATTCCATTCAGGAGATAAATAAAAGAAAACAGTAAACTAAGATGAGCAGACGTATAATTAAAGAAGATTAATTATATTCTGCTATACAGTGATTTCAATGTTGAAGTATTTTAACCGATTATTAATACGACATGCAAGATCGACGTGCCGTGAGCGTAAAAAGGTGGGAGAATCAGTTTTCGGTGATAGTATAAAGCTACGTGGATACGATCGATGGGTCGTAGTCGTTTCTGTAATTCGCTTCAGTGTTAGCTTCGTTAAAAGTTCATCATCATGGCATCGTCTCTGCGGAGGAAGAGGGTTTCCATAGTATCGCTCTCGGAGAGGATGAAAGTTCCACCGAATAAACCAAAAGGTCAGCAATTAAATATAATGATATAATATATATATTTATATATATATAATTAAAATTTCTGTCCAAAGAAATAATTTTCTATTTCAGAAAGAGAGAAAAATTTTCAGAAAGCATTTAAACAAATAAATCCATTAAAAAATTATTTCACACAATGAAACCTAGAATTACTATTGGTACTCATTTAATTCATAGTTTACGACTCTTTTTTAAAAAGGCTTTCTAAAGATTGTTTTACTTTTAAAAAAGTAATATTGTTATTGTCTGTAGAGTTGTACAAACTTGCAATCTTAATTTTAATTGCAGATTTCCTAATAAATTTAGAATAAACATTTCTTTTAACAGAAATATTAAGATTGATATTATAAGAAGTAATATAGCGCGTACCAATTGCGCGCGACATTGGAAAATTTAAATAATAAAAAAAATATATAAATAATTTTAAATAATGTATAGATGTAAAGAGCTAAAGAATTTTTATCTTTCTCGTAATGGGATCGTTAACAGTGTCTGTACAATATTTATATCACGATATTTTCACAAGTATGTTGTTGCAACAATAACTTAATATCTTCGATTACACGCTCTTGATAACGATAACGATTTTGAAATCACTGAGAGGGAGAGAGAGATACAGACAACTCAATTATTATTCGATGGTTGAATTACAGATTACAAATTATGGAACAATTACCACAAATAATGTTAAAACACGATGCACACCTTGAATCAACATTGATGCACGTGCTTTATCGAGCTACTGTTCATTGTATATAAAGAAATATAAATGCAGTTTGTTACATATTTATCATCATTCTGCGAAATGAATAATTGGGGCACGAGCATTTTATTGATTCCTCAGATTTCTATGCAATATTATTCTGCAATAAGTAATAAAAGATATCGTCGATATATTTCGACAATTAGTATAAAAGATACATAAGTAAAAAATGATAAGAAAGTAAGTCAAATAATAATTAATATTAATGAAACTTAACGATAGTACAATTAATACAATAGTTCTTTAATAAATGTATTTTTTTAAATTTACGCTACAATAAAATCTCTCTCTCTCCCTCTCTCTCTCTCTCTCTCTCTCTCTCTCTCTGTATTATATCGATTTCAATCTTTTGGCAACACATTCTGTCTTTCTCTTAATCCATCCGTTAATCTTTTTCCTCATCCACTGATTTGGCTCGAAGCGATCTAGAAAAAACACATTTTTTTTGCAAGTAAAAGTTGTATTACATAAATATCGATTAGAATTAATCCGCATTCTTCGATCAAACGGTTCGCTTCTTCGGAATAAAGAAAAAAAAATCAAGCACGATTACTAAGATTTTATCGATCGCATTCGCATACCGGCGATTTCTCTGACGCAACGGACAAATTGTTGTTGGATTTCAAGCGCAAACACACCGAACGATCGGTCTTACTGACGCAACGCGATCTTGATGACAATGACACAATTTGTATTCGATTCCGCGTTTATACGTGACGCCCATGTAAACTCCGTCGAGGGCATCGTAATGATTATGACTAAGAATAAAGCATGCAAATTAATGATCGAAAAATATATGTCATCTTTATATATTAGACAGAACGTAGAAATTAAGGCACTTATTTCCTTACAATGCAGCTGCAATTAAAGCGAGCAATTATATAATTTCTCTCTTTTGCAGTAGTATACCGAGATAAATTAATTTGTTTTCACTATTCAATCGATGTATACCCTGAAGAATATAATCCCTCCTTGCAGCGTGGTACGGATGTAGACACAGTCAGGTGGTGCTCATGTGCCTGGGGTTCTTCTGCTGCTATGCCATCCGGGTGACGACGTCAGTAACCTTGGAGGCGATGACCAACGCGGCCAGTGCCAATCCCAATTTCGAGGTACGTGTATCAACATTACGCTAATTCTCTTCTTTATACCCTGACCTAAAAGGGACATGTATCTCAATTCCCTCTCTCTCTCTCTCTCTCTCCCGCAGGAATTCTATTGGGACGAACCGGTGAAGCACTTGATCCTCAGCTCCTTCTTCTGGGGCTACACCTGCACGCAAATACCCGCCAGCATCCTCACCCAGCGATGGTCCGCCCAGGGTTTGTTTTCGGCCACCCTAATCATCTCCGGATTGCTGACTATCGGCACCCCCTTAGCCGCCTACTACGGCGGCTGGCAGACGGTGATCGCCAGCAGGGTGATGTGCGGCCTCGTCCAGGGCGCCGTTCTACCGTGTCTCCACACCCTGCTGTCCAGATGGTCGCCGCCCGAGGAGCGTGGCAGACTTTGTGAGTGTTGTACATGTGCCTTTAGTCGGACATGCGGAGTAAATATTTTCGCTCTTGTTCGAGCGAGTATTCTAAATGAGTTAAGAGAAAAATTTTCGACGTTTAACTGGTCAGTGATAAACGATTCCCGCATTCCATAGAAATTGTTTACACAGAAATATACGTAGCGATTTTTGTGGCATTTTATTTCATTTTTCGAAACGAGACTTTAAAGACATTTGCTTGAATTTGCTTTAACGCTGGCATTTTGAAGTCAGTGATTTTGTGTTTTATTTTACTTTGTCAAGAAACGCTGCAACTTTTAGTTTCTCGTTTCAGTTTCAGCCTGATTTGTGCGCTTTCCTTTGAATCAAATTGACATGCAACTGATTACACACTCATTCTTGCTTGATACACAATTGACGATGTGTCACAAAAATTTAATTTTCAATTTTATTAACAGGCACGTCAAGTTTGTCGCACATAGCAGATAGGAAAAATTCTTATCGCCGTCTGGCGATATCGCATTGATTAGGCACGTCGAGATTCTCGCGCGGAAAGCTTTTTAAGATCTCGCAATAAAAAAAATTCCTACAATTTCGATTATCTAAGTTTCTCTCCTGATTTCTTTTCCATCGCTAAAACAATGAAATTTCCTGCCTCTCGAATAGCCTTCCAGCTTTACAGTATTACAGTCGATTTAATTAAAAATTAGCTAAGAATCAAAGAAGGGATACTTTTTAAAATAATTAGCCTAATGATAATCGTGTCGATTTTGACACAGAATCGTGGTTGCAATACATTTAACGTATTTCTCCAGCAATGTTCGTTTATTCCGGCGGCTGGATTGGCAACGTGGTATGCTTACTGAGTACCGGCTTCCTCGCGGCATCGTCCTTCGGCTGGCCCAGCTGCTTTTACGTTTGGGGAAGCCTCGGCGTCATCTGCGGCATTTGTTTCTGCCTGTTCGGCAAGGACTCACCCTCCGAACATCCCAGGATACCTCTCGACGAAAAGGAATACATCGAGATGAGTCTGGGAGTAACTGAGATCAACGAAGTAATTTCTTCAACGTATTGCACAGAGAAAAGAGAAAAAAAGAGCAAAAAAGTCACGCCAATTAAATAATCACAATAAAACCAAATCAGAGATTAAAATTAATTTAAAATTCAATATACATTCATATTATAGAATCAAATGGATAAAAGATTTTAGAGATTTTAGAAATCCCAGTTGCAATCTTTAGATTAAAATTTAGAAATTAAAAGTCTTTGCAATTTTCCACACTTTTTCTCTCCCTCCGCTTTCAGAAACCCTCCACTCCGTGGAAGTCCATATTACGGAGCCTGCCGGTCTGGACATTGCTAGTGGTGCAGTGCGCGCAATCCTGGGGCTTCTGGATGCTGCTGACGGAAATCCCGTCCTACATGACTTCGATCATGCGCTTCAATATCAAGCAGGTCGGTTTTTCGTGAATAACTTCAAATAGAATTTAAGCCTTCGTCGGTTTACTTGCTTTTGCAAAATTTCGAAGACCTCGGATCCGCACTCGGATATTCCAAACGCGCTGATTTTCAAAGTCGCGCACGACTTTAAAAAGCGGTGCGTTTGGAATATAAATTAATTTTCGATGCGCATGTCGGCGAGATCACGATGGAAGAATGATTAATATGCTACGTGAAACTCAAGCCTCTGAATCATCATGGACAACGTAAACATTAGACTACTCCAATGTCGTATTGTCAATGAACGAGTCAATGACGACTAAAATAAAATTAATGAAACATTAATAACATCTCTTACCACATAGATCGCTCCTCGAATGTGATTATATTTTTAGATGAATTTTAAATATATGTTTAAATATAAGCTCTTGAATACACTTTTTTTTCTACGACGTTAAAAATATTCTATAAAAAAATTAAATTTTTCTTTCTTATATTAATATGAACAATTCGACTAAATAAGCTATCGCTTTAAAATCAAATCTAAGTAAATCAATTTCATAGTACATATATCCTGAATAAGAAACATTTTACAGTAATATTTCATTAAATTTCCATTAAGGCAGCGTCAACTAACTACTATGTATTTTTTATTGCACAGAATGGTATGATGACGGCTTTGCCCTACCTGACGGCGTGGCTCGCCGGCTTTCCGATCAGCTACATATCCGATATGTGCATCAGAAAGAAAATCGTGACGACGACGATGTCCCGGAAGATCTGCAATACAATCGGCCACTGGATGCCGGCGGCCGCGCTGGTCGGGCTGGGTTACGTGGGGCAGGACCAGCCGAAACTGGCCGTGGGGATCCTCGTCATCGCCGTGTCCTGCAACATCGCCGCCTTCTGCGGCCACAACGTCAATCACATGGACCTCAGCCCGAACTTCGCCGGCCCGCTCATGGGATTCACGAATACCATTGCGTCCGCCTGCGGCATCCTCCCGCCGCTGATCGCCGGGGTCATCATCAAGGATTCGGTTCGTGTGACATTATAAGACATCAATCGTTTGCATTGCTGGACACCATGTATTTAACGATATCGATATTTCTCTCTTCCGTTTAGACTAACATACTGCAATGGCGAAGCGTGTTCTTCCTGTCGGCCGGAATATATATGGTGGGCAACCTAATCTTCATCCTATTCGGCACCAGCGAGGTGCAAAAGTGGAACGATCCGGTCAAGAGCAGACGGGACAGCGTCGTGCGGAAGGTTTCGATGGCGCCGGTGACCATCACGACAATACAGGAAAAGGAGAGCGAGAGAATCCCATGACGATCGAGATAGAAAAAAAACGTTACAATGCGTGACAACACTTTGTTTCCTATTTTTATATTTTATTTTTCAAATTATTGTGTTTATCTGTGTGGATGTGTGATTTGCATGTGGTAACTTTTGAATGACTTAGACTACTTAGACTATTAACGTCATCTTAACGAAATCGTGTATAAAATACATATTAAAGCCTTGACTAGAAGCTGCGTGTAAATATCGCGCTCGAATACGTACGTGTAGGAAATGCCGGAAATCCTTTTATCTAATTCACCCTCAAGAGTGTAAACGGGGAAATTGATTCCGTCCTGTAATTAATTTAAATTCTGGCCTCTGCGCGGTCCACGGAAATATCGCAACTTGTGTTAAAAAGAACTTAGAATCTAACTTAATTTAAATAAATTCGCATTTCACGTAACAAGAATTACGTCTTATTTAAATAGAAAGTTGGTCTGCATACAATATAGTTGTATGTCTCATACAAGAGAAATCGAAATATCAAAACAACTGTTTAAAACATTCATTGATAAAAACTGGTCGTACAAAACTGCTCGTACATTAAACATCTCTAGCTACCTCAGTCTTCCTTCGGGTGACTCTGCGACGGCGCGTTGGTCCGTATGGCGTGCCCGATGAATAACGCGCCGATAATCGTCGTCAGTAGCGTGGCGCAAGTGACGTAGAGCGAGAGGGACGAGTCGCCGACCGGTATCGGCCAAACGTAGTCGCGTTCGTTCGACATACGGTACGGAATCTCGCGCCACTTGGCCACCAGGCCGACGCACGGCTCGCACAGGTCTATCTTGGACACCCTGTGGTCCCTGAGCCTCTTCCGGCATCCCAGCAGCAGCTTCACGTCGGGCAGGGTCACGTTGACGTAACCGCCGGACTCGCCCGCGTACCGGTAACGCTGGTGAACGGGAATCGTTAGGCTGGCGGACGACGAACTCACGGACGCGCAAGTCGTCACGTTCTGCCGGCCTGCCTTCTCGGCGAACAATTCGACGTCGGTCTCGCCGACCGAGCACACTGTATTCTGAAATGTTAACGATACTGTTAATTAAAATTGGATGATTGCTCATCTCACAAAGAACGATATATTTATATCTACATATTATATGTATAAATAAAAGACCTAATACATAGGTATACGCTATAATACAATGTAAATCTCTTTTAGACAAGTAAATGTGATTTTTATTTTCTACTTCTGTATAAATTATATTGAACTTTTAGACACATAAATTATAAAATATCAAATCAATGTGAAAACATGTAGCTTCAAAATCTGTAGTAATTAGAAAATAATGTCAATAATCTTTTAATTTCATACTGAATGTAACAAATGAAATTCAACCATTTTATGAATTAAATAATGGAGCGAATTTACACATATACAACGCAGAAATAAGGTAATAAATTTGTAAGAATTGAAAAGCCACAAGTACGATATTTTCTCCGAGTTACGTTAATTAATTGACAATCAATTAGACACATTACCGTCCCCCGTCTTCTCAGTTCCGCTATTTCGTCCGTATTGACGTACAATGCCGATGGCAATTCCACGTAAATGGCAGCCTGACAGCCGTCCTGGGTGAGATTCTCGAAGCGTATCCGGTAGATCAACGTTCTGCAAAAGCGTGGAGAAGCGTTAAGAGGCCGCACGTGGAGCCGCTCGCTGTTTACATAACAATCCGCAGTTTTCTAACCTATGAAATCCGTTCCCGTCCACATTGAGATCGACCTCGGCCTCGATTCCCGCGGAAATCTGCACGCCTCGCGTGCACAGGAGCAACGCGACGACAATTCGCGAAAGACTGGCCTCGCGGACGTGCATCGTCATTTCTGTACTCCTAGATCACCACATATTATACCTTCGACGTTAGTGTTTACGTACGCGAGACTCACCGGCTGACTTGCTGCCATCAGCGGGACAGCTGCTGGTGGCTGGTCATTGACCTGTTGACATATATATACATATGTATAATGTGTACATCATACGCATATATGTGTTCAATATGTTACAATTTACTTTAATTCCCTGCAAATGATACATATTGCACAATTGTATCAATTGCGGAGGCGACTCGCGACGACGCATTGCGCGCATTAGATTTTCGTGCTCATATGATTATATATAATATTAAATATTGCTTTCGTTTTAATACACACATATAAATGAAAAATTTCTTGTTTTTCTAACTGTATTTCACTTGTTTTTATTTTTTAATTTAAATCTTGATTTTTGATTTCTAACCTTAAAATTTTAGAAAAATAAAAATACTCATAAAATTGCATCTTAGATTTTTAATTATTTATAATATAATCGAATATACTATATATATTTTTCTGAGATTTTTGCAAATTTTTAAGAATTTATAGTGTTTTGTAATTAACATTTTTGTCAAGTTATACCCTCCTGATATTTATACTTTTTAAGACTTTTTGGTATACTTATTTATATACTTTTTAAGACTTTTTAAAACTTTTTGGTATATTTATTTATATCACAGTTCAGCTATAATAATAGACGTTATATATAATTTCACATGCATAAAACACTACGTTTACGTAAATGCAGTTAAATGCAAATATCCGTGCATGCGCAGTAAAATAAGTAATAGCAGACGCTATTGAAAATTCAATCACGTATGTATGCACGTATATTCGTGTTACGATAAAAATTATAATAAAGTGTATCGTTTTTTATAAGCTGTATAAACTCTTTATAAAGGAAAGAATAGGAAATAACAGAAAATAATAGTAGAAAATTTTCTGTGAAGAAAATATTACGGCTGTTAATGGAAAATAATTAAACAATTTACTGATACATTTTGGGCAACAGCTGAGCACATGCCTGTTGAGCTCGGATCACATGATCAACGACATATCTCACATGCATGCGCACCGATTTATCTAACAATTTTCCCCCGTTTGTTTAGCACGTTAGATTACCACGAGGATCGAAGTACAAAATATATGAAAGTGATTAAAACGCAATTACGATGATCTAAGTAGTAATTAACTATGTGATTAGACACAGGTCTGTTTTTCAGGCTGCTAATACAGAACATATATATATCTTTGAATTTACCGGTTCTTTTCGCGGAATGTATAACCTCAATAGTGATCGTATGCCATGCCGTTGAAATCTCTTGGAGCATATATGATGCTCTTTATTTTCGACAATATTTTATTTCGAACAATGAAAAATGAAGTGTACACTTTATAAGCTTATATTAATACCAAATATTCTTCGATGACAAACTAATCGTCAAAAGTCAATTGAAAATCGAAACCTTGTACTGTGCCATGCGGAGGTTATAAAAACTTTAATTTTCAGTGACTTCGTGTTTTTTTATTAAAATAGATATTCTATATATATATTTTTTTAAATACATTTATATTTTAACAAATGTTTTATCAAACTGAAACATTTCTTATCAGAATTGCATGGCAAAAATATAAAACAGTTGGCTTGATGACACAGTTATTTATATATTGATAAACATGAATTTACAATATTTGCAATATTATTGCAGGTGAAGTAACGAACGATGATAATTGTAAGAAGATGCCGCTGGTTCACCGGAGTTTTCAGTTTATTGCCACGTAACACGTATTCCAGTCTCAGGCTATTAAATGGCTGTACGGTTGTGAATTTCAGGCCATGTACAAAGGCCCACACCTTCTCCACAGTACAATACAATAAGTACAATAAGCATGAAGCGAGTCCCAGTGTACAGAGAACCACCTACTCCTTGTTGAAAGTCGAAGATGTATCGACGCCAGTCAAGTTAGCAAGTTTACAGCAGAAGAGATGTTTGAGCATCGCCGCAAAGCTAGTCAGTAACGCCTCGCCAAAAGTGCAGCCGTATATGAAGCTTATGAGGATAGACAAACCGATAGGTAAAGACCAATTTAGTCAATTGATTAATGTTGCAATTTATGAACGTATTTCAGTCTCTATCTACTACATTTTTCTTTCCTGAATTTTCTGCGCAGGAAGCTGGCTGTTATTTTGGCCTTGTGGCTGGAGTATCGCCTTGGCGGCTCCCGCCAATGCCTTACCAGATCTCTACATGTTAGCGCTTTTTGGTACGGGTGCATTCGTGATGCGCGGTGCGGGGTGCACCATAAACGATATGTGGGATCAGGACATTGACAAGAAGGTAAAATTCCACTGTAACGTTGTAAATTCTGTGTCTCTTGGATATCACGGTTTATACAGCTTATTATCCCCAGGTAGCCAGAACGATGGACCGACCTTTGGTAACGGGTCAGATAACGCCGAAGCAGTCATTAGTGTTTCTAGCCGGACAATTGAGCCTTGGATTGCTCGTGTTGTTGCAACTAAATTGGTATAGCGTATTTCTCGGTGCAAGTTCGCTAGGTATTACATAATATATCAAAGGTCTATCACTGTACAGGTGGTTCCAAAAAAAATGGGGAAAATTTAAAAAGAGGCAAAATTAAAACTTGGAAATTTTATTTAATTAATTTTAATTACGTCAAATCACGTTATTATTTTAATTTTCTCCTTAAACTTTCCCGTTTCTTCGGCTCACCGTACATTTAAAATGAACGCAAAATATTTAATGCGATATACATCTTGTTTTTTTCCTTTCAGGTTTAGTAATAATTTATCCTCTCATGAAAAGAGTAACGTACTGGCCACAATTGATTTTGGGAATGACCTTTAATTGGGGCGCCTTGTTAGGATGGTCGGCTATACACGGGTCATGCGACTGGTCGATCTGCTTGCCACTCTATGCAGCCGGTATTTGTTGGACCATTCTGTACGATACGATATACGCTCATCAAGTAAGCATAGTAAACGTAAGAACTTATTTTTTTTAATTTCTCGTGTCGCTCATCGGTCTCTCTTTGTACGTGTTAGGACAGGGTGGATGACATTCTGCTGGGCATGAAGTCGACCGCCATAAAATTCGGAGAAGACACGAAATTCTATTTGTCCGGTTTTGGAATAGTAATGATCGCGAGTTTAATCACCTCTGGTATATTGACTACTCAAACTTGGCCTTACTACACCGCCGTTGGATTAATTGCAACACATATTAGCAACCAGGTAAAAAAATCATGATTTTTATCATTATCGATTTAGGGTGCGCGCTCCATTTAACGCTCGCAACGCTCTTGGAATCATTTCATCCTTGTTTATCAAATGTTAAATAAGGACAAGTAATGCTCGCGAGCGTTAAATGAAACACAGCCTTAGAATAATTGCATCTGAATGAGAAGTAAATTTCTGTTTCAGATATATACTTTAAACATTAACAATCCTAAGGATTGTGCTAAAAAATTCGTATCCAATCACAGAGTGGGCATGATACTGTTCATTGGGATCGTGTTAGGAAACTTGATGAAAAAGTCAGTCGTGGAAAAGGAGAGCGAAGACAAAGAAATAAAGCGCCAAAGTGTTGTACTAGATGAAATAAAAAATAGGCACGATTTATAATTTAGCGAGAATTTTAATCTAGTGTCCTCTTCACATTAGTCAAATTTTATGAAACAAATTATATATTATATAAATGTATATAAATAAATTTTAATTTTCAAATGTTACATTAATTTCAAATATAGATATTTTTATATCTATTTGACATATTATAAATTAAGCAATTTTAGGAAAAATATTTTTGTATAGATTTAATTGTAATGTCAACAAATAGTTTACCTCATTTTTATGAAATAGGAAAATAATGGTTCCTGGAAAGATGAAGAGAATATTAGAAAAGCGATTGTAATTTCTTTTAGATGTAATAGTAAATATTTTCTTTTCATGTAAAAACACCTTTTATTGCGTTTGTGTGTGATAATACTCGTAATTAAAGAAAATCGAATTAAATCTACAATTTATTTGCGTAAGATCTTAATTATGTCGGTGCATATCATATTGTAATCCCTATTATTATTAAAATTCTTAAACAAATCGTTTTTCAATAATAACAGCCGTAGATTAAAATTTTCTCTATACATTACTGCTGATTCTTTTCTCTCTCTTTAATAAGCTCGATATATTGATCGTGGGTCAACAGGGACTGTTTCAAATTTTCCAAAAGCTTTATATTCGGTAGTATTATAGCCAGGTATCCACCTTTGTGCGGTGGCTCCTTGAGGAGCTGCGGTCTCTCGGACAACGCCTCGTTAACCTCCACCAGCTTCCCGATCATACAGCACTTGATGACACACGTTCGCCCGTCCGCGCATACGGTACAGATATTCGAGTTGGCCTGCAACGGTTGCGCGCCGTGCTTACCCTTGCCAGAGACTTTATTCAGGGACCTGTCCAATTTGTCGCTGACCCTGAAGTCGACCTTCTCTACGTCCCCGTTGTCTCGCAAAATGACGTGGCTGGGCGCCAAGGAGAGCATGCAGATACGATTGCTGTGAATCCATACGCACATATCGTCCCCGGGCGATTGCACGTCCACCTTGTAGTAGGGCGTGAAGTAGCGCTCGGTAACGGTGGGGAAATAACCGTTGTACTGCACCTCGTCCAACATGTCGGAGATATCCTCGTCGGGAGGAAACGCGAACGACTCGTCGTCGCTGTCGACAATCGCTGCCGACGCGTCGTTGTCGCTGTCCGCTGATCTCTCGCGCTCCTCCTCCTGTCCTTGCCGAAGGGAAGCCTCTCTCGCGTCAGGAACGCCGTCGGTCGCACCTTCTCGTGCATCGCCTTCTTCCAGCTGGCCCGAGCTCCCTCCATGCTCGTCTGCAGACTTCAATCGCTTGGTTTCTGGCTCGTCAGGTTTCGACGTCAGATTCATGTTTAGTTGCGCAACAAGAGTCCAGATTAGTGTACATACAATTCGGACTGATTTAATCTACAGTTGTCAAAAACGACAAAATGATATTAGTACAAAAATAAACTGCAATAGTTCTTGAACAATCAACTACTGGTTGAACTATAGTCCTGGGCACGACTAACCGCTGCTCTCTTGCTGTGCCAGTTTCCTATCCGGCTCTAACCTATCACGTTGGAATCTCTGCGCGCTTTCTGCCCTGCGAATTTCTCTCTGAAACAAACGGCGTGGATTAATTTTACGCGGGCTAATTTGCGCGGAGCGAAAGTCGAGCAAGGAGGGGAAGGGGGTTGACTTACTTGCTCCTTTATGCACTTGTTCATCTCTCGCTGGATGCTATCGCAGTAGCCCAGAAACTTTCGAAACGGATGCTGCAAGTTACAGAGAGCTGTTGAGAATTGAGGCACACACATGGCAAAGTTAAGTTCGCGCCGCCAATATTAATTACCTCGTTCTCGCAGTCCTGAAATCGGCGAAATATCTCGTTACAAGCGGCGTTGTGCGCGGCCAGCGATCTGTAGCTCATATCTCTGTTTTCTCGACGAGATCGCTCGCGAAATCACTTGTATTCCTCATTACGCAATCGAACGACAAAAGTTTGATACGCCGGACTGGTGCCGCACTGTTTGCAATCGCATCAGAAATCTGCAACACACACGACGACAAGGTAATTAAATATACTAGTATAAGTATTTTTTTCTATCACGGTTTACACGGAAAAATATTTCTTTACATGAAAAAAAAATATTTCTTAAAAAACAATCTTGTTTTTCTGTCGAAAGATACGATTTGATGTAACAAATTTTAGGTTAAAAAATTTGCATTTAAAAATAAAATGTTTCATTTAAAGTTATATATGTACTGTTTCAATGAAATAAATATCTCAATAAGTAAAAAAAAATCATTACTACGTTTTCAAATATGCTGTATACGATCATATACGATTTTATGACCTTTGACACTTGACTTAAATTCGATATCGGGTTTGTTTACGTTCTCGCACTTTTTGCACTCGGAATCTCGCTTTCTCTCTCTTTCTCACGCCCGAATATACCTGTATTTATCTCGTTTCGAGTGCAAAAGTCTTTGGGGATTTCAGCTTGACGATCTCTAGGGGAAATCACATGAATGCTCCTAGAAATAGGTGCGTTGGCTGCAGTTGCATTTTGCCGCGCGGCAAGCGCCAAGCGGCAAGTGTTGCCGCCGTTGCCGGTAATGCCGGTTACCACGTTTTGTTGTCAGTTTTGTGGGATCTTGCGGTGTGTGCAGAGTCACGATAGAAATAATGAAGACTCGCGAATCTCGCGATGTGAGCGTGACTTTTCTGGAAGAGTATAAAGAGAACGTTATACAAAGTTCCGATTTTATCCAGTTCCAGAAACCCGAACGGGCGACGGACGAAGAGAGGTGAAGATGATCCAGGAACGATCGTGGATCGAGAGTTCCGGAGCGGATGCAGAAACGCTCTCGGATTATTCGGAGTGTATTGCCAGAGAGAAGCATTCTCTCTGGTGCTATTGCAGATGGAGGAGCCGCGGCAAGAGCCACGATCAACGATCGCATCAATATCCCGGCAGATCAACGCGCACATGCTTAAAGCAATAAGGAGAGATGACAGTTGCATTCACTTCGCCGCAAAACTGTGTTTCAGATGCTGCGGAATCAGTCGCAGTTAACGACGTCACCGGATAGAAACATGCAGTAATAATGGATAAACACAATGAAGGGAAGAAGGTGAAATCGTGAATCGAAGGTACGAATCGTTGGTGAGAAACAACATGCGGACTTGTGAGTTGGTCACAAGGCCAGAGGATATTCGACGCGAAGTGAATGTTTAATTAATAGGCTGCGTTCCAATTAATGCTCGTGATGTTCTTACATAATCATTTCATTATTTGTCCTTGTTTGTCAAACATGTTAAACAAGGACAAATAATGCTCGCGAGTGTTGCGAGCGTTGAGTGAAATGCAGCCGTAGAAGGTTCTTCTGAAAGAATCTAATTCTGTAGTGCGAGGCCAGTATGGAAGGTCGTGCACAAGTAGAGAGCACTGATTACGTGAAATATCATTAAAGATGGTCGGACAATTAAGTTTTGACAATCGTGACTTTCAAATGGACCCAGGGATAATTGAAGAGCGATGACGTTATCAATCGTTTTGGCTGTATCAAGGATAACAAATTTGATCCGCAGGTAAAACGATCGCGTTTATGTTTGTTTCCTCGGTACAGTTGACAATATCATCGTTCTTCAATTATCCCTGGATTTATTTGACAGTTGCACTTGCCTTTGGCCAGCTGTGTTTAATAATTATTTCGTCGGTGGATGATATGCCTCAATCAGATTTATATCTGGCCTTGACAGCCAAATGCGACTTACATGTGTAATCAGCAGCTCATTTAATGGTGATATTAAGAACATATATATTTATATATGCACCAAAGGTATTAATAAAGCCAGTTAATGAAGGAAATGTATGAAAATTAAAGATATCTGTGCACGGCCTTAAGCAAAGTGAATGAGCCTGGAACGAGATTCTACAATAGATATAGCAAACTTATATATCCTAGCAAATATCAATTAACATAGCAACATATATAACTGTTATGTGTTATATTACAATTATAGTTGAATAGAAAATTATGATTAACAGTTGTTAGTTGAGTAGGTTTGCTGAGATGTACGATGCCACGGAATGAAGAAGAAGCAAAGTATCGAGAAACAGAGGAAAGGCTACTGTTAGTCAGGAAACTAGATCTGGACCAGCTTACGCGGTGAGGTCAGCGAGTCGCTACATGCAAAACCAGACAAAAAAACCACTGGACAGCAGTGAAGAGCATATTTGATCGGAGCCTAAAGGGAACGTTAAAATTCAGCAAGGACCAGACAGAAGAAAATTCGAGCATCACAGACTACCGCGATGCTACTGGACCAATAAAAGTGGCACTTGTCGCTTGATTACAGCATTTTTTTTTGTTTCAGGGCAGACTGCTGGAAAGCAAGCTGCAGAATACAGTGTGGCACTGTCAACGACCAAGGCTGAGCATACGGCCTTATTTGCTGGTTGCCAAAAGGCGATGTGGCTTCGCGCAAGATACCTGCAATCATCGCTCATATCATCTACAAAGCTCTCCTATGTAGCGATAATGTAGGAGCAATTTTGTGGAAGAGTGATGGGTACAGGCTCCGGATGATACATCTGGAATGACATCTGCTATCACTTCAGAGAGAGGACTGAAAATGGAGTGGAAATCATCGCCAATTATTTGCCGACAATCGAGATAATAGCAGATGTTTTAAGCAAGGAACTATACGTGTTCAAGTTCAAGTTCAAGATTGTATTACTCACATACGATCAATGAAGTGTTAACATTATTCGTACATTCGCGGGGATATTAAACTGTGCGTATGAAAATTCCTAGACTAAGAGTTGCGTGTAACGTGAATTACCGTCATATATTAACAATATTTTTGGTTTCTTTTCGAACATATTTGACAATCATTTTCTTCTCTTGTTGGTGTAACTTTTAAAATAAAATATATTCCTTCGCTTCTTCCTTGGATACAATAACTGTCGTTTAAAATTTATTCCGCGCGCCTTCCCATAATCTGAATTTAACATTTTATTTTATTTAAATATAATGTATAATATATGTTTATAGAATTCTATTCTAATTATAATTTTCAGGTATTTTTTATTATATTAAATTTAAGCAAGTATAGCCTTATAATATGATCATTATAGCCTTATAACATGATTTTATCAATTTTTTAACAGAAAACCAAATACGACTGAATCCAGTTCTTTCCAAGTCACTATTATCTCCCAGCAACATTGGACTTTCAAAGACTAAAGACATTGTACAAGATGATGAAAGCAAAAAAAATGAAGGCAAAACCGCAACGACACAATCTGGTATGTAATTAATATTGTACAAAAATTGTACATGTTTGCGCACAAATGTACAATTTTTTGTATATTATAAAGCCTTTTAAAAATGTACGTAATTTTTATCGATAAAACATTAAAGTAAATTTTGTTTCCTGAAAATTAGAATTGTTAAGTATATAATCATATAATGTATATAATGTATATAATATGCAAAATGTTATTTTTATTAATTTTAAAAATCTGCTTGTGTAAAAGAATAACTTGTCATTACATTATTTACTTTCAAGTTGATACACAACTTCAAATTTTAATATTGCATGATATATACAATTGAACTATTCTGACGTGGATTTCATTGCAAAATCTATATATATAAAGCAGTCTTCAAATCAATTTGATGAACAAAAGACTTGGCGTGTTGTTTTAATCGCAAATGTTTCTTCTCTTAAACTATTAAAACATATTTTTCAACATCTTTTAACGATAAGTCTAGAAAAGACGTATGCTATGCTTTTAAATAGGCTTTTAAAAATTATATTATTATAAAAGATATAATAATTATGATATTGATTAATACAGATGGAATAGAAACAAATTTATCGAAAAAAATCCACGAAAAAATTTCTGTATGCAAGATATATACGCAAGATGCAACTATAAAAGGTACGTACATTGTATTAAATTAACAAAAATTAATTTTGGGTAATATTACATGCATAAAAATATTTTAAATTGTTTCTCTGTTTACTTCTATTCACGTACACGAAAACTGAAATATAAAAGATACATAATCATATTTTATACTATTTTAATTTTAGTTTTAAAATATTTTAAAAATTAGTAATCTTTGTTTTCTATATGTGTGTATACAAGATTTTTAATTTTATTGCAGAAGGCCTAGAACAGATAAAATGTATGATAGCAGCATGCAATGCAACAATAATAGACAATAATAAACGATTAAAAAATCTTGAACACGTGTTCGGTGCAAGTACGTCACAAGATACAACAGAAAACGATGACAATTTTATCATGCAATTTTTTCCTCTCAGCACTATTCAAGCCATTAGAGATATGGAATATATGTTGACAAGCACAGAGGAAGCAGTGATACATTTCGTAAGTTTTTATATTTGTAACCAATATATAAATGGTTTATTATACCTTATACATAATTCTTTATGAAAATATTCTGACGATACTTGCCTGATAGTATATATAAATGTGAAGAAAGAATACGAAAAAAATTTTTTCCTACAATTCTTGCATAATTACGAACATAGTTTGTTGTCAAGAGTCCTATTATTAGATTAATAACAGTTAATATTAATTAAATTGATTAAAAATTAACATTAATCATATCTGATTTTTTTCAATGTTTAGAAAAGAAAATGTAATTTAAGAAATTTTCATCTATATTTCTCATTGCTTATTTTTATCGTTGAATGTTAAATACAAATGGCATTGTATTTAATGATAAGAAATTTCAATAAGGTATGAGCATTGGATGCAAGGCATCAGACTTTGCGTTGCAAATTGAGGATTGTGAACTGAAGATTAGAAGTTGACCAGGATAAGTTTAATTTCCGTTTCGTTCTTTGGTTAAAATTTAATCTTTAATTCACAATTCTCAATGTTTTGGCAGATGGCCTTAGATAACTCTCCTCTATATATAACAATAATTGATTATATTTTATCTTAATATTTTCGTATTAGCACATTATTATTAAATATATGAGCAAATAAAAATTATGTTACAGAGAAAATTTTTATTGAAAATCGGTGGAAACAATCCGAAAAATAATATCCAGCGGATTTTAAAGAATGTCTTTACAAATGAATGTGTCGTGGACTGTTCATGGAAGGGAAAAAGGGATAATTTTAAAATATGTGACCTGAAACTGATAAAAATAATGAAAAGTATGTTTTAAGATATTATTAAATGTACAAAATATGTATTGAAACGTTTTCGTTCATTCATTTTTATTTTTTTCTTTTTAAGGGGACGTTATCTCACGCTACGTAACCCTGACAGAGGCGGAGTTTGAAAACATCGTGGCCGAGTGGTTACGTTTCGCGAAACAACGACAAGAACGAGACAAAAATAAGAGAAATGTTGAACTTGAAGAACATTACGTTTAAATAGATATAACATTACAAAATGTTTCTTTGTTTTTTCACAGTAGATTCTGAGATTTCGTTAAATAACGAGAAAAAAATTTTTAATCCGCATAGTAGAATCCGTAGAATCCGCATTGATTACATCGGCAGATGCTGAGACTGCCACCCTTCGATGGCAGAGTCCGCATCGATAATAAAGTTTTAAAAAACACATCATGCTGGGATTTTTTCATTTTATTGCAAAGATAAAGACAAATCTCTCTTTTACATTAATAGTCTTGAACATTATTTTATAATTTTGTCATATTATACGTCATAAAGAATTATTGACATTTATGACGAAAAGTATACATATAATTAGTGAGTCTCAAAATGCATGTTTCTCACTTGGAACATCCATTATTTTTCCTAACTATTTTATAACTGATAATTTCTTTTATTATTATATACATACTATTTATACGCTAATAAGCTGTAATAATGAAATAACATTTATTAAGATGTTAATTTTTCTGGAAGTTTGTACGAAGATGAACGAAGTTAATAAAAAATTATATATCAATTTTTTATTTATTTCCATTTCCTTTTTTTCTAAAGAAGAGACTTTGCTTTTTAATTTGCTTTTCCAAAGATTGTCATATGATATCTTTTCATAGATTTATTCGTTGCCCAAGCGAAAAAGCACTATTTGCCTCTGAGTGCTCATAATGAGTTCAAAAATTATCATATAAACTTCATAAAAAAAAATATCAATGGAAAGTAGGATAGATTGCCCTTTAAAACGTATTAATCGTTTTTCCAATTAACGTTTATCTTTTAAGTGTGATTGTTGAAATGTTGATTGCTTTCCGAGAGTAATCATAGCCTAGCAAATAGATAAAAGATAAAACATAAGACAATGAGAGTAAATCAAAGTTTTAAAAATTAAATAGAATCTTTATATAAATTTCATTTTTTTAATATATTTACTATCGCAATTATTAACAATTCTTTCCATTGCACGAACTCTTTTCTCAATGCTTAATGTCAAGATTTTTGATTCGCAGGTTGGATAACATCAGTCCTGCGAGTAAATTAATTATGAGAAAAGCTTGTGGATTAATAAAATAGATTTGACTTACTTTTACTATTAAATTTGCTAAAATGTTCTAGTGATTTTTGCGCAATTGCAGTATTTGTTGTTTCCATACTAAAAAAAAGATGGATTGAAATAATGAATGAACCACAGGAAATATAATACGTAATTTTTGCGATGTCTCAAAAGAGATTTGCGTATATAATTGTAGAGCATTTTCACATCTAGTGAAACTCTATTGTTTGCTCGAGTATTAATTTTCCTATAGTAGTCGCTTATTATTTCTGTTTACTTTCGCACGAATTCAATCGTGATCATCGTCTTCCTATAAGTAGAAAACTATACAGTTAACTATATAGCTGCCAGACCGTGTTGGCAAAACGTTATTGAAATTTATAAACCGATCGATTATACATCTTGTGATCTAGACATTAAAAAATTTTCGATTATTATTCATCAATTATAATGTTAGAATTCGCCTTGGTTAAAAGATTCGTTCATTACACGTTCTTATGCGACTTTCCAGCTTAGAAAATATATCACAATCACAAGATAATAGTCGCATTGCAAATGTCAATTGATCAGTAATAGAAATCGATTGAAATTGTCAGAAAAATTGTCTATAGTCGAAACAAATTTTTTAGAATTATCATTTATCAAGCGATTCCTATATAACAAACAAGTAATAAGATTAGAAGGACGAATGGGCCCAGCTGTAATCATATACGGAAAAAAATCTTATTATTTCTGCATCCGCGTGTTAGATGTATATTTAATTACTAAATGATATGCATTGATGAAAGATTGGAACATGTTTCCTATATGTAAACTGTATGCGCTTTTTCCTTATTTGATACGGATCATTTTCTAAGCTTACGTAATCGTTTTGACTCGCAAATGACTCGACACAAAACATCTAACAATGTATGACTTAATGTCATGCCGACTTTATTAATGTAAGATTTATACACGCGTAAACACTGTACATAAAAAATTGCAGCTAACTGCGCTTTATCATTCACATGTCAGCGACATGTATCGAATGATTAATAAACTTTCTGTAGTCAAAACATTACATACGTACGTAATTTATGTTGAAAACGTGACCTTTGAAATTTCAAATGACGCCAGAGATTTACGCAGAATACACCCTTAACACTGCCTCACCTCTTGTTCGAATGAGCATAGGCCCTCGTTGAATCGTTAATCAAGCTTTGTCCAAGACGCTGATATTGCAAACAAACATATTATTGCGCGGCGTTACATGTATAAAAAATATAAAAAGTTAAATGCATGCCTAAGTAGTGTTCTTGCTTAATTTTACATCAAATTACAAAGAAATTTAAATTAGTAAGAGTAATCCGTATAATAAATATAAAAAATTGTTATACAAATAAAAAGTTAGACATTTACGCGATAAAAATATTTACCTATACATAAAGTACGATACTAACGATACACTATAGATAATTAGACAAATGATATATTACGATCAGTCATAATAAAAGCAATTAACTCTGAATAGATTCAAGAATATAGAGAAGTCATCATGTTTTTCTGAAACGTTTCTGTAAAACATTTTTTTATTAGCAAAAACTCTTGATCTTAGCACTCGACTTGACTCTGAATAATAAATTGCAAAAAAATCTTATTTTATTTTCAATTACGTGAAAGCATTTAAAAGCGTTGAATATTTTAAAAGTTTAAATAGTGATAATAATTATTAGTTAAATAGTGATAATAATTATGTGAGGCAGAATAATGTATCTCGTATAAAATTTTCACGTTTCTCTTCTCTCCAAGCTAATCCAGAATCCGCCAACAGGTTGCAAAGTAAACTCCTTTTTGTTATACACAATTGGTTCGACGGTCTTATCCGTAGTTTTCAAAGTAAACTTTTGTAAAAGATGCGCAATGAGAATCTTAGTCTCCATAAGAGCAAATCGATTGCCGATACACTTTCTGGGACCATGACCGAATGGCAGATAAGTGTACGGCAATATATTAT